AAAAAAGCCAATGCAGCCTGTTTTGCAGCAATGGTTGCCCTATGTAAGCCTCGACTGGTCACAGTGCCTACTCGTATGCCACTTCCTCCATACTCATACGAGTGAAATGGATTTATCAGACCAAGGAGATCAAAGACATTGCGGTTTATAGACTAAGGCATATAAGTAGAGAGCTTTTCTACGCCATATCCATCTCCTACTATTACAGAAACCAAGGCCTCGGCTTTCAGATTCTTTGCAATGGATTCAAGCAAAACCCCAGCGGCACCTCCTCCACCCGGTGTGACGCCCAACTTTACCAATCCATCGGGCTCCGAGTACGAGATTTACTCCGTTAGTATCGCCTTGTGTGGAACGGCGAGTTTTGTCTTGCTTGCCCGCTTATACACTCGGGCCGTTGTTCTGCGTGTCTTTGGTCTGGACGATGGTATGTCTTTACGAGTCCTTATAGTGAACGGATATATTGACATGCGCCCTCAGTTTGTTGTATTTTCGGACAGATTTGCGCATGGATCTTTGCAGCCTTGAGCATTGCCAGTACGCTATCCCCGAACCCATTGCCTACTCGGGAGCTAACGTAATGGATAAGATATCAAAAATGGATACGGTGTACACATCTGGGACCTGCATCTGGATAAGCTCACCCCATTTAAGAAGGTACGTTGTCCCTTTACTTGCCCATCAATCTTGTGAGAGCTTACATTACTAACCTAATAACAATGGATACAGTATGACATTGCAGAAGAAGACGTCTACGCCCTAGGCGTCTGGTTCGTCAAGACCTCCATCCTACTTTTCTACCTCCGACTCAGCCCCGAAAAGCGCTTCCGACAGATGACCTACGCCATTATGATCTTTGTCGCCGTATACAGTCTGCTCAGTATTCTTCTCTTCACCTTGGGATGCAGACCTGTCGCTGCGACGTGGGATGTCTCCCTTATGAGCGAGGCCAAGTGTATCGATCAGATGGCGTTCGTCTACGCCAATGCTGTATTCAATATATTCTCCGATGTTATTACCTTGATCCTGCCGATTAAGCTATGTTGGACTTTGCAGACGAGCCTGAAGCAGAAGTTCCTGCTATTGGTTGTATTGACTATGGGTTCCTTGTATGTTTTCTCCTCCAATTAAGCCCCTTGCAATATTTCTTGCTTTATTAACGCGTTTGAGTTCCTTCAGTGCCTGTGTGGTTGCCATAATCCGAATCGTAACTATGATGCCCTTCATCCACAGCAATGACTTCACGTGGTTCAAGGTAACAATTGCAAAATGGTGGTATGTTCTTCTGCAAACCATACAGGAATAATACGTGTTATTAACAAGCCTCACAAAAGTATGGTTGAAATAAACGTCGGCATAATCTGCGCGTGCCTTCCAGTCCTACGACCCATTATAGTTCAGACCTTCCCACGTCTCTTCAGCAGCTACCAGCAGAGTGGCGATAATTACACTCCAGCTAGCGACGGCAGCTATGGACTGGACTCGTCCAGTAAGAAAAGAAGGGTCATTTCTTGGAACCATCTGACTACGATTGGAGACACACAATTGACGACTACCAACCATGGGGCCGACTGTGATTCGGAAAGTATTCAGGCGATTGTTATGAATAACAAAAATGAACATGAAGCTGGACAACGAGGATTTTGCTGATTTCGCGACATAGAATAGATAGCCTCTCGGACAAGCAACAGTGTATTAGGAGTCTTTCTGTTAATTAATAATACTAATAATAGCACACTAAGAGAACGCATCATAAAGCAAAACACTTTCCTTGTCTTCAATGGGAAGCTTCTCTAACCCGCATCATCAAGGCCCTGTTTACCACGCCCTATATTCATATCTACTAGCTACTTGGTTATGCTATAATAAGATTACAAAGCAGGGGTGACACTGTTTGCCATCAGAGGAAACACTACAGTGAGGAATAGAATTACAGGCGCAAACAAATGAATCTTGGGACACTGGGTTATCTCAACTATAGCTTCATTCTGGATGATACAACAATCTGACTCATGTTTACCATGTCAACCCGCCTGCAAATAGTAGTGCTCTTTTATAAACTTACTTTATAGAGAACATACTTCAATGCAGCCATCGAATAAGATAAACGGATACGGAGTCATTGGAACTAAACATACAACAGTGGAGGTAAATCACATTCAATCAGGCATCGACGATCCTTCGTGAGCATAAAGATTCCTCGGCTCCAGTATCAACACCCCGTACTCACATCATCCATGTCTTCCATTGCACATCTCCCCAATGAGCTGATACTCAATGTCGCGGATTATCTCGATTATTCCTTTGACGTAGCCCATCTCTCCCAAGCATACCGTTATCTATAAAATGTCCTCAACCTGTACCTTTACACGCGCAATGTTCGCCTTTTCAGTGGGAGAGGACTTTGGCGCGCTGTGAAACTATGGAATGTGTCCGCAGTGCTCAAGTTCATTACGCACGGGGCAAGCAAAGACCAGTGGACACAGGACACGCGCGAGAGAAAATAGAGGAAGGAGAGGAGATGGGAACGGAAGAATGGGTGGGTTCTGCTAGATTTTTGCATTCTACTCACTCTGACTCGTCCTTTTCACATGAAATTTACTCTGATCCGGCTCGTTCAGGACCTGCAAGTGATGATGAAGAGGAGTCTTGGGTAACGGAGTCATCGGAGTCAAGGCCACAGTCAGGGTTGGGGTTTTTGCAACGCCCCGTGAACGATAGTGACTCAGATGATTCGCAGGCAGGGAAATCTTGTGCCTTGCCTTTTCCAAAGGACCAAAGAAAGCATTGAAGAAATCGAAGGCAGCATGGCACCCGGAACCGCCTTTAAGTGACTATTTATATATAAAAATAAACCCCAAAGACCCTGGTGTATCTCGCGTCATACAACGGCAACAATCGCATTGTTAATATCCTATTGAACACGGTGGATAACAAAATGCCTGCGCAAAATTCAGTACTACACCGCCCATTGCCGCAACATACCAAGGCAACGTGAAATACGTCTGGCTACTGCTGCAGAAAGGTGTGCTACTCAATTCTCGCAACGGTACCGGGAGAGCGTGTTAGGGATATCCTCTCAGCTGGAAGATTTCGAGATGATGACGGTTCTTCTTACACATGGCCAGACGCGGTACTACGACACTATTGGGGAATCGATTGATTCAAGCAGACATTCTTCTCAGGGGAAGCTCCTAAATGCCTTAAAAGACGGGATTAAGGGCAGCATGCCGAGATTGTTCGGATCCTTTTGGATAAGGGCGTGCTCTCCAGAGCGAGGAAAGAAGGTGCCGATCATGAATTGCTGGATCTCTCTACCAGGAAAGGAAATGATACGATCCTTAGCATGCACAAGGATGATAAAATAAACGAGCATGTGAGCTAAGGAGCGAGAAGCAAACGACGTTTACAGCAATCATATAGTTAACAATATTCATGTTTGTAGTATATATGTATGATGCTGGTGCTGGCTCAATGAATTCCTCAAGCTATCCATAGGCTCAAGCTTCCACATCCTCCCTTTTTCGGGGGTGATGGGGGAGACTAACCTTGCTTATCGACTATAGCACTTGGAAGAGGAGGGGTGGTGGATCCTACCCCAGTATCTAGCCATCTTGTTATGAGCTCAGTAACCGACATGCGTGACTCTATATAGCCCGCAAGGATATTGACATTATGCTATCTTACACATTTGATTGACCCATTGGGAAAGCTGAGCCGGTTATCTCTGAGTTAGTCAAAATACTTAACTAGATTCATCCCATCTTCAATTTCCCGAGACTTCCCCAAACAACCCCAGATCAGTTGACTTTGCGAAACGGTCAACATAGTACAAAGCCCCTTGACATATCTCACGTTCCTCAAGATTTCAAAAGAAGCAAAGGAGAGCGTCCCTCAGCTTTGTTTCCTTCTTTTCTGTATTATCGTTTCTGTCTCAGCCAACATGGCATTCCTCCTCCCGGCAGCCACAAGGCGATGATCTACAATCGACCTGGTAATACGTCAGTGGAGAGCATCAGTCACGACACCAGAGCCCGGGGTCGGGCAAGCCTTGGTTCAATTGTAGGTTGCAGCTATCCTATGTGTATGTAGTGTCTTACTTATATTGTCTTCTGTAGAACTCATACTGGGGTGTGCCATTCGAAATATGGTTTCATGATTAGTGCAATACGCGACCAGAGCATCTGCAATTTCTTTCTTTCTTTTTTTTTTTTTTTTTTTTTTTTTTTTTTTTTTTTTTTTTTTTTTTTTTTTTTTTTTTTTTTTTTTTTTTTTTTTTTTTTTTTTTGGCAAGCTGAGGCTGACTCGAAGTTATCATTCTCTTTGTAGTGGGGTCGATATCCACGGCCTACGGCAGCCGGTCAAATTAGCGGCCATGAGAGTGTCGAACACATCATTCAACTTGGTGCTGGGCTAGACGACAGTGACAAGGGGATCATATGCTAATAGCACGTACAGGGGTCGGCCTAAAATTCATCCACAACATTTGTCGAACCTGCGCTGCTTGCCTGGCAGGCACCGAAAGCAGTTGCTTAAAAATGCGAATCAGCGGATACTACACTGCTGGAACATTTCAAAAATATTGCCTCGCACCAGCCGAGTATTTAATATCAATTCCAAGCAATATCCCCCCTCACCTAGCTGTGCCTTAGCTCTGCGCATGGCTCTCCGCATATAGCTCTCTGAAGAAGACACGTACTTTTCGGGGGAACTGGATAATGGCCTCATATGGCTGTGGTGGGGTTGGCCATTTGGCATGTCAAAATGCTTCGAGATCATTCGGATTACGCGCTTTCGGCATCAATGTTAAGAGAAAGGAGAGTCTTGTCCGTGACAGCGGTGCCAAGAAATATCTAGCTCTAGGGGACTACGACGGCACACACATCGACGGCGACATATCCGCAACAAGCCAAGCCGCGAAGAACATAATGAGGCTTCAGTTTTGCTGCAGCTCCCGTATGCATAGGCAGACTCGACCTTTGCCGAATAGCTCGATATGCTATGATTCAACGTCATGCTTGTGGTAGTGGGCGTGCAAGGAGGCAAGGAACGGCCTGTCACTAATGCCAGTCCGAATTTGTAATAGTTCAGTAACACCAGCGTTTCTTCGGATGACAATGCAGTCGTCACACTATTGTCATGCTCGCCAAGGTAAACAACCATTCCATATTTGGGTCAGGTACGCTTTAGTGTCATGTCCTCCCATTTCCATTCAGAAGAGAATGTATCATAGAAAATTCAAGCGAGTGGGCGAGCAAATGGAGGGGTCAAGAGAGCTGGCCTCGTTGGTGCTACGCAAGGCTATAGGCCGTTACAGAACACTCAAGCAGAAGTTGACCGGGAAGAAGGGCGAGTGATATCTTATGCTATCTTCGATAAAGAGTCCGATCTACCGTTCTTTATAAGCTGGCTAGTTGCGTTCTTAGTGAGGAGAAAATTCTGCACTGTTCAAATCTACGGCATACTTTGTGTTCTGTTTGTTGAATTGGTGTACACGGTCGTTTACTCATGCAGACGACGCAGTGGATACGCTGCCATCTCATTCAGTTGTGGAAACAACTCGCTTCTAGTATCATTAGAGGGCTCCTAACCAATATAAACCACTTTAACCTCGCCCATACACTCTATATAGGAATACACATCATGTGAAGCCTGTAAAATAACACCTTGGGTCTCCAAGAATAAGACCCTGAAGTAGGGCTAGCAATATTCGACCATAGTAAGTGGATGCTTTACGCTGTTCTGCCACACAGGAGATTAGAAGTCAACAAAGCAGGCCGTTTAAATGCAGATCTACCTTGCAACAGATGATACGTCTCGAAAACCACTCTCGAGTTCAGTTCTTTGAGAATTCTTATGAGAGCCCAACATATAACGCGATTCCAAAAACAAAAGCAAACATGCGTTCACTGAGAGGCGATATGCTTATCGAAAATTACACGAACTGTTGTGGAAAACAGAGGACCTGAAGCTCCTCGCCCTGTGCCCTCCCTATTCGCCTCGATTAGCCAAAAGTGCAAGCGAGCATCAGGTCCCAGCTCTAACTGTCCCAAGAGCACACAAATATGGATGCCTCTGAATGCAGAAAAAAAAGGCGGCAATAAACTGGATACCCGTAGCAATGACACTGACGTTTTACCGTCCCTGCAGTCCATCCACATACAGTAGTAATCATCGGTGGATAATATTCTCTATGCAACCATAAAATAAAATAAACGAAATACGGGGTCCGGATCCTCATGAACAGTGCTGAAGCTTGCTATTTCGGCATCTGTCTAGGATCCACATGGGTGGCTACCTGCCATATCCATATTCCATTCCAAATCCCGGCTGAGTTCCGGATTGGTCGAACGAAAAAAAAAAAAAAAAAAAAAAAAAAAAAAAAAGCCAACACATCATTAGTGACTACATGTATAGCTATGCACGGAGTGCCAACGTAGTAGTGTCAACTAGGTAAGTAGAGGATATTGATAGGGTACGGTCCGAGCACTCCGAGGAAATCGCATCTAGTCAGGCATGACTAGATAAATAAGATTTAGTTTCATGTCATTATTCTTGCATGGTATGGAGTACGGTGGTGAGCAATCACTAGATGTTCCAGCGTCGCAGTGTGCCATACTATGTATACCACCGAGCTACTCCGAAACTCCGAACATGATAGAATGAAGTACTCCATCCAGTTTAGAATAGTCACCGCCGGCGTATAGATCATCTCCAACGGAAAACTCCGTACAGAGTAAATAGTAGAACTGGCCCACGGATCCATAACGGTATTTCAAATCTTTAATTCTGCATAAGAATTCCTTCCGGAAGTAATGACTAATGACTCGCCTACGACGTGCGAGTAGGGCCGGTGAATTATGATGAACAGTGCGTCTGAACGTGTCTCACGAAATTCGAAACTTTTTTTTTTTTTTTTTTAAAAAAAAAAAAAAAAGGCTACTATCACCGTAAAGTACGGCAGATACGTACGAAGCGCAGGTGTCGCATCCATCCTGCGTACTCTGTACGTCGAACAGACTAAAAAGGAAAAGTAGTGTGTTCCGGCTGCGTTTGACGGCGATTAACCAACGGTATCGTTTTTATATTTGAAATTGGACCGAGCGACGACCTGTCAAATTCGTAACGATTATCATTGCCTTTAGTTGGAGAACAGAACGCGGTGTGTATGGAGCACGGTGGCTGGTTGAAACCGTAAGATCGGAGTCGCCGGGTGGTTAGTGAAGAGCAATCTAATCCGTACTCCGTGTCCATACCGGCTCAAAGTCACCCGAGATCTTTCGAAACACATGGCAATAGTGTGGCTATCAGAACTGATTGCCCAAGTACCTATGCTAGTTCCTTGTTTGTCTGTTCCTGCGACTATGATTGCAGATTCCGCTGCACTCGGTGGCTCCACAACGGGAAACAAATTAAGATGTCGAACCCACTTCGGTTAGCCTGACGGAGTTATCAAACTTTGTTTCTATAGAGCATGAGTATCCATCTGCCGGTAAAGGGAGCAGAGAGGAAGGCAATGCGGATAAACTCCGTACTCCGTAACCTCACAAGGAGCCGAAATTGCAAACTCAACGAGGAGCAATATGGCATTGGCATTGTCTTTTCCCCGAAAAAGGTCCGTGAGAGCCAAAACCTGGCGCAGGACCCATAATATGTTAGAGATCATAAAGCCAAGAAGTGAAAGGTCGATTGATCAACTGCTGGTGGTGGGGCGAAAAGCAGAATTATCCCAGACAGGAGACGAGAATGCAATTTCACCGCCCGCCCACTTTGACGGATATGGAATCTTGCAGGCAGCCGAAGTATCGCATTCAGTGGGAGGGGAAAGGTTCGTCAAAAAATCTGTTGTTAGATTCTGGAAAACCCGACTACAGTTCCCGGTCCATGCAACAGGAGCCAGGGTTCACCCAATGACATGATATCCGATCGCCGAAGCATTGTCCCAACGGAGAGCCAGGACCAATCAGGGGGGTCTCTCTTATAATTTCCTGGTGATCTGTGAGTTGTAGACATTAGAAATTTAAATTTGGTCTTTAGAAGGCCAAACGGAAAATTATTATCAATCGCGATAGTGGTCAGCTCAGAAAAGCAACCGTAGGGTACTCCGGAATAATCGTACATAATACGGAGTACGTCCAAGGTGATTAACTTTGGTGGTCAAAAGCGTGGCGTTATTTTCTGCGGGGTTTTCTTCTGCATTAAAACAATAGTGTATTGTTAGGTTATTGCTGATTGTTGCGAGCATATTGTCGTATATTGCTCGGTAGGCAAGTCACGGCAGTTTGAGTGCTCAGGTCGCATTCATGTCCATGTCGGGTTAATCTCAGCTCTTCGTCCTGCGTAGTATTCCCTTTCCGGACGCAAGCAGATCCAGGCTTGAACCGACGACAGGGGCTGCATCATGGTGGATAATTCCGCACTGACCAATCGCGGATGCCGTTTCAGACGGAGAGTTGATCCATGACAAAAACCAAGGTTAACTGCATGGTGGGATGTACCGGAACTGTGTGTATGGACTGATAGAAGCCTCCGTATACAAACTCTTACGGCGTAAGTAGCACAGGGGCCACTGGTTCGCCGCAGACATGACCTATCGCCGAGTATTATTATATGTCACCCGATACAATTTGATGGATGCGAGGTGTGATAATTGATTGTGATGGGGTAGATCGACGTTCTCGATGATGCTGGGATGGATCGTTTTGACTGGATCGACTGACAGACCAAGAGCCTATCACATGTTAACGTTTCTTTTTTCGCCATCTCCCCCTGCACCGCCGTTCCAAAATGGGCGGTTCTCTCTTTAGTGTTCGACATATTGTGGGCAGGACCTTTTGGAATACGTGTGTCCCGTATTTTCTCGTGCAGGAGGCAGACCTTGTGACGAGGGCTTCTCATTAGCTGAATGCAGCTGCTCGTCATACTCATCCAACGGGAACTTCCGAGTCATCAAACGAGCTTCTGTCGGTGACATGACAGGTTTGTTTGTGGGAGTTGATGCGTGATTGATATGGATAGATTGAGTATCATCGAGACAGCCTCTCTGAAAGTTCTGATTGTAATAGATCGAAGCTAGAGTGAAGATCTCCCGACTCACCCTTGTGGAATAAGGCCGTCTTGAACTGGTTGTTCTCCTTTTGCGAATATAAATACCACGACCCCGTAGATGTCTCTCAATCAAGCCCATCAATCTGAAGACGTGCGACAGTATTTTGAACCCTCTATGCTCGATCATCCACTCTTTGGCCAATCCAACTGCTTTCAATTATTCCATTCAGCCTCTTCGAGTCAGATTCCGACGTCTTGATTCGTCCCTCTTCATCCTCAAACACCCGTTAATAAACCCACAACCATCATAATGCCGGTAAGTACATGACAATAATACCAATTATCCCGAGCCGTGTTAACGTTGCAACCCAGATGCCCGGTGTCCGTTGCCCGAGCTGCCAAACCGGTGGCAAAGAAATTTGGGTGATCCCAGGGAAGAACTGCCATGTTTGCGGGACGGCATGTTGAAACGACCGTATTAGGTATTTTTTTCGCCGATTTGAGAGCAAGAGGACCTAAAGCTAATACCTGAAAAGTCAGTTTTCAAGCAGCCTCACATTTATCTGAGGACATTGATTACGATCTGGGAATTTCAAAAACGAAGATCACCCGCTTCACGACACGCCATATATACGCATCTCGGCTTCTTCTCGACTGTTTCTTTTCTGTTCTGCAAATGAAAGGCGCACATGGCTCCGGAAAAAGGGAATGGATTGGGAAAAACAGGCTTGCAGGCGCTGGTGGTTCTTTGCACTCCGGAAAGACGAGAGGTCCCTTCCCTCTGGCCGGTCCCGAGGTTGGAACACTTCCTCGATCAGGAAGAACAAGAGGATACAGAAGGTTCCAACAAGGGGCCCCAAGGATGAAGATGATAATGGCGACCGATGAGAAACATCGGTTCTGTAGTAATAGACACTCTAAGAGTGATAGTAATAGTCGAATACGGCAATTAATCGAAGGCCAATCTTGAGGCTCTGTGTAGGTCTTCCTAATCGGGAAGGCACGTGCTCTGCTACTCACCTACCTAAGCCCAACGCGACTCTTGATCTACGTTCTAAACAGATCTCCCACCCCTCCCAGTTCTCCATCAAATCCATCTGTTCTCTACTCTGGATCCTGCCAATATTTTCAAAATTTAGCCTGTGATTGGCTAATAACATATTTACACATTTACTAATCCAACTACGTCATCGTTCTCCACGCAATATCTTGCTGGCAAGCACCCTGTTCTAGGTCTGAAAACAGACGGAGAGGATACAGACAAAAGAAGCAGTATATTCAAACTGATATTCGATTGCCATCAGCACAGAGATCGCAAAATGACCGAGACATACCCCATTGGAACTCGTGACGAGTGCGAGCGTCTAGTTCGTCAATGGGGATTCCAGCATGTCTTTACCTGGTCTGATGGAAGGTAGGTCACCTTTCACTTTCGATATAACAAGACTATACTAATATGAGGGTGGCCAGCAACGCTTACTACTCCCCTCACACCCACGGCGACGTAACGACACACCTTATTCGTCACGGTACGTTCACCGTCAACTATCCAGAAGACAATACCAATGGGGAAGTGAGGAAAGAGATATTTGGACCTGGGGCTAGAATCGACGTACCGGCTGGGAAACTACATGAAGTTTGGATTGGACCGGAGGGGTGTGAGTATGTGATTGGAGAGTGACACCCTGGTGGTATCACGATGAAATGATTGCATTTAGAATATCCAACCATACTGGATATCTCTGGTATTAATTGTCCCTCGTGCTTTTAATTGCTATCTTTAGAACTGCCGCCCTGCAACACCGATCCAAGCCAGTTGGATCTTCTTCGATTTTTGTTTTTTTCTCTTGGTTTTCTCGATTGCTCTAATGAGAAAACCGGAAATCGAGCCGTTTGTTTCCAGCATCCGGGTTTGCCAGCAGATATGCCTTTCTCTCTTCACTCGACATGGCATTCCATTTGGTCTCGTTACTCCTGTAATAATAGTCAGTGCTTGGAATCTTGCTAGCAAGGCTCTCGGAGTTACTAACTTATTACGCCAGACATAATAGTACTTGGAAAAGACAAACAGGAACGCGCTCAATGCAGCAATCGCAATTAGGACCTTGTTACCCCTGCGATATAACGGCTTGTCATCGTCGCGATAGATCTGTCGCCAATTAGCATTTTACTTGTCTCCTGCTGCGAGTGGGGAAGCTTACGTTGTTGGAAATGATACTTGACGCCTGAACAGTCATGTTATACATAGCCGTTGCGACTGTTCGTGTCCGGACAGATCCCGCATTTCTTGATGCGATGGCGACGATGATAGCGTGCACATAGGGCGCACCGATCAGAAGAATCAAGTCCACATATCGACCCCAAGTGCTGGCATCAGCAGGGAGCACCTCGAGGGTGATCAACAACGCCAAACACCACACCTCAGAGACAACACCCAGAAGCATGCGCTGGTTGAATCGCTCCGAAATCCATGTGATAATCAGCAGATTGATGATGAATATGACGTATGCCGGGATGGTGAGCAAGTTCGTTTCGAACGTTCCGAAATTGAGACTCTTGAGCTGCAGGGTAATATAGTTGGTTGCGGGCGTGTTGGGAATGCCCCAAATGAAACCAAGTGCATAAATCGGCCAAAGGTCATAGTCGCAAAGTGCACGCCAAAGCATCTTAGGCGTCAAGGCTTGTCGGTTGTGCATGCTTCCCTTGCTGGGGTCGTCCCGGAGGACACGATTGACCATAATCTTTTCCTCGCGTTCGTTGAACCAGCCATCCTTTCCGCGGATGCCACCCTTTGTCTGTGTTGGTCCTGCAGGCATCCAGAACATGGCGACGATTCCGATGAGACCGGTGAGCAGGCCTTCGAAAGCAAAGAGATATCGCCATCCGCCGGTACCGTCGCTCTGTCGAACATGCAGGAATCCAAAGGCGAGGAATGCACCGACAATGGATGTTCCCTGGTAGGAAACCCAGAAGTAACTCAGTCGGATTGGCAATTCTCTGGACTTATACCAAAAAGAGAGGAACAAGATTGTGTCAGGGATACTGGGAGTCAAGTCAGCAAAGCTACTGGCGTGAGTGATAGCGCAAGTTCACTCACAATCCACCCTCGATCAAACCCAGGAGAGCGCGACAGATGAAATAACCGGTTCGATTCTTAATGAACGCCTGGAAGGCGGCGATAAAACTCCACATGACCATTTGAATTGGAATCCAGCGATCCGGTCCGAACTTCTTGGACAACAATTGCGACGGCAACTCCGCGAAAAGGAAAACGAGGAAGAAGATTGTTTGGCCGGTGTTATAGTCGTTGGTGTTCATGCCCAAGTCCTCGAGCATGTTATCCGACATCGCCTGGACGATGTTTCCTCGATCAAGCTGGAGCGCGAAGAATGTAACGCATGCGAAAGTACAAACTCGGACATCGATCTATTTCCATCAGCATCGGGTGCGCATCATCGAACAAAAGAGGACCATACCTTCCGAATGAGACTTTTCTCTTCGTCTTCTCCCCATTGAAAGTAAGGGTCCCATCGGTGTATCCCTTCGTATGTCGAAATGGGTCTATAGATTTCCGGGTTCTCGGTGGTATCGAATGCGCAGTCGTCAGGAACCTTTCCCTGTCCAAGTCCCAGTCGCTCCTCGTCCGACAAAGACGTCGAGGATGCTGTGACTGTCGCATTGTGAGGGGACTTCGAGTCGTAAGACTCCTGGCCTGTCGCAGGCGTCTTTGCGTCCTCGATGGCCATTTTGAATAAAGCCTTGGCTTTGGCGAAATCTGTTGTGTTACTCGGGAAAACATCAAGGGAACTGCAGCTTATAAGAGCTGCACGACAGACAGCTCGCACGGTCAAGGAAGAAGAAAAACTCCCATCACGCAATATCTAGGCATACCGATGGATCCATCTGTCAAGCGCACTACATACCCAGATGGATAACTGTCACCTCGTGGTTTTTTCCTTTTACTCTATTTTAGAACGCAACAACCCGATTGAGCTTGTTCCAGGCCCGATAAACGACGGTGTTCGTACGCCTAACACTCCTTTCTCCGCGAAATAACCCGGATACTCACCCAAAGAGTACGCAGCCTCGGCCAGATCCAATTGCGGCAGCCAGAATCCAAATCACGCAAACCAGCGGCAACTAGCGTCATAGCAGGCAAGTAGGATTAAGCTCATGGGACAGGGATGGTTTTATCTTTCCCCATCAGGCTCTATTTTAAAGAATATTAATAATCATCATCATCATAATAATGCAGCCTTGTCAAATGGTGTGGCAGCGGAGTCATTCCGTATCGGTTTCATCGTTTGCGGATATGATCACAACATCGCTTGTTGTGGTCATTGGCGCTGCCAACATTAAACACTTTATACAAGCGTGTTTTAGAGACTTTAGATCGTATTCCTTTTCCCCTTATCAAAAGAAGTTTAATTGGGTCTCGTATAATGTACGCCGTATTCTGTTCATATCCCTGTCGCTCGTGGTCGTTGCGCGAATGCTGAATGTTATCACGCCATAGTTCTCCTAGACGTCTGTTGTTTGTACTTTTGACTGAAACATCTCCGACGGCGCCGTATATGAATATAATTACAACTATATCTCTTAAGTCCCTTTTGAATCTCTCTCGAATCTCTTTTGGATTTGAGTGTTATTTCTACAAGTATTCATTCGTGGTATGCTGGAAAAAGGTACCGTAGTCTAATTGAACATATACATTCCACCAAGCACACGATGTAGCAATCTCACCCGCCATACAAACGAACTCGTTTCACACTCCCAATACAGATAGACTCTACGATGATATTCATGCACCATATTCCAACCCTCACACGACATACCCAACACCCTCAAGTGGTAACAGACAACAACAATCTCACCAACACATCCTGAATCGCAACCCACGTCTTGCACTCTACCCGCGAATAACGCCACCGTCACGCAATGTCACGGGAATATAACGAGCATACCCCCTCGGCTAGCTGCTCAATGAATAGTACGAATCTCCCAGAATAGCCATTTGCATAGAAGAAACCCCGCGGCGGCAGTAAGCGATGTACATACTTCTGCATAGTTATGTATGGTATGGACGGATACATCGGATGAGGTCTGGCTCGGCTACGTTTGACACTCTGTTGCACGGGTATGAGTCTGATAGCTGGATTCTGTAGGATGTACAATGCTCTGGATAATACATACCCCGCAGGTATTGCGCAAGCGAGGGTCGTGGATGCGGAATGGCGGGGGTTTAACATTGTCTGGTAGTATATCAGGGCTGATGTCCCCGAGTAGAAGATCCGAATACTCAAATCAGATCGAGCAAGTTGAATCATTAGCACCATCAAAATGGCACCCGCACCTGTTGAAAGCCTTCCTCTTCGTACAACACCCATTTCCCAGCTCAAGCACGACGCGGGCACCAACAAGGAGAACATCATTGGATACAAGTCAGCCTATGTCCATGAAAACGAAATTAAGGGAACGGGCAAGCAGCCTCCTGCATCGTTCGTTAACTACCTCCCCGTCTGGGATAATGAGACGGAGAGGTGAGTTTTCCTGCACCAATATAGACGGATTCATGCTGACAGTGGCAGATACGCTCCTCTTGAACCCTTCGAGCACTATGACCACGGCAAAGACGCGGACCCGTCCTTGCGTGACCTCTTCCCTGAAGGCAAGGCACAGCTCGATGATATCACCCCCGAGATCGGTAGCGAAGTGCATGGCGTACAGCTGAGCCAGCTCACCAAGGAGGCCAAGGACCAGTTGGCTCTCTATGTTGCTCAGCGCAAGATTGTCGGTACGCACCATCACCTTCCCCCACTCATGCCCCCAAGAAAACACAGCTAACAAGCGCCCAGCCTTCCGCGACCAAGACTTCGCCCACCTCCCCATCAACGAAGCCCTCGACTTTGGCGGCTACTTCGGCCGCCACCACATCCACCAAACCTCCGGCGCCCCCAAAGGCTTCCCCGAAATCCACCTCGTCTTCCGCGGTGCCGACGACCGCAACCGCTCCCAGTTCCTCGAAACCCGCACCAACACCGTCACCTGGCACTCCGACGTGACCTTTGAGAAGCAGCCCCCCGGCACAACCTTCCTGTACATCCTGGACGGACCCACGAGTGGTGGTGACACGCTGTTTGCAAATATGGCACTCGCGTATCGGCGGTTGTCGCCAGAGTTCCAGAAGAGGTTGCATGGGCTGAAGGCTGTGCATTCGGGGATTGAGCAGGTGAATGCTAGTCTGTCGAGGGGGGGAATTGCGAGGAGGGATCCGATTACGAGCGAGCATCCGATTGTGCGGACGCATCCGGTTACAGGGGAGAAGGCGCTTTATGTTAATCCTCAATGTGAGTTCCCTCTTCTTTTCAGGGAAAGCAAGACATTGCTAACGAGACAGTCACTCGCTACATCGTCGGCTACAAGAAAGAAGAGTCCGACTTCCTCCTCAAGTTCCTCTACGACCACATCGCTCTTTCGCAGGACTTGCAGTGCCGCGTCCGCTGGAGGCCCGGAACCGTGGTCGTCTGGGATGTAAGCCACCCCTATCCCCTAAATCTGGTCGTGATAAGGATGCTAATGATGATAGAACCGTGTTACTGCTCACTCTGCCTTGTTCGACTGGGAAGATGGTCAGAGACGCCATATTGCCAGAATTACGCCGCAGGCTGAGGCACCGTACGAGACGCCTTTTGAGCAGTAGACTGCCTGCTTTAGTATAATTGATGAGAGCATGTTCATTTAATGAATCAATGCATTGAACGATTTCAATCTGCTAGTAGTTTAAGCAGGATAGTAGTAGAATGCAGTAAATGATCGCCAAATAATAACACGCCATACCTTGATTATCCACTCCGCTCTAACCCAATCAAAAGTATCCCGTACCAATGCGTATCAATTCCATCAACTTTAACTCTTCGCAAACCAAGAATCAACCCTAATCACCGAACGAGAACGTGGACGAACCCCAGATGGTGCACTATGTGTTGGTTGTTGTGACTCCGCGTCAACATTCTCAATGTGATAGAATTGTGCTTCATTGTCGGCTTTTCCGTCGTCTTTTCTCGTTGTTTTTTCGGCGGGTATAGTTGATATGTCTTCGAGATGTTCCCAAGTAATGATATTATCGTCGTCATGGCCGCTGTGGAAGATAGTTGGTTTCGTGGGTGCCATTGTAATTGGGTTTAGCTGGGTCCGTGGGTATTTGAGTGGATTGGTCTGGTGGATAGGTGCATGTTATTTGGGTGTGTTTGTGCATGTTATCACTAGATCGAGAACTTACCACTGCAGTAAGGATATCTTTGATATCGCTTCGCCTTCAATTTGCCTATGAATTCTTATAAACTGTATCTCAAAGAGATGACTGAAACCAAATGAGCGAGCAAAAGTCGAAGTTGTGGTGGCCAGATCCCCGAAAAAGCAATCCTCTTCCCTTGCGTAACCACAGCTTTCCCTCCATTATCACCCAGCCCATCCTACTATATCATAGCATCACACAACATGCCACACAGCACCCCACCAATGCAAAAATATTCAGGTTGTGTGCACAGGCCGTTCAAACCTCTCCAATATCCCAACCCTCCATTCCCGAAACTCCCTTGCAGAAACCGGTAACATCGCATTCCGCTCTCCCAGCGTCTGATAGACAGTCTTATAGATATCTCTCGGTAACTCAAGCTCTTCGAGTGATAGTGATGACGGTTTCCCGTTCTCGGGGCTAAGTAGGTCTTCGCCATTAGAGGTTTCTTGATAGAGTATTTTCATGCCGCGGCGAGCGGTTGTGGTGTTGCTTTGTGTGGTGCTGGTGGTGGAGTAGCGGAGGTCGGGGTTGAAGACCCAAAGCTGGTGGTTTCATCTGTTAGTATTTTGGTCTTTTGGGGCAGTTGAGGCATAGGACAAGGTAAGGGTAGGGACGCACGAGAAGACCATCATTCCCGCCAGCGTGGACGACAAAGCGGCGGGCACTTTCCCGCTCGACGAGTTCGAGGAGTTGTGCTGCTACCACTGTTTCTATGGGGTGTGTTTGCCGGTTTTGTTTCTCTTCCGTTGTGTCTTCTTCAGGCTTGGATGGGGTGTATGCAGATAAGGCTGCTTTTAGGAGGCGCCAACCGTTGGCTATAGGGTCTTCCAAGCCTATTAGGGCGTTGCATTGTGTGCAGGTTATACTCGTTTTCTTAGAGGTCTCATTTTGGATCTAGTACGTGGTAACGAGTCAGCATGCTTGACTAGGTACTTGGAGTTTTTGCAGAGTCGAGATGAATGATGGTTTGTATTGCAGAATACAGCAAGCTAATCTACAGACTACGCTTCATGTACCTCAAATAATCGCGTCAATCCTACCACTCTAGGAAAGTCAATGACCGAAATTGACGGAGAAAGTTGAGGCTCCTGCATGAGGTACGGCAGCCATGGCTACTCGCGGCAGGATAAGGGTGAAATCCATCTCGTGGAGGATAACTGCCCTTGTCTTACCTTAAGCCACCATAGCTCCGGATACCTCATGCTTGAGGTTAGTGTAGGGCAATTGTATCGGAGACCAATCCATGGAATGAAGAGGCCTCCTTCTTGTTGCCCGGTCGTGCGTATACATAGACGAGGGGAAATAGAACAAAGAACATCAGGTAGAGCAGTGAGGATTCCCTTACCTTTAATCCCCTACAATCCTCCTCAGCAACCAGAAACGTCGCCACATCAACAAGTCCCGTCCCTGAACTCGCCACAACCTGGTTGGCAGCTCCATAGCCTTTAACCTGCGAGTTCCGCTCCTCAATCGACACCGTATGATCACCATCGTCATGATCATGAGTGTCTGGCTTATGGCAATGCCAGAAATCCATCATCTCCGCCCAATTTCCACTTGGCAAATCTTTCCACACCCACCCGCTACTAGTATCACCAGATTTGAGTGCGGGCGCACAATCCAAAACAACATTCTCACACCCTCGACACCCTAACCGTGTATATGATCCCATGTCCCCCGCCATCCAGGGCACGTATTCCACGCTCGTGACTTCATCGTCAGGGCGGAGTAACCCACCCCCCATATCATCGGGATCGATCTGCATCCGGAAAGATAGCTCCCTCTCAGCCTTATTACCATTCCCTGACCCTGATCCCGACTCCCCCTTCTCGCGAATACTATTCCCAGTTCCAGTATGTTGCCCCTCCAAAACGCGCCGCGCTGCCTCATTCACGCGCGCGGGGAGCTTGATCGTCTCTGATACATCGTCATGTGGCCCTGGAAGAGAAACTGTCACTGCGCGACGGGACTCGGAGAGGGAGATGATCGGATCGAGGTTCGTGGGGAGAGTGATATAGAGTGTTGTTTGGCGGATGTTGGGGAGGAATTCGGCGTGGAGGGTTATGGAGGCCATATTGTCTTCCACGAAGAAGTCAGAATTCAATGATTGGGTGGTGCTCTTCGTTAGTACATGGTTTTGTTCTGCTCTGAGTTGTTGGCGATGGTGTTGTTTTGGTGTTGTCTTGGTGTGGTGGATACAGCTTTTATAGTCACATGATGCCAAGACATCAGATTGTATGCGTTTTTGCAATCGAAGACCCGGTTTAGACGTATTTAGGGTCAAAAGCCGCCGACATTCTTTTTATTTAATTTACATATGTTGTCTTGCTCTGCTCATGGTCTACGGGTTTATTCTTAGTCTTCGGACCAGGCACACGGAAGTTATATATCCACCGCTGCTCCGCGTCAGGCCAGATTGCGGAGAGGGAATGACCAGAATGACTTGGCAGCATTTCTAATGAGAGTGATAAAGCATGCTTATATCTGCTCTAATACAGAGCACAAAGTCAACACTGAACACATAATAGTTATCCCAATTGCCAGTCCGTGTCCGTGACCACCGACTTCTAACCTCGGCTCGGAAGTGGCAGAATAGCCCGGGCGGTGGCCCCCAGTCGCGCCTCCGAAGAGCAATAGTTGATCTTCCCCGGCTTTCCACCAGCCAGCTGAATTCCCTCGGCCGATTGTTCGTCTTCTCTGGGTCGGTGAGTTTCTGAGTTGCTTTGAGTACACCGTGGTTACTTGCACAACTCCGTTCGTGGCATGAAGACCTGAGTTCCCGTCTTCACTTCATCTGCGCCCCCTCAAACATACCATTAACCGACCGATCACCGACCATGGACTTCGAGCATTACGGTGGACAGAGCGCAGACCAGCCCAAGCGACAACGGCGACGACGACCTAATGCCGCCAGACGGTTGTTGCGCAATAAGGCGCCTATCTCGGCTCGTCTAACACTGGATCCCCAGTTACGTGGGAACGTCGGCATTGTTTCCGACGATCTGGTTAATGATCTATTTCAGTACCGGGAGGTGAAAGGTGAGTTGGGCCTCCCGTATTTGAAGGATTGAGCTGATATTTATTTCGTGCTTAGATGGAGAAGTTCTCTACGTCGCAGTCTCCCCGTATACCCCGAGCTACAATTCCGTGGAGGAGTTGGCCTGGACCATACTTCCGGTTCAAGTACATCCAAGAGAATCGTCCTATACCGCGCCTATTTCGCACTCAACCGTCGTTTTCCCCGATTCCGCAGAGTCGTTACAGCCGTTCCTCCAGGCCCAGAGCAGACTGGACCCTACGCGTCACTCGGTTCAAACACAGCGGGTAATCGAGATTCGGGTGTTGGACGTTGTGCCGCTACAACTAGATACGGTGTACGTGACGGTGGAGCGAAATCTCGTTCGAAACCACGATGACGTGCAGACCAAATTCGGTGGTGGATTCTCGCCCAGCATTCATGGACCCAATGGATTGTGGGCCAAGGCCGCAAAGGGTAGCGAGGTAAAACGATACTCGAAGAAGGCGGCGGCTGAAGCTGAGGAGCGACTCACCGCTGCGGTGCGTGAAGCTCTTGGTGCGCAAAAGGTGGTGCATACTGGCGCTGTGCTGCCGCTCCCGCTGCCACCGCATCCGATCACCTATGCGCCACCACCTCCCGTGCACATTTCGTTCTGCGAGCCGGTGTCGCAAGGTGTTCTGATGCCAGAAACTAAGATTGTTCTTGTACAGGCGCGGGCGCATGGAACCCGATCGCAGAAGAGCATGTCGTCAACTTCAAGCCTCAAGCAGGTCACAGAAGACGAGGCGGATGACACTTCCAATGAACAGTTTTACTCTGCCGCTGAAGAGAAGGGCAACGAGAGTGGAACGGAGGTGGAGAGCACTTCTCCACCAGACGACTCGGAGACAGAGGGCTCTGTTGGCACCGCAAGCGATACGTCAGACGACTCTTTGGAGGATATGATTTCCCTTTCAGCGCCGCAGCTCCCGCAACCGCCGTCGGGAATCGCATCCTCAATGACAGGTGCAACGCCTCGTGCAAGCTCCCGCCGTGGAGATGGTGCGCAAACACCGGGATCAGTTGCGTCTAACTTCACATCGACGACCATGCGTCCTGGCGGCCGTGGTAGTGGCGGCGGCAAGGTCTTCAAGGCAGAAGGACTTCTACGCTCGATCCCGCTTGAGCTACTGCATCCTCGACCTCGCGATGACGATGATGTAGACGCGTTCGTTTTCGTGGATATCAGTGCCCTCGCCAAGATTGGTTGTTTCTCTGGAGACTGGGTCAGAATCGAGGCTTCCGAGGAACCGCAAGCGAACATTTTCGCTTCCATCAAGCTTGGCAGCTTTAACGAGCAAGAAGAGGATTCTGGCGACTGGCGTGCCGTGAGGATATACGGTCTTCCGGGTCTTCCTTCCGCTAAACCGCGGTATTCAATCAACCAGTCGGAGCGTCGTGGAAGCTTCTCCCAACGTCTGCCAGTTCGCTTGACCCCGTCGGTATACGTTCCACCATTGCTCCTCAACAATCTCGATAACCCGAAACACCTCCGGATTTCTCGCATGAACTTCGCTTCCACCAACGGACCATCCAAGCCTGGCCTTCTGCACCAGGTGAAGAGCAGCTCGACAAAGACTCCGCCGTTGGCAAAGGAGGTGACACTGCTTAAAATATCTACTCCGCTATCCATGGACCGTGTTCTTCAGCCAGCCTTGTTTGCGGGACTCAAGCAGTACTTCGAATCTGCACGACGGTTGTTAAAGAGCGGCGATCTTGTTGGCATCAGTGTCGACGAAGGTCTTGGCAAAACTGTCTTTGGAGGTGCCGCTGCGACTGATGGGGTTGCCCAGGATGATGACCTGACTACCCGACTGGGTCAGGTGTCGGGGTCAAACAACCTAGGGAGAAAGGTTGGTGTTGCTTGGTTCCGCGTGGGCCATGTAACAGCCAGTTCGTCGGAAGACGATGAACCTGTCGAAGACCAATGGGGAGGCGTTGCTGTTATCGACACTGCAACTACAAGAATGGTGCAGGCAGGAAGCGACGTGAGCAGAGTCCCAGGAACGATGTACAACGGATGGGAGTATTGGCTTGGAGCCAAGGGGATACCCAAAGCCGTTGGTGAATCTTTGACACCTCATGGCCTCCTTACGGAGTCGCCGCAACTGTTCAATCCTCCTCTGCAGCAACGAATCCGCGATCTCATGTCTGCCGCGACAAGCCCTCGAGCAATCCAGCTTGGTATGAAGCCTGTTGTCATTTTGTTGCAGTCGCAGCAAAGACACATTGGAAAAGCAACCGTGGCGAAGCGAGCTTGTTCGGATATCGGATTGCATACTTTCCCAATTGACGCATATGATATCCTGACTGAAGGCGGAGCCAACGGAGGCGATGTTAAGACAGAAGCCTACCTGAAAGCTCGCGCCGATCGTGCCTTCAACTGCGGACCAAGCTGTACGGCACTCTTAATCCAACATATTGAGGTATTGACGGCCGATCGGATGGTGACAGCGATGTCTGAGATTCTCGCAGATGCTCGGGTGGTTATTGCAACCACTACAGATGTCGAGCAGATCCCCGAAGGTATTCGCAGCATGTTCACGCACGAATTTGAAATGACCGCGCCGGAGGAGAAGGAACGTGAAGGCATTCTGCAGAATGCTGTTGCCGACCGTAGTATCAAACTGTCGCCCGACGCGGACCTGGCTACTGTTGCTATGAAGACTGCCGCGTTGGTCGCTGGTGATCTTGTGGATGTCGTCGAACGAGCTTGCGCCGCACGTGCTGCGCGGTTGGAGAAGTTGGCAGAGGCTGCTGGTACGAGTTCCTCCGGAGCCAAGATCAACGTTCGTGACGTCGTTATTTCCGGCGGTGATGCCGCGCGAGGCGTCACCAAGGCGGACTTTGAAACAGCCGTGGAAGCGGCAAGAAAGAATTTTGCTGATTCTATCGGTGCGCCGAAGATCCCCAACGTCAGCTGGGATGATGTGGGTGGATTAGCTACCGTCAAGGATGCTCTCGTGGAAACCATCCAGCTGCCACTGGAGCGTCCCGAGCTGTTCGCCAAGGGCATGAAGAAGCGCAGCGGTATCCTGTTCTACGGTCCCCCGGGTACTGGTAAAACGCTGCTCGCCAAGGCCATTGCGACCGAGTTCTCTTTGAACTTCTTCTCGGTCAAGGGTCCAGAGTTGCTGAACATGTACATTGGTGAATCTGAGGCAAACGTTCGCCGTGTCTTCCAGCGCGCCCGCGACGCCCGTCCCTGCGTTGTCTTCTTCGACGAACTGGACTCCGTCGCCCCGAAGAGAGGCAACCAAGGCGACAGCGGCGGTGTCATGGACCGTATCGTCTCCCAGCTTCTCGCTGAACTGGACGGCATGAACGGCGGCGAGGAAAACAGTGGTGGCGTCTTTGTCGTCGGCGCAACCAACCGCCCTGATCTACTGGATACTGCCCTCCTTCGTCCTGGTCGTTTCGACAAGATGCTCTACCTGGGTATCTCGGACACGCATGACAAACAGGCGAAGATCCTGGAAGCGCTTACGAGGAAGTTCACTCTTGATCCGGAACTGTCGCTGCAGCGTGTTGCGAACCGGTTGCCGCTGACGTATACCGGTGCTGATCTGTATGCGCTGTGTTCCGATTCTATGCTCAAGGCTGTTACGCGGAAGGCGCTGGCGGTGGATGAGAAGATCCGCTTGCTCCCGGAAGGACCTGTTAGCACGGCGTACTTCTTCGACCATCTGGCGACGCCGGATGATGTTTCTGTGATGGTTACGGAGGAAGACTTTACGGATGCGCAGAGCGAGCTTGTTCCTAGCGTTAGGTACGTTCCCCTTTGCTCCCTTAATAAATGCGATGCTAACAAAAACCAGCGCCAAAGAACTCGAACACTTCGAACGCATCCGCCAAAGCTTCGAATCCGTCGACAAAAAGAAACAAAACCAAAACCAACAAGACCAACCCCAAGCCCAACAAGACCAACCTGCCCAAACCATCGGCGAAGCCCTCGAAGCCCTCCGACTAAGCGGCGAGCAACCAATCCTCGACGGAGTCGATGGACCGACCGTCAACGGCGATAGCCATCTTCCATTGAACATGGACAAAGGCAAAGCACGCCATGGACTGATGCGCAGTGCTAGTGGACATTCTATGGCTAGTAGTAAGGGGAAGGGGAAGGGGAAGGCGAGGAGTAAGGCGGGGTCGGAGGTTGACGGGGAGGTGTCGGATGAGGAGTCTACTGGGGAGGGTAAGGATGAGGATTATGTAGTGAGGACGGATCATTTGCAGTGATTTCTCGCTGTTGAGAATGGGTATGGGTGTGGTAGGGTAATGTATTATGGGCATGAGCGGGTATAGCAGTCGAGCATTGTATAGGTGCTGTATATAATATCTGCTGAGAATACCAGACCTAATAATTGATTCATCATTTATATATAGACCTGAGTGACAGTTAACAACTTTGGTTGACATCTGACATCTGAATTAGGTTATTTCCCGAATCTCTGTTGACTCAAGTCGACATATAGTGGCACCTATGGGATATTGTCCCGTCTTCAAGCATCGAGTATCATTGTATCGCCATAGTATTACCTGCGCTTAGGCACTGTTCCTATACCGTATGCAGCCCTACAGTTAGTCGCGTGAAGTACACATGAAATTAGCGACACCTCAGGCAGCAAGGCTCTATTCTCCGAGCCTCGGTGGCAACTGACTCGCATTATTTCCACGGTTACAGCGTATCTACCCCTTTTTATATCTCAAGAACCAATTCCGATACGAGTACTCTGTACAAACAAGATAACCAAATCCATATCTCACCCGCCAACGCCCAGTCCAACCCAATCAATCCTTTTCACCCGAACCGAACGCTTATCTCTCTCTTCGGACACCCCCCGATCTCACTCCACCGTTTCCATGCCCAAATTCGGCGACTCTTCTCTAACTGGCTTATAGCGCCGAAACCATGGCGTAACTAACCACTTATATCCTCGGAAACCGTCCAGAGAAATGTCTATCAACAGACACTGGCAAAACCCCCGAAACCAATCCAATCCCCGCGAAAACCGTAGAAATTACCCCATATCTGTTAGGTAACAGGCATATGTCTTGTTTATGTTTCCCCGCATATCTGTGGAACCGGGTTGACGAACGGTCAGAGGATATGGGTAGGCGTCTTGCCTAGAACGGACACGGAGAGGACCTGAGGGTAGTGATAGACTGAGAGATTACTCCGGAGTAGACGTCAGTCGGCGGGGAGGGACGGAAAAAGGTCAGGCTGGGCAGGGCAGGGAGGAATGTTAGACAAAAGCGTGGTTTCATCCTTCCTTTTGGGCTCCGGTGTCTTTCTTGTATTTTATCTTCTGGCTTGTCTTGGTTTTTTCCTGGGCTTGTGTGTTGCTTGCTTCTTTATCATTTAGATTTCTTTTTCAATTAGAGGACAAGCACAATGGAGAAAGTGCAAGGTGATGATGCTCAATTGGCTGCTATGGGCCATAGGGCCGAATTGAAGCGCAATTTTTCAATGCTGTACGTTCCCCTGTATAGGGGTTATGGCTTGCAGTGGTCGCTGACTATTCCAGGTCGATGCTGGGTTTGGCCTTTGCTATTCTGAATGTACGGGCATACTTACACGCGCCGAGAGATCAATGGGTAGCTGACAATCGCAGTCATGGACAGCCTTGTCAACGAGTTTATCACTGAGTTTGCCCTCCGGAGGGTGTGTCAGTGTTGTCTGGGGTGAGTTTTCCGTTTCGAATGATTCCGGTGTGACAGCTAACGTTTGCGATGAATAGGTCTTATTACAGCGGGTTTCTGTAATCTGTGTATAGCGACGTCGCTGGCTGAGTTTCTTTCGGCTTATCCTACGTTAGTCAATCGGTTTTTTTTTTTTTTTTTTTTTATTGCTTCCCCCCATGATCGCTTGCTGATATTTGAGTAGCGCTGGTGGTCAGTATCATTGGGTTGCAGGTGAGTTTTCATTCTACTTTTCACTATTACTGAAGCAACGGCAACTAACAACGAACAGTTAGTAAGTATATACCTATCGCCGACGTTTGAATAATACCTAACGAAAATAGTCGCCTGGGAGAGATGGATGCCGATTCTTTCGTGGGTCACTGGCTGGGCCAATGTTTCCGGATGGGTAAGCACGAGCACACTGCCTAGTACTGCGGTTTATGCTGACTTCTTAGGTCGCCCTGACTGCCACCGGTGGGCTGCTGGGCAGTGAACTGGTCATTGGTGTTGTTTCCTTGATGCATCCAGTAGGTTTTCGCCTGACAAAAGGACCAGACGTCGCTGATTTTTCAGACATATGAATCCGAACGGTGGCATCAATTCCTAATTTACATTGCCTACAACGTTATTGCTTTTATTATCAACGCGCTTATGAATAATGCGCTTCCGTTGTTCACCAAGAGTGCATGTGAGTGGCTGTATATGTTGGATGTTGAATATCGTGGTAAAAGGTGCTAATACATTCAGTCATTTGGTCCCTCACCGGGTTTACCGTCATTTGCATTACCGTCCTGGCGTGTTCTTCCCCGGACTATAACTCGGGGAAGTTTGTGTTTGGGGAGTTTATCAACCAGACAGGATGTAAGTTCCCTTTCCCGCTCGTGAAGACGAAGCTGACGTCCTAGGGCCCGATGGTATCGCTTGGTTACTTGGAGTATGTTACTCGCACATCCGTGAAGACACGTTCTAACTGTAGCAGCTTCTTCAAGGTGGACTCGGAGTCACTGGATACGTATGTTTTCTCTCGTCCCTTCACCATGCACAACTAACAAGACTAGGACGGTGTCGCCCACATGATCGAAGGTACCACCATCACCACAGCACGACAAAGAGAACCCTATTGACATGCGCAGAAATCCCCAACCCTTCCGTTGTCGGACCCCGGATCATGATCGGCTGTGTTGTTATCGGTATCGTGACCGGCTCGATCTTCTTGGTTGTTCTCCTCTTCGTTGCTGGGGATATCGACACCATCATCAACTCTTCTGCCGGACCGTTACTGGCGATTTTCAAGCACGCGACGAACAACAACGCCGGTGCTGTTTGCTTGCTTATGTGAGTGGACTCGCCTTCCTGGGTTGGTGTGGATGTGGATGCTAATGTTGTAGTTTCCCTCTCGTGTGCATGCTTTTCACGACTACCAGTATCATGACTACGAGTAGTCGGATGGTCTACGCCTTCGCAAGGTAGCCCCACTGCATAATACCCCTTCGTTTAGTGCTCAATACTAACAAAAAACAGAGACGGCGGCCTCCCCGCATCCCCCTTCTTCTCCAGAGTCCACCCGAAGCTCAAAGTCCCGCTGAACGCACTGTACTTCACCGTCATCCTGGTCATCATCTTCGGCTGCATTTTCCTCGGCTCGTCGAGCGCTTTTAACGCTATTGTCTCTGCTTCTGTCGTTATGCTGGATCTTGCGTACGGTATTCCTATTGCAGTGAACTGTCTACGGGGACGGAATATGCTCCCGGAGAGACAGTTTGTTCTTCCTAATACTATTGGGTGGATTCTTAATATTGTATGTTTCCTTTTCATCTTTATGTTTGATGGAGTGTGCTGACTGTTTAGATTTCTATTGTTTATATCGCCCTTACGACCGTGTTGTTCCTGTTCCCGCCTGACCTTCCTGTTACGGGAAGCAACATGAGTAAGTTTTCTGCCAACTGTCACTGTTATGATTTGACAGAAACTGACGAATCAGACTACTGCGTGGCGGCATTCGGAATTGTCTTTATCATCTCGAGCTTCCAATGGATCGTCGATGGAAGAAAGAACTTTGTCGGTCCGAGAATGGACGTGGATCCTCTCGAGGGAGAAGTAGCCGTCAACGTCGTCGCCCCAAGCACAAACGACCATAAATCAGATAGTGAAAAATAACCACGTCAGATATCAAGAATTGAATAAACGAGTATCATTGAGCAAAAACCAAACTCCATAGAACAATATCTATCCATACCCTTGAACCGAGATGTCTCATCCTCAAGCACCCTCCTCCTTAGCAGCAGCCTTGGCCTCTTCAATATCAATAAAAACATGTCCCAACGGTCCAGCCCTCGGACTCCATCCACTACACTCAATCCTATACTTGCTATCAACCCCCGACACCTCAAACCGATTAACCGGTTTCTTGTCACGATTATCCCAATGCAATTCACAGATCTTGTCCTCACCATGAAACAAGTCCATCCAGCCTTCGCTGCCGCGGCGGCCGCGAGCGCAGACCTCGCCGATGCCGTAAGAGGGGATGGTGAGGGCGTCGATGTCGGTTTCGGTGAGCGGGAGGGTTTTGTCAGTTGGGGAGTGGAAGGATCCTCTGGTTTGGTTAGTGTGAGCGTCAGGTTAGGGTGATGGGAGAGGGAAAAAGGGATGGGAGACGTACTCATATAGAAAGGAGTCCTTGATAGAGATCTCGCCCTTCTCCAGGCGGTCTCTGATATGAATCGAGACCCATTGCGAGGAATCCATCTTGCTTGCTTCCTTGTATAGTGTAGTATATTCTCTTTAAATTGTAGTTACTTGATATCCCATCCAGCTTCCCCGAAGAAGGGGGAAAGGAACACTCTTTATACACCTCCTCCTCATCCGTACTTCTGATGAGGTCATGAGAAAGTGATTCCCTCGGGTATTCTCCCCCATACGAGCAAAGTGACCTCATTTGCAGTCAAATTTCACCATTGACGAATGGAGGTCTTTGTTTGGAGCTGGAGAGGAGAAGTGAACCATGGCTGCAGGCCAATTCAGAATGCGGGGTGGCCTGATGCGGTAGGTGGACGTATGATTATCATGCTTGGTTACGCGTTATTAGGGGTTGTTAGTAGGAGAGGACGGGAGAGATTGGATTGTTCGTATGACTGGTGGTGAGATGCATTTGCTAGGGCGTATGTATGTACTTCTGATGTACTTTGTTGTAGATGAGGAGATGTTTGGTTTGTTTGCAGTATGCGTCATAGATGCCTGAGGAAGGTATCCCAACAATCTCCACGCCGAGGCCGCTCAACGGCTTGAAATGTAGCGATGGAGAAGCATACGTTGATTTCTGTGGTATCTGGGATATAATTAATTGACAGTAGTCTTTAATTGATTCTCCAGCTGTATTAGCACTTGCGTACTACTTCAAAACAAGCCCACACGCATCGGGCACCTCAACGACAACACCACAGTACAAGCAAACGCGATGCTCCAATTCTCCTTCTCCCTCCCTCGCATCTTTCCCCTCTGGGAACGATCGCAATTCAAAATCCCACCACCTAAAATCCACGACCTCGAAAATACACCTGAAAAGCCCGACCGCGCGCTAAAGTACCTGATCAAACTGAATCACGCCAATCATGCCATTTTGTTCCATGAAAGGAAGTTCTATAATCATGTTCCTCACGTGAGTTTTCAACTACCCTAATATGTATTACTGTGGAAGTGGAAAGGAAAGAGAATAGACAGATGGATGTGCTAACGTGACCTACAGTTACTGAGTTCGGCGTGGGTACAAGGTGCTGATGCGGATGAGTTGCATCGGTTGTATGAAGATGAAAGTAAGGCGATGGAGCCGTGGGTTGATTCGCCGGGGGAGATTAGTTTGGATGATTGGAGGGACTTTCTTGGGCGGAGGGAGTATGTTCTTGTCTCTGTTTTGTGCGTGGCTTTGCTGATAATGGATAGGTATCAACGGGCATTCGTAAACTACTTTGAAGACGAACTTGTCCGGCAAGGATATGACTGGAAAGAAGTCGTCCAAGAATACCTTTTCTCCGGAGAAGAACCTTTATTCAACTCCCTCATCACAGACCGTACGTTCCAGTGCCATATCGAGTAGAGAACACAGCTAACAACGCAGTCGGTCACCCCCTAATCCACCTCTCCTACGCCTACGAATTCTCCAGCCGCGAATTAGCTATGGAAGCCCTAGGCCTCGCAGCAACAACCCATAACCCAATCCATAAGTATCTCTCCGACCCCATCTACACCAAAACAGAATCCTCCTACCACACGCCCTCCCTCTTCGACATCTTGTCCCGCGTGCGAACCGACAAACGCTTCCATGGGCTCTTCGGCACACCCGGAAACGAGAACATCGAGAAAATCTTCGCCGCACGTGAAGATGCATTACTCAACCACTGGAATGCGTGGAAAATCGAGGGCGATACTGTCAAACAGTTCCGTGAAACACAGGAACTCGCTACAGCATTACTACTGGGTACGCATGCGGATGGCTCGGAGAAGTATGATTTTTTCTTCCTGCATGTTTTAACCACTAGTCATGCCGTGCGTGTCTTACTTCCGCTCATCCCGGCGAAGTTCCAGCTCCCCCTTGTCCGGCAGTGGTGGCTTATGACGCTATCCGTGTACATCGCCCAACTGCGTCCTGAGATCCATGTCAACAGAATTCAGTGCGTCGAGTTGAAAGGGAAGGACTGGAAATGGGTTGCTGGGATGGCGGTTAAGGGGAAGTCGGATGCTCATTACGCTAAGGTGTTGAGGGTGTTAAGGGAGGCAGCGGAGACTTGGGGGGATGAGGAGGGGTATTATCTCAGGGCGGCAGTTAGGTTTGCGGAGGAGTTTGTTGGGTGGGGTGGGTTTGTTTAGTTGTTGGGTTGTAGTTGTTGAGTTGTAGGGTAAGGTGTGTGTTAAGATGGTTAGAGGCGTACGGTTTCTTTTTTTTTTTTTATGAATGAGCGTCATGTTGGAGTGTTTGAGAACCAATTCGTCTCTATATGGAAGATGGCTATTCTAAGATGCAGTCCACGAGACCATTCACTCAAAAGACATTCACTACAGACAAGTATTATCCCTATGTCTCTTGTGATCATAGAAGTCCTATTCCAGCGTAGTTCATGAACTCTTCCCCGTCATTTATGATTCCGTTCCCAGGGCTGTTAGAAACGACCGGGACCATATGGGACTTATTACCCTATGTCTTAATGATATGCGAACTCGCAGATGGCCAATTTACATACAAATCTCGGCTTTTACTTTATCGGATGGGAACCCTATGAAACAGCCGACCATTTGCGCAATGGCTCCGCTGCGATCATTGACGCCAGAGACAGGTCAATCGAAACCACCAAGCTACTCCAGCAAGCCATTAGCTACCTTGAAGGATACCAATTAATTGCCAGAAAACACTGGCTAGGAATTCTCACAAACTCTCAGACCGTACGCATTCGATCTTTTACATAATATCTGAAAAATACCGTACGTTGTTGCAAGGAGGAAGTCCTCAAAATTATTCGATAATGGATAGGTCTGCGAGCATTTGACCGGGAAACGTCTTTACTGCAGGGTTCGTCGAGCTTGATCGAGGGGTCTCCAAAGACGACGATTCCGACTTTCGATTCAGAGTAGCATAGCCGCTGACAAAGATATATCGCAACGAAGACCTTTATTCGCCGACATAAGGGATTGGAGACCAGGCCCATATTCAGGGAAGTAAAACCTGCTGCAGGATGATGCAAGTTACATGTGGAACCCGTTGGCGCTGCTTAATTGCCTAATGTTTTTCTATATCGCAGTGGCTATTGATAGCGACGCCACTACCGGCTGGGCAGTCAACTTTTTTTCGCCATTTTCCATGGCTCTATCCTGCTATCAGGGCATATGGACCAACTTAAAGATAGGATCCTACCAGAAGATGCCCTCTCGGGAACAAGCATTGGAATTGTGAAGAGCACCGCAAGTTCATCCATTTTTATGGAATGATAGAGCCACTTCTCGATAGCGGCCACCTCTAGAGGAGTCTTTAGAAGTCATAAGAATAACTAGAAGGATCCGATAATGTTGCGTCAAGGCTTGAGCGCCCTAGCAGTTGGGGGGATGATGGCTTAAATCATTACTACCTGACCATACAGGCATAGTGTTATACCCTGCTGGCTCAATATGATGCTATTCTTATCCTTAGGCAACGGCAAGCAGACACCATGGCAATTCACTGAACTGCGATCTTCAGGGAGCTTGCTATATATTACAGGTTGGACGACTAGCATATCAAAAAATTGTTTCTCCTATCTAGACTATGTAGCCTTTCGTCGAATCTGGAGATGAACGAGGCAATAACAACTATCTGATTCGAACAAGATATCTAGGATGCAAAACTCCAAGATCCACAAAATGGCCGAGGAAAACGTGAAGCCAAAAAGCGAGCAGACTTTAGAGACGCGCACAATGCCATCAAAAAGAAATTGAAAGATCACCCCATGCCGCGATGCCGGAAATGAATGGGTTTATACCTACCTAGGCGGAGGAGGAACCGGCTTGGCTATCCCCCAACGCGAGTAGCGCATGGTCGAATGGAAGAAAGCTATACCCGGATCTATGCGGTTAGATGAACATCTTGACTATCTACACAAAGAATACTGGCGCAGCAGAATCGGCTAGTCAGGTATGACCATTCACGGCTGTTATACGCCCCTGCTGTGCGTGCAATACGATGTTGCGAGAGCACCGGGACCAACATGGTCGTTCGTTTGCGTTGGTGCCTGGCCGCGAGAAACGTGCTGCGAGGGGAAGGTGTTGTGGGCGGAACTGTGGTTGTTTAAGAGGCCTCTGTATGATTATCTCGAGCCTACTGGTGCAGGAGATAATGGGAAGAGAGAAATGGAGCTGGGGCGTGTGGGTATTGTACGGTCGAGTGCGGGTATCGCATTGAGTTTTGGGGATGCTATATCCCGCATCCGCGTCTCCCTTTCCCGTCAAATAATTGTTCCAGGGTGGAACTTCCGATATAAATGCCGATATCTCTCAAGACAAGAAATGCACCTGAATATGGCAGCAGTCGATTTACCCCTGGGAAGTGACCTAGCGGTTAGTAGAAGCCTTCAAATCAAGCCATTCGGTTCCATCTTATCCCAACCATTTTCAACTTTTGCTCTTGGCTGCCAATACTCTGTGCGGAGTGCGAAATTTACTAGCCGCCGTAGCCTTCCAGCGAGGAGTGAGAAATGTATAACCTAGCACAATTCGAACCAGTAATCCTCGCACGTTCCTATTCCTCGTTCAAGGCTTGGTTCTACAAGTACAGAATACCGCCCGTGACCGCCACAAAGCCGTATTCGCGACGAAACCTCGGAAATAACACAAGCACGGGCATACAAACAAAGTCAAGGGACCCGAAACTACGAGGGCCAATGCGCAGCGAGAATATTGGTGCTTACTCGGTGTCTGAGTTGTCGATAGCTTCGTTGTAGCAGAGTCTAAACAAGTAAGTAACTATGCCGCTTTAGTATTCTAGAACGTGACCCCACTGTCTTTCGCACGAGGTATGTACGGAGACTATGCTCCGCTGAGATTTTCGGATCTACTTCGGGGATACTCCAGCAGTAGAAGTAAGCTCGTTTAGGCTGTGTTCTAATTGGTTGTTGTTTCCGGTCATTCATGATCAGTTGTTCCTCGGACTGAACCACGGTTCTATCGGCATACCATTACGATCAAGCATTTCTCCCCCATACGAACACGAGTGCCAACAATGAAGATGACAACTTTCAGTGTACCCCTGTAGTAAGTTGAACTAAACTTCTGTGGCATGACATCTGCATATACATAGCTAACTACCCCGGCTGATGAGACAGATCGTCTGGCCGTATTGTATACAACCAATAGTACCGATTTGATGGTGAGGTGATAAATCGCTCAAGCCAAGGCATAATGATGATCTATTTGGACAGCTGTCAATTGTGTACTCGGGTTTATCTTGTCCAACACTGTCTAAGGTGGCTGTGATAACACTGCCACCCGTAACAATACCGCCCGTTACGTCCCAAGGGTTTCCCGGTTGAGGCTCTGCCAGGATTTGGCGTCGGTTATTTTAAGAAGACCAATAATGTACGTGGGCGGTGGTCATGTAAATACAGTTCTTGGCCGTCCTCCGGTAACAGACAGGAACAGCCCATAGCCAATGACAATTACGAATATAGTACCACCATACTCTAACTGGATTAGCGTCTTGGCGCATCAGGCAGACATCCAAGAGGTCTCAGCCTAGAGAAGGATCCGCGCTCCGGACGAACAGCCTCCTTCCTCTTGTCTCCGTCTGACTCTCTCTCTCTCTCTCACATCTCCAACTTCATCCACTACATCCACCACCATTATCATCAACCATCCACACTTTTGCTTTCTTTCTTTCGGCTTCAATATTAGCATATTTGTCTCCAGTTTGGGGGGATTTTTGGGCGCCATCTTCTGGGGATCTGAAGCATTGTCAAGGGGCTCTTCAGCATCTCCACTATCACCACTGATAACGTCCAGTGTTACTTTTTAATCGCCCGAATTTTCCTCTCTTGAACCCGTTTCTCGCTCTTTTTCTTTTCTTGCTTCGTCGCTATCATCATCAGAGCATTATTTCGTCGGCTGTTATATATACTAGCGTCCGCATCCTTCTCAGCATCACGACGCTATCGACCAGTTGACTAAATTCATCGCGACCAGTTTTCGACGGGTGAGTAGCACTGCAGTTATATTTCTTTCCCTTCTCTCCCTACTTCTGCGACTGTTCAGTTGTATTGATCGCTCTGGGCTCATACTAACGATCCAGAGCAGTCAGAACCGTGACTCGCTTGTACGTACGTCATTCATTCGGACGACCTATCTTCATCTACCAGGTGAGTCACAATCGGGAACTCAATCGAGCCTCCGATTCCTTGGGACTGACAGGCCCCGTCAAGTTTACCGCGTCTTTTTCCTTCGTCTCTTCGTTTTCGTTTGCTTCCGCCATGGCCTCGCAGCCTGAGTCGTCCCGGGTTCACCCCCGACGCCGTCAAATGACTACCGTTCCTCCTTCGTTCGCTTCCTCTTCGCGTATGGTCCAGGATGGATCCTCTCGACCCAGCTTGTCTCTGAGAAAGGGCGAAACGTTCCATTCCCCCACCACTCCGCCATCTGGGGATCGTGATCCGGTCGTATCTTTTCGCACCCTGCCTACTCGCTCTCCTACTTGTCCCAAGTCTTTGGAAGCTATCGTTGCGGGAGAGGAACGCATGTCTGATATCCTGAACCGTATTGACCTCAATTCCACCAGCAGCTCCAACGCCATGCCTCGACCCCACGACGACATGCCCGTGCCACGAAGTTTCCTCCAGCGACAAACCTCATCCAATGCCGTCGTGAGAAAGGCCGACAAACATCCCATGATGGACGGTCCACAACGCTTCTCTCAAGCCAAGATCCGTCATGATCACGCTTCTGACAGCGGATTGGGTAGTTCCATTAGTAGCAGCCAAGGCATGATGTCTGACACGGGTAAAGGTATATCTAACACTCCAACCCTTTACATTTGGCAATGCTAACCGTCAATAGTGGCAGCAGGACAGTTGTCGGTCCAGGGCTCTGAATCGAGCGCCCCGAATACTCAGTCAGCCATCACTAGCTCAATCTCTGCCTTGCAATCCAATCCATCGGGAAAGCGCTCGTTGTCTGCCCTTGCTTGCAAGCAGGTCGAAGCTTTGGTGATGATTCCGATTCTCAAGGAAGAGCGCTTGAAGCCGTTCCATCCCCTTGTGGAAAGCATCCCTCAGCTGGTTGAGGATAAAGAAATTGCCTGTCTGCGTGATATTGAAAAGACCCTTCTGTGGTTGGCACCAGTAAGTGATCTTCCTTTGGGCTTTTTTTTTTTTTTTTCACAAATATGGCGTTTAGGGGCATTGCTTATATTTTGATTTTTTTCTTAAAGCAACGTGCGACTTCCGGGGCGTCCTATTTCCGTTTCTGCGAATTTACGATTCAGTGTCTCCATACGTCACTGTATCACATCAACGAATTGGACCAACGACTGCCGTCGGACAGGCCTTACACTAACGGCTACTTCCTCGATCTCATCGAACAGGTCCGCCGACACGCCGCGATGATGCATGAATCTAGGAACAAGAACCGGGCAGCCGGGAAGGGTCGCCTCGCCTTGGAGGGCGGGATTGCCAAGACTGGACGCCCAGCTGAACTCATCGCCTACAAGGAAGGCCAGGCCATCTCCATGAAAACCGGGCAGGCGTACGACGGCTCTACTCTCAAGCGAAACTTGAGCGTCAGCTCGGCTGATGAGGGTGTCGTGCGCTCCATGGCTCGCCGCAAGAAAAACGCCCCTCCGATGGACATCAACCAAAAGTGTTCAAACTGCGAAAAAGTCTTCAAGAGACCATGCGACTTGACGTGTGTAATCTCCCCTCCCCCGTTAGATGCTAATGCTAATCCATACTAGTAAACACGAGAAGACACACTCTCGTCCTTGGAAGTGCACCGACAAGACTTGCAAGTACTACGAGATTGGATGGCCCACCGAAAAGGAGAGGGACCGCCACATCAATGACAAGCACTCCAAGTCACCATCTGTTTATTACTGTCTCTTCAACCCATGCCCCTACCAGTCCAAGCGGGAGAGCAATTGCAAACAACACATGGAGAAAACCCACGGATGGGCTTATGTCCGATCCAAGCACAATGGCAAAGGCCTTCCAAAAACGACCGCTCTGGCAACGCCTCAGTCGTCCAGCATGGCAACCCCGGCCTCTGCATCAGCTACACTCTCGACTCCGGCCACGGGATCCATTCAGTCACCTCACGAATCTGTCACTGGACCGGCCTACTCGAATCCTCAATTTTCATTTGCGAATCCTCCCGCGCAGACTGGAACCGGAGACTTCCAGCTATTCCCCGAAGCCAGTCCATACCGGGCTTCCTCGTCCTCTGCCAGTGTGTACACTGGTGGTGCCAGTGAATTCGATCCGTTCCCGACTGGCACGGCGGGGCTTGACGCATTCCAATCTCAACTTGAAAATGCCGACCCCAATGGTTTGATTCCGCCCAACATGGCGAACATGTCTCTTGATGTAGCAGTCCCCGACTTCGCGGGCGCAGCGATGGGGTTTGTTGAATCTCCGATGACTTCGACCGACAGCAGTAGCCTCGACTTGGAATGGAGCAATATGGGGGCGCAGAACTTCAACAATGAACTTGCCACGACGAATATGCAGATGATGACCTCGCAACCGGTTGGCGGCAATGCCATGCAGTCGTACTCGGAGGACCCATACATGGCAGACCCTCTGGCCTACACCCAGTTTAGCCAGCAGTTCGATGAGGGCTTTGCCGACCTGTGTGAACGAAACTACCAAACCAGCAAGTTTGACAATGATATCCCGTTATTTCAGAACCCCACATACCCCAGCGAGCCTATGAACAACGCCCTTGCGGGGATGGGCGATCCAAACGCGATGTTCCCGACTGGTCAGCCGCAAGAGCAGGCGGGGTACTATCACCAGGCGTGGCCCGCTGAGGTGGACATTAGCATCTACTAAATAGCTAGCAGCGCCTCTCTCTCTTTCTCCCTCTTTTTTTTTTTTTTTAACTTCCATTTTGGACATATGGCGTTTTTGGATGGTCTAGCGTGTGTGTGTTATGTGCGTTGTGTATATTTCCCGGATAGAGGTGGGTGCGTGTGCTACCGGGAAATGACTAGCTGCTATTTTTTTTTTGGATTCGAATATTTCTTTCGTTTGATTTGCTTGTCTCTATTCATTATTTTGTCAACTATTCATTATCTTGGGTCGGTGATGCCGATGTCGTTGGTTAAAATTCCGAGATTGGTGTAATTAGAAGCACACCAATACAACCTCATATCTTCAGTAGTCTATTGTTCTGCCTGGATAACTGCCAAGGCAGACTCACATAAATAGAAGTGACATGGGGGCCACAGGGCTGAGCAGATGTGTCAGAGATACATAGTTTGACTATTGCCGACTATTTATATAGAAGGCTGATCGCATTTAGAGAATGAGCCATGGTTGCGTATATAATAAGACATTCCCGCTGACTGACCACCCCTCTTTTCTCACTGTTACTACTCAGCAACTCCTCTCATAATATTCTGAATGTCTGCCCAATTCTTTCATAACAGCGTGAACTATTAAGTGATATACTGGGTATTCGGGAGTCCCTCAGTGAGGTCACGTATTTGATAGGGTCAACTCAACGTTTCTCGGCGCTGCATAAGATCAAAACGTCATCCGCCGTTGCACCCAACCAACGCTGCTCCGCTAGGCAGACGGATTCCGCCCTCTTTCTTTGTTCTTTACATTCTCTAGACAATATATAAAGCGAGGCTGAGAGTGGTTTAGAGTCGGAATCACCATAACCAACATGCAGAACGAGAAGCGACAGTCGATGCTGCAGCGCAAGCCGGTCGGCGGGCAACCTCAGGCCCCGGCATCACCTTCGCAGACCACACCACCACCCCCAGGGCAGATTCTGACGGGGAGGCAGGAACATTGTTCGCATCTCTTGATTCTACTCTTTTTTTAAGGACTAGCTTGCTAACAGTGTCTGGTGCAGACCTCAAACGCGAACTCATCGCCCACCAAGTCCGCACCGAGATCACCGAACTCAACTCCCCAACTGCCCTGCACCGCTTCGGCGCCCCCTTCAAGTCCGAATACGGCGAAGTCGCCCCCGTCGATTCTGAACTCCCCATTCTCCGTTACATCTTCGTCCACCATGTCCGCAACTTCCCTTTCCTGGACCAAGCCCGCGAGCAAGAATTTTGGCAAGACAAGCTGCAGATCTTCCTCGAGTCCTTTGCGAACAAGCACGTCTCCTCGTCCGAGGACCGGCTCGAAGAGACCAAGAGACGCAAACTGGCGAGGAAATGTGAGAAGCTGGTGGAGTTGATGATGGTGTCGGGGATTCCGACGGCGTCGGGGTATGAGGAGAGGATACAGTTTTCGGAAATGGAGGTTGTGGATCGAGGGGCGAATGAGAATGGAATTCTGGCAAATGTGCCCGACGGACATGCGATTCATGGGTGGGATGTTAATGTTGCCGCTGTGAGAGTTAGGTCTATTAGGAGGACGGTGAGGCATCATCAGCACGCTGTAAGTCACGGCTGTACAAGTGGTATGAGATGGTGGCTAACAGTGTCCAGGAATTCATCATTCGCGTTCACCGTGCAGGGCAGTCAGATTTGTTCGTTGGCAGGCGATACGGCGATTTCGCGAAACTTTATAAACAACTGCAGACTGAGTTCCCTGGGAAACCACTCCCTACACTCCCACGGAAGAACAAGACGTCTTCAACGTCGAGTTGGTGGGGTTCGTCGACACAGGATGACGATGTGTCTTCTATCTCATCGTTCTCTACGCAGGAGGTAGGAGCTGCTCAGGAAGAGAACCGTTCTTCTCGGAATCTTGCGCCAGGAGACCACCACAGCCATCACCGTTCTCTGTCTCGTTCGTCCGGTCGATCCAATCGATCTTCCCTTGGGAGATCGCCCAAGTCGCCTAGAGCATCTGGTGAGGAGGCTAGAGATACGGTGCTGTACAGAGAGGAGCAGCGTGTTTCTCTGCGCGCGTTCCTGCGTACCCTTCTCCAGCACAAGCGGTTGGCTGAGTCGAAGGCGATGCAGGAGTTCTTGACGGGAGAGCCTATTACCTTGACCGAAGGTGATCTAGTCGATATTCAAAGACGCAAGGAAGTTGATTCTGTTAGGATCGAGGAGCAGAAGCGGTTCTACGAGATTGCCAGACAGCGTGCTGCTGAGTTGGATGTTTACATGGAGAACTTCCGTCGGGATATCGTGGAGAGCAACGGTCTGACCAAGCTTTTCTCTGAAATTCGCGAGAAGCAGACGGTGGCCGATCTTAGTCCTCAGTATCAGAAGTTTGCTGAGTGGCTTCGTATCGAGTATGTATTCCTCCAGTTTCGATTGCAGCACATGCTAACTGATTAGGATTGCCGCAACTTTGTATCACCTGTTCTTGGCCGAAGACAACTCTCCTGAGCTGTTTGCGCAGTTCAAGCGCATACACTCGCTTGTTCCGTATACGATCATGAAGAACGTGATTCGTGTCGCTAACCCTGCGGCTGTGATGTCTGGTGTGCTAGATATCTTCCTGGCACAGCCATTTGGATCGCGGTCTCTTCTGCAGCGTATCTTCTCGATGACTTTGAACGACGGTATCAAGTCTTTCCAGAAGTCGATTGATGCGCTGGCTTCCAAGGTTGAGGACCCCATTCTGTGCCAGAAGTTGAAGGCCTTTACCGACGCAGATGAGGACGTCAAGAATGTGATTCGTTCCGAGGCAGCAACTGAAGACCTTGATCTGATCGTGGCAATTCTGCGATCCGAACTGTTCACCCCCGAGCTCGCACCCGAGCAGTTCGAGCGTGTATTCAACGGTTACGTCGCCTGGAACTACGCCGTCGACAACGTCGACCAAGAAATGCGCGAGGGTGCCCACTGGTTCGCCAACATGAAACAACTCCTGAAGCTCTACACCCGCCAACGCGACAAGGCCATGATGCTCAACATCGTCGAAGAGCCTGTCACCCTCCAACTGTTCCGCGATCTCTTCACCATCTTCTACGAACCCCTCGTCCGCGTCTACAAATCCGCCAACGTCTACAGCAGCATCACCGACTTCGCGCACTTCGCCGATGACGCCATCGCCGTCATCGAAAAGTGCCAGAGCCAAGACGCCTCCGCAGACCCCAACCAAACCGTCCAAGCCTTCATCGACCTCTGCGAGCGCCACCAGGACAACTTTTACAAATTCATCCACGAGGTGCATCTACACGATAACGGACTTTTCGGCTCGCTCATGTCGTGGATCGAGGGGATCCTGGAGTTCTTGAGGCACGGTCCGAACGGCGGGAAATTGGATATGAATGCGTTGATCCAAGGTGGTGTTGATGTTGGTCAGGTTGATAAGAATAAGGCGCTCGAGGAGATTAATTCGCTGATCCAGTGGCATGAGGATCGGAAGAGGTGGCATTTGAATAAGACACGGCAAAAGATGGCTGCTGAGGGGACCGGTACTGAGGGATTCCCGAGTGGGAGCTTTAAGACGAGTGATTTTGGTCTTGATGAGGTATGTTTCCCTTTTCCCCTTGCGTCTTCACATCAGAAAACATGGGCTAATTAAAAGCAGGCCGACCTAGAAGACCTCGCCATCTCCGACGCCGGCTCCGAGGACGAAGACCCCGAAGAGGCAGACGAGCGTGAAGATCTAGACCCGATTGCCGCTGAGCGTAGACGACGCGTCAAGAAACAGGATCAGTTGAGACGGACGGCGGGGGAGCCCGTGAAACCTGATGTTCAGGAGGTGTTCAAGTTGAAGGAGTCGTTTGGGGTTATGTTGAGATTGGTTCTCGCTGGGTAGAGAATAAAGGGGAGAACAAGGGGAAAAGAAGGGAAGAGGGAGAAAGGTCGTAAAAATAGGGGAAGAAAAGGAGGAGATTTGATTGACATGCTTGATACCCTGCGGAATTGTTCGTTAGGTTCGTTAGTTAGATGGTTTTATTGCTATTATTTTAGGGAAATGGAATTACGTGCATGCATAGAATGTTTTATGTACTAGGTGATGCCACATACACACGGGTTAGGACTTTTGTCCTCCATATGCCATATCGAGGCTATAAGTATACACCCACTGAACCTATTCATTGATAGTAGACCTCACAAAAACCACAACCCGTAAACGCACGGTTGACTACCATCCCGTATGCACAAAACGAAAAAAAAATAAAAATAAAAAAAAGAAAGGAGAGGGGACTACTGTTCAGACTTGTAGTATGAGTATGGTGGTATGAGTTATGGTAAGATGGCCAGACCCAGACGGTACGATGATCCGATTAGACTCCTATCACAGGCCAGGAGTTCTCATCGTACAGTCTGGCTTTACTCTGATTTTGCGATTAAGCTTGCTTTATTAAAGCAAGCTACCGAGTGTGGTTTAAAAGTGTTGATGCAATGTGTATGCGTTTGCTTGTTGACAACAACTAGCATGTTATGCGCCGTAAGACCAGGGTCGGTCTGGCTTCGATTTGATTGATTTACCGCTCAAGGAGTCTGAACGGATCAAGACAGGATGGGGCTTTCTGTGCTGGTTAAGCGTAGAGTTGGTATTGGATGTAATATGGCGAGATTATCGACTGCTAGTTGCAGCCGCGGGAAGCAAGGCAATTAGCTGCGCTGGTGGGTAAGCGTTCAGTGTGGTTTTGTGACCTGGTCTCGAGGATTGACTCATCAGTGATATACTTGGCTGCTAATGGAGTAATCATACCATGATAGATAGAAACCACAGAAATGAATCCGAGTACTGCATTCTAAAGCCTCCTTCATTCAATCACTGCATACAGAATTCGCAGCATCCGCACTTATCCGTAAAGGGTAATTATAGATGGTCGCGACGTCAATCATCCACTCCACCCCCGCATCCGCATGTTCCCATAGCGACGACATCGGTCAAAATACATCTCCTCAACCGTGACACCACACCACGACAAGTATAGCTATAGAAGCGAGACAATGATATCCCCTCGCAAAGAACCACCCCATGATGCCGGCGGGAATACAGCGACCGCATCCCCCCGCACCTCCACCGCAATTCCCCTAAACGGCCTTTTCATCAACGGTACCTGGCGCTGCAACTGTCCCAACCGTCCACCAGCGATTAAGCTTCAGACGAAGAATAATGGTGTTAATCATGGAAGGTGGTGTACGTTTACTTTTCTTTTACCCTGGTTAGGTATTGCGAAGCGAAGAAGTTAATAGATGAATAGTCTGGACATGCCAACAACCACAACAGAACGCAGGCCAACGATGCAACTTCTTTCTCTGGGCGAACGATGCGGAAGTAAGAGAGAAGACTGTTGTGCTTTCAAATTCGAGATGCGAGACGGAAAATTCCAACTCTGAGGCAGGGATGGATGCACCGACGACGCCATCGAAGAGGTCGAGAATGTCATTCGGGGACAAGGGCGATAATGGGAATGGGCTATTGACGCCGCAGACGGAACACAAGATACGGGATTTCTTCACGCCAGTTTCTGGGACGAAGAGCGCGAGGATGACAATGATGGAGGAGGATGATAATGAGCTGTTCGGGGATGGCGGTGATATCGGTATCAGGAAAGGGATGTCGTTTACGGATCGGTTGAAGCAAGTTCAAAGTGCAAATCCTGAAGAAAGCCCGCGAAAAGCTCCACGAACGGCGACGGATACTTCACCCGGGAAGCAGAAGATATCTGATATTGATAATGACGAACACCTACAAACCCAACGACAAGGCCTATTCGGGACGCCCTCGCGGCCCCGATTCTCCCCAAGCCAAGCACAATCCTTCTCACCGACACAGCCCCTCACCCAACGCTCTCCATCATTTTCATGGACCGCAAACCGCGCTCCGCCCTCGTCTGCTGAATTCTGCACAACACCCACACCTACGAAATACAAGAATGTGCTCGCCTCGTCGCCCTCTTCCTCCCAGACAGCACAGCAACCATCAGACCTCGCGAATCAGGCGATATCCCTCCTCGAATCTCAATACGTGATAATCCCGCGCTCGACGCAAGAAGATCTCGTTGAATTGCTGAATAAATTCGACTTACGGATGAAGGGGATTAGCCGCGGGCGGGACATCTCACGAGAAGCGCTGAAGAAGAAGGATGAGGAAATTATGAGACTGAATGAGAAGGTAAAGAATTTGGAGAGACAGAGAGAGATGGATGGGGCTGTCTTAGGGGGTCGTTGGTTGGATTCATGATGGTAGTGGTAATGATTTTATGTGATATGATCGATACCCGGTTTTTAAGCTTTTCTTTCTTTTGTTGGTGCTTTAGTAGTAGGTAGGATACAGGTGTGTTCATAGTAGGCCTTCATGACCTAAGATGACTATGCACAGCCTGATGCAGACATTGGATAGAATCTCACTGCCTCGCTGTCCCTGATTGTTTCTATCTTTGACAAGTTCCTGCATCACTCGACCAATTGTTAACCATCCTCAGGAAAGTGATGAACACATCTCAACAATCCACTTGGAATACAATGCCCTTCCTCTTATTGAGGCTCAGCAGGCGGAGGCATCAAGTCCAACAACTCAAACGCCAGTTGATCGTCACCGAACCACCTCTTGACTTCATATCAGCCTTGGCTACGTTTGGCAGGTACCGTTACCGTTATATAAGAACCCTGAATTCGCAGGAATTTGAATACATGTGAATGTCCAGAAGCTAATCAAGCACAGACACAGAATACACCATGAACTCTCGACACACCTCCCGCAACAGCCATCCGGCAATCCCTATCCTACGCATTTCCACCATCATATCTTCCATCCTGTGCGTTGTTGTTTTTGCATGGGTATTCAAAGCACACAACAAGGTGTATACGGATGGCGCAGGTGCTTATTTTACCCTGTTTCCATTAATCTTTGTACATCTACTCCTACTCCGAATTCTATATCCAATTCCATTCCGGTTGCTAATCGACGACCAAACAGACCGCATACGCTCTCTTCTGGTCCCTCCTAATCCTCGCAATCCGCGGCTTTTACAGCGTCTTCATCCACCCCGCAATCTACATAACATTCGGCCTGATCGCCTTCGGCACAATTCTGGGATGCTGCGCTGCAAAGCTGCATTTTGTGACGAGCTATGGATCGCAGTATTCGTGTGACCGTAGATATTCGGGGACGTGTAATATATATTCAATGCAGCTGAGGGTGATGGAGTATTTTGGGTGTGTAGTTGGCATTTTGGATTCGTGAGTTTATTTTACCTTGAGAGATAGGAAGGGTGGTGTGTGCTGACTGCATTAGGGTTCTGTACTTTGGGTTGTTTGTTTGGGCATGTTCGGTTTGCTCAAAAAGGGTTCGTGGTGTGCAGAAGGGTTGAGACTGGGGATTGCAGGGTTGGGACACGGGAATGTTTTGTTATGGGTGATGATGATGATGATGATGATGATTTGTAATGGTTAATGTGGGGTCTGGGAATGCGAGTTCACGAGCTCCTGGTTGAGGTGGATGCTTTTAATGGGACGTTGCAAATTAGCATCACTGCGTCAAACAATAATAACTGCTATAATACATTAATCAGCTTCATTTTACCTCCCAAAACCTAAACCCTTATGAACTCCCACGCCGTCCCACTATTCCTCCCCACATCAACCACCAAATTGTTTCTCTTTCCTACTTTCATCGGCAAGAAACCTCCCCAATGCTTCACCAGAAGCAAATACCCACCATCCGGGTGTTCCCGCACGCAGAAATACTCCCAAGCATCATGCCACCTTGCTGTAGCAATAAATTGGTTGCGGTTGTTGTGCCCAATATATGCCCCCGAGATGGAGTTATAAAAGCCCAACCACATCTCGTCATTTTCCACACAGTACCAATGGATTCCTTCACTGTAGCCCTTTGTCCTTTGAGAGGATAATCTCAGATTACCGTTATTGAGCGCGATGACGAGGTTCGTTTTTGGGTCGCGGATTATGAAGGATTGGCCTGGCCAGGGAGGTGTCTTGGCTTTTGGTATTGGTTTGTCTTGAACTAGAACCGCCAATGAATTTGGAATAACTGGTTTTTCTAGCATCTTTGGATATGCTAGTGCATTGTATTGTTCTTGGTCTGTAGTGGGCGATATTATATAGGAGCACAAGGTTTTCCATACTGTTGTTTTCGGTAAAAGGATGAAAAGAAGCAAACAGAATGCCACCAGTCTCATTTTTCCCTTATTTCTTGATGTTGCAGTAAAGTAAAACAAAAATGATGCTTCTGGTACAATTGGCAGTTGGTAGCAGGATAAAAACTTGAGACGCTGATTGAAAGAAAAAGGAATGGCTGAGAAGGATAATCCAGTAAAAATACCTCAAGATGTGAATGTGTATCTGTACCCCGCCGCATTTACGTGTTAGTGCCCTTTTAGGCTACCGCCTCCAAATACAACATACAACATCCATTCTTTCATTGCAAGGGTCTCACGTGATGATTTACTGCGAGATCAGGGAGCGTCGAAGGATGCTCCAGGACATGCACCATAGAACTCCAGCTTGCTCCGGGGCCTCCTGAAGTGCCACTCTGACTACTCCCAGAGTCAACCAGTCCAAACCTATTACATACAGCCATGGATGGAGATCGAGAATAAGGCGGTGATATTGGCTTAAGGATACTGGAAAGATCATTCAGCAATTTCAAACTCAACCCAGCCTGAATAATCCTCAAATTTCAACCCAGATGGATCCTCACCCAAAGCCCAGTTGTCTGGATCTACAGGGAATGAGACATCAAGAAAAGTGATTCCCTTCTGATATGCATGGAGCTGTTTGTCCCTGAGATCACCTTCTAAATCACCCCAGCACCACTATAATGTTCCGATATACTCGTCACTCATGTGCATTTTAAAACGCTCCCCAGTCTTAAGCTCGCCCCCTTCTACTGTGTCAGCGTGGGCAAAGAGCCTAGACATTGAAAGTTCATGTGTCACTTCTGCTCCTCCAGTAGCAGGAATTGTAGCCCACTCCAGGTCACATTCCCTGAGGTTCGCAGGTGATATTGAGGAACGGGGATAGTGAGGTCTGAGCATTCCCTGAGAAATGCGTCTGTTGGGATTTGAGATAGATAGTAGCCCGCCTCCAAATACACCTTGAGATATTGTGTCTTCTTCAAGAGCACATATTGTGTGACTAGTACATATAGTGATGGGCTGATCCTGCGTCGACTCAATGATGCGGAGGTGAATTTTAGTACAGGATCAGTGGAGAGAAAGGTCAGAGGCAGAGAATGTGACGACTATGGTGGCTCTGATGTCTTTAGGATCGCATCTTAATTTGGGCAAGACCATGATGATAGATATGAGGATGGACAGAATGTTGGGAAGCTCAATAAGAATGGCAGGGTAACAAAAGCTTTGATATATGTTCCTGATAAATACCAATGACCGTTATGGGGCGGAGCATGACAACCTTGACAGGACAGGTAACAGCCCTCAGGCCGATTGAGCCTCGTCGAATAAATTGTCGAAGGAAATTCCTTAATAAATCCCTCAGGATTTGCATTCAGCCTTGAACCTCTGGCTATAGCCGGAACTAAAATTAATCGCATGAAGCCTCAAATTAGCGAGCGAGCGATGACACTCCATTGCCGGCCAATGGAGAAGAGGGTGAAGCACGACACATTCTGATGCTTTGGGGGCCAGGGTTGTTGAAGAGGAGATCCATGGCCAAGGAGAAGATAGAGAGATCATTCTTAGAACTGATAAATGAATGAAGTGAAGAAACAACTGCGGGAAGTGATATATGTGGGACACATGACATAGAACAGCACCTAAGGCCTTTGTATTTGACGAATTCGATGCATATCCCATAAACCATCCTGCTACTTATCTCGGTCTAAAACTCAAACCCAGGATCAACCCTGATAAATTCCCACGCTGTTCCCCCTTCTTGTTTGGTGGATGCCAGCAACTTCTTATTATCCTTCCCCCCAGTTGTCATCGAAAAGAAACCGTCGAGATCATCCTTCTTCTCCTTCATTAGGAGTAAATGGCCTCCGCTCGGGTGCTGCCGTGTACAGAAACACTCCCAATCACTATGGCGCTTTGCATTTGCAACAAACTTCCCCTTGCCATCATGCCCAATGTATGTTCCTGAAATGATATTTCTGAAACCGAGCCACATATGACCATTCTCAATGGAGCGCCAGCGGCCTGCACCGCCATAATAGTATCGTTCAGAGAATAGCCCCAAAACATCGTTTCTGAGAGCGATGACGAGCTTGCTTTCAGGGTCACGGATTATGTATTTGTTGCTTTTCCAGGGAGCCGCTCCTGCATAAAATATTGTTTCATTCATATCCAGAGGCGGATGGCTGATTGTTTCGCTCGAGACGCTGGTATGAGTCGGTGTAGGACATTCTTCTTCGTCTGGGCACATTGAGGTTCGGGTTTTTCTGTTTTATGGGCACGCCAGAGCTATGTGCAAAGCGAATAAGGTGTTCAACTCACAGCCTAATCCGTCTTATTTCTCTAGTGTCTATGATGCTTACTAGAGGAGATCGAATCGTGAACTGGACTGTAACAAAAAAGGAGAGTTTGCAAATCGTTGGGGTGTACGAATCACAGCGGCCGTTGGGCAATGTTCCCTGCCGCAGCACCGCCATTCACCAGCTACCCTTGTTTAACATCCATACCAAAATTCCGTGGTAGTGCAACTGCTGTAATTTGAATGACGAATACTATCAGCAATTGCTCAATATTCACGGCCTCCAGTTGCTTCATATGTTATTATATCAAGTCATTTAAACAATAGCTATGCAATATCGCAAGGCTCGTCAACCCTGATAAATTCCCACGCCGTTCCCCCTCTTCGTTCAGCATCAACCACCAACTCCTTATTATCCTTTCCCCCAATCTTCATCGGCAGAAACCCACTCCAATGCTTCACAAGCAGCACATGCCCACCACATGGGTGCTGTCTTGCACAAAAACACTCCCAACCGTTATGTCTCTTTGCCTCAGCAACAAACCCCCCTTTGTTGTTATGCCCAATATAAGCCCCCGAGACGGCATTTTTGAAGCCAAGCCAGAGACAGTCATTCTCAACACAGCGCCAGCGACCTCCACTGCCGCGATGGTAGACGTCAGGGAATAGGCCTAGGGTGCCTTCTTTGAGGGCGATGGCGAGGCCTGTTTTTGGGTCGCGAATTATGTATAGACCACCATTCCAGGGAGAGGCATTGAACAATCCCATGTCAGAGCTGAGACTTGGACAGCCGACTGAGCTTGACTCAGAAGTTGAGTCGTCTGCAACACTGGTGTGTGTTGGGGTGTCGCATTTGTACTTTTCGAAGTCTGTGGGTAAGGTCATTGTATCGAGTTGCTTTGCTTCTTTGTTGGGTGAGCTGTGTGTGCAAGTATATTGGTAACGAATATACTTACGCTGCACCTGGTGATGTTGTAGATATCCGCTTCTACTGGTGAAATCAAATATGGAGGTGCTAGGACGTGGAAAAGGGATTCTGAAGTCGTCGGCGGGGTATCTGTTCCATCATGCATGTACAGGTGTACTTACAGCATCACATGATATGATTCTAATACTATTTTCATCCCTATCTGAGCATGAATTACTATGTCACAAAAGAATCATAAAGTCTGTTTAAAAAACCTTTAAAGGCCCTATCAGATATCGTGTCATTGAACTCTTCTCATGATTACAGTATGACAGTGATATCACCAGCAATACTAATGTGAGAATATCTGTGAGGCTGTACCTTCTCAAAAATGCTTTGACATGAGCCCAGGAAACGCCCAAGATGTCGTCGCCTACCATAGGCAAGGAAGGATTCGATACACCAACCACGATTCTCAGAGGAAGTATTTGAATATGTATCAGTCACCTGACCATATTTGAACGCAACAGTCGGTATCGAAGCATCTCGCTGGAAGGAGGTACTTTTATCATCCGTGATCCGAAGACAAAACTCGTCGTCGCGCTCAAGGAAGGTGTCTTGAGACTGTTGATGGCATATACCAATATGGTGGAGTAAGTCATCGGCACTGCGTTGAGAATAAGTACATGTGGCTTAGGTCTCACAACGTGGTCTCGGGCACATATCTAGGGCACAATAACAATGGACGGTTTATTGCAACGACGAAAAGTCATGAAGAAAAGGAGTGCTTTTTTGTACAGCAGCACCCTGGTTGCAGCTTTTCACTTCTGATGGAGAATCATCCGGGTGGTTTCTTACCGATGAAGATGGGGGAGGGGGCTGGTTGTTGATGATGGGAGAATAGGAACGGTGTGGGAGTTCACTAGGGTTGGTTCTGCGCTTTAAGTCTACTATTACGTTTACCATTTGGAAGATACTCTGAGTACCTGCTGTGGCTATTCTCAATTCCCTATATAACCGACCCGATTCTGATCAATTTGTAATGTATAAAGCCAAATTTAATAAGTGCGGAGAACAGAGAGTCATTTCTTTGGTGACTGGCTGTGCATACAGACGCCTTTCAGTTGCCCAAGGCATCTGTTCTGCTAGCTCCATGAGAACGACCAAGATAGTAGAAAAAGTTGCATTGACTATCGCTGTGTTGAAGGTTGCGGATATTCGGTTCTGTCTGAGGCTATCTGCTCGCTTAGGCTGTTCAACTCGCCAGCTCTCTAACCAACGTGCTGGGACGGACATTAGTGTAATTCTCGAAATTCCGCACCTCCGAGTCCAGAATCAGGGGTTTTTTACGGTTTTGGTGGTCTTTCTCGCGGCTGGGACGACGACAGATGACTTGGGCAGGCTGGTGGCGCAAATAGCGGTAGAAAGTAAGAAGGACTGTCACGTCATTGATTGGCAGAAATTCTCGGTTTCAAGTTGAAGTGTCGTCACTTCGCTGTTGTAATAAATCTTCCTGGGGAGAAAAGCATTGTGGATGATTGACTAGATGTAAGAGGTGAAAAGAGGAAGCTCAACCGTCAAATATGCAGCGAGGTGTCGGCACAGGGAGATAGTGAAAGAGCGATTCACATCTACATTCTCTCCATAATGTGCAGTTTAGATTTTCACAGTTTGCAGCATCCTTTCAATGTCGGGCCAATGGCGGCAATCCTAGTCGCGGGCCCTAAGCCTTGTCCTACTATGTCTCGGAGTCATTGGGGATATGCACATATATGAATTCAAACTTTGTTTGGTCTATACTAGTCTTAAAAAATAATTACAGAGTAGTCACTTAGGTATATCATCCAGATGGTGGTCTCGACCGAACAACCTCGAAGCCCTTCTCCTTCTTCCCCTTCCGGTGCAACCACCGAGATAAAGAAGCGCCAGAGTCTGTCGATCCTGACGGAATATTTTGCCTCGGGCTAGATGATCCCATGGCAATAGTCCTCCCAGCGGCGTGACGATAGTATTGATCAGACTCCCGGACGGAGTAATCAACATCGGATGGTTTACCCATTTCCATGTCCATGTCCATGTCTGCCAGTTCCATACTCGAACCGTCAGACACTCTATCGATCTCTGACGACGATGTAGATGACGATGGCGATGACGGTATAAATTGCATAGTTGTCCTGCTTATGTCGTCCGTTGGGGAACTTGATGTATGGTTGTGACGAGGGGGTCGAAAAGAGTAATGTTTTTCATTATCTCGAGTGATAGCTGAGCCTTCTAAAGAGGATGCTCTGAATGCTGTGTGTGTGATATTGACTGTATTAGATTGATCTAGCCCGGGTTAGCATTTTGAGATGCATTCCATGGTTTGACTTTGACATACCACCCGGGGGAAGTGCTGGTAATTCACCAAAGGTCGTTCTTCGCTTCGAGCGTCGTGATAATTGGTCAAAACCGAATACCTTAGCATCATTAGCATTGGCCCGGTGCAGGGAAAGATATGGTAAGCATACTGGAGTACTATCTGGACGTGCCGCCGAATCGGCTTTTCCCAGCATGGACCTCGTCAGGTCCACGATAGCAGTAGCTAGAAATCCGAGCACCAAAGTTGCAGCATGCAAAAATAAGATCGAATATCCTAAATAGCCCTTTATCCCCTCGCTCAGCCCTGTAGCGGGAAGAAATGCACAGCTCATGAAAATCGTTGTCAACCGGACAGCAGGAAATACTACCAATTTCCAGAGCGAAGTATCCCCTCGATGATGCAATGCGAGAACCATAATCAGGGATATCTCGCAAGCAGCAAGAACAATAATCTGGCCCACTCCGGAGATCTGAAGGCCACCGAGTGCTATTCCTTGGATTAAAGGAAGACCATGCAGCGCATCTGAGAGCCATGACCGGGTCGTTCGTTTGGAAAGACTGCTGTCCGTGAAGAAAATGTCCTGTCGATTTTGCATACTGAGGTAGCGGACGACAAGCCCCAGTGTGACAGCCAGCAAAGCTACCAACATGACTGCAAGCAATGTGCGATACACTGGGAAGAAGGTCGCCATAAGGGGCTGGTAAAGCGAGAAGGTGACTATGGGAAGGAGGTAGTACTGGAGTACTGTGCGAAGGACACTCCATCCAGTATGCTGGATACGAGTCAGGAATTCTGCTCGGAGGTCAAGGCCCCCTGGTGTCTTCCAGAAAGGAAGTATATTTTTCACCCACTTGACGAGCGTAGCTAGTTGGATGACAGCCGCAATTCCCACAAGCATCACGGCCAAATTGATAGTAGAATTGATCCAGAGATCACCCACTGTGGTCGCTCCCAGGGTCTGGGCCATCTCTTCCAGACCGTAAGTCCCATTTATCGTATATATACCGTTACTGGTTCCTGGATAAGTAAACTCATGCCCAATGGGACCATTGGCATAGTAAAGTGACGACCACGCAAGCTGACTGACGATGGGTTTGAAAAAGCCAGGGTAAGATAGAGTCAGGCAACCTGTCATGAAGACAAACTGAATGTACTGTAGACAGCTCCCCATCCCCGGAAAGAAGGCTTCAGCAGGATCGTTGACGCTATTGGCGATTTCGTAGCGGAACATGCTTGATCCCCGACTGTGATAGACCTTGATCCCGGCAGCAATGATGCCTGAAATGAGCATGATGGCCAATGGAAGTAACTTCAAGATATTTGACGCAAGAGGGCCGATATCGGGAGTAATCTTGGCTGCAACGCAAGCCACATCGCTGCCATTATTGAGTTGAAGACGAATAGTTGTCGCGAGAGTGTGTAGTCGGTATGCGCTGTCCAATGCATAGAAAGATTCATACTTTGTGTATGTTCGAGGATCAGATCTATACTATGTTAGTATATGCATATTTCCTATGTAGTAATGGGCATACCTTAAATGTCCAATGGGAGAAAGTGTGGGACAGCTCCCATTCGACTCAATCTGATGTCCGACAGAACGACCTAGCACTTTCACATCCACCAGAACCTTTGCTACTGCCCCATTGAGCTGCTCACATCCATCGGGACCTGGATAATCCCCTGAGAGCTTCAAGAATAATACATCCGACTCATCCAACCCGCCACTCAGGCTTAGAGGCTCAAAGACCGGGTTTATCGGAGACGGCGGAACGTCGGCAAGATCGCAAGCCAGCCTGCGGATAAACGCCGCCTGCACTCCATGCAGTGCCAACAACACCAGGAAAAGAAACCGCATGCTTTGGGGAATCCGAGATGCAATTCATGGAGAAAAAGTACAAGACGTGGTCTGGGCCGTTGAAAAGGTTGAGCTGAGCCTCCATTCTACTCTTGGAATTTTTATGGGGAACCAGCCAAATGGGGAAGCTCTAACTGTATTAGGAAAAAGTTCCTCGGTTGAATTACTCAAGTGGGCACAGCTCCTTGGCTTTATCATATTCAGTTATTCTGGACACAGTACTCCGCGGAGTATTATGGAAGAGCCCGAGATACACTCATGAATGGGCGTTCCTGGGGCACCGAAAATCACCGCGTGGATACCGCCAGTGTGGAGCGGCCGGCGGTGCAGTCGATTGACCACAGTCATGGAAAATGATGTAGCCGACAGCATGCAGATGCAGCTTGACGGTCAACCTGTTTGAAGATTCTAAGTGACGTCAATTCTCTCGGGCGAATATTGATCTAGATCGGGTCGAATCTCCTTGCGTTCAAGCTTTCCAGGCGTGCGAATGGCAGAGCAGGGAAAAATCTCGTGGAAGAAAGTCCTGCACATATCACTAGGATCGGTATTGATCAACAAACACGCAGAGCGATCCAAAATGCACAAGCTCGAGAGGTGAGGGTCTCTGGCTTGTAGCTTACCTGCTGATCATGACGCCACATATAACATGTGGCTCCATATATTGAGTTCAGGCACGCCGGTAATGGATTTAGAGCATTATAAAACTCTTCGATTATCCTCCACTGTACAGTGTGAAGGCTCATACATCCATCCGCTGCACCATGGCGACCGACGCGGAAACACTCTTCGATCATCTCGGAAAGCGCTACGAAGATGCGTATGCCGATAGTCCTAATCTCGTCGAATTTCTCGAGCTAGCAATCAAGGAGGTTCCATCCCAGGCCCGAGTGCTTGATGTTGGATGCGGAACGGGAAAGCCAGTCGCGGACATGCTAGCATCAGCTGGCCATGAGGTCCAAGGAATCGACGTCTCTCAGGAGATGGTGAAAATCGCTAGCTCACAAGTTTCTGGGGATTTCCAAAAGGCGGACATGAGAACATTCACGCCAGATGCTCCATTTGATGCCGTCTTCGTTATTTTTTCTCTCTTTCAGCTCACCCCGGGAGAGACATATTCGATGTGCTATAGATTCTCGGAGTGGCTCAAACCCGGCGGCATCGTGGTTGTGGGGACAATGCCTAGTTCGAGCGTGCTTCCCGGCAAAGGCGTACGCGACCCGACATGGAATTGTGTGCGGCAATTTGGGAGACCTTGGATGGATAAGCACACCAACGAGACATTTTTTTCGGAGCATGGATGGCAGAGGCTTCTTCGACGTGCCGGGTTTGATGTCGAAGCAGAAGCCCATTATGAGTTCACGCCTAAGGACTCTTCCCACAAAACGCCTGAGACTCACCATCTTTTATTGGCACGAAAAGTCGAAAGTCAGCCGCTGTTCGGGCCGTACGGCATTCCGTTCGATAATCACAGCGCATTACCCGCTATTGCACGTTACAAGTTCACCGATCGTCTGGTGAGCGAAGTCCTGGAGAAACAGTTTCGGAATCTGGGGGATGGCGGCGAAAAGATCCTCTCTCTGGGACGTATAACGGCAGATGAAAAGCCCGAAGTCAAATACTCGGACGGACCTATTGATCGCATACCGTTTCCAGCTGGCATGTTCCATGTTGTCCTGGCGTCATGGAAACTCGACTATGCGGACGACCTCGGGAAGGCACTTCAAGAGCTCGTTCGTGTAACAAAGCGAACATCCGGTTCGAAAATCATCATCATCCAAGGAGCACCCGATAATGAAGTGTTGCAGTTCTTAAGATCTGAAAATTCCGACCCACCCCATCAAGGTCTGCAACTGAGATTCGCTTGGGATTATCTAGCAGGGCATGGCTTTAGTGATGTGTCGCTACACCGGATTAATGCGCATTATGAGTTTCCGGAAGAAGATCGCTCTGAGAGATGCAAGGCAGCGACAGAATTCTTGGCTGGAAATCCTTACTGTCAATTAGACAAGGAGGACCTCGTTGAAAGACTTCAGTTGCATTTTCAGGACGATGAGCATAAGATCGGTCATGGAATGGTTATGCTGGTTGCAAATGCAGTCTGAAGTGAAGCGTGTTCGGCTGTCCTCTTTTTTTCGTAAATAGACATCTGCATACGGTTAATGGATGTAATACTAAAGGGCATAAGCTCCTTATAATATCATATTACACTTCATCATTTTTTGGCTTGGCCCAGTACGGAGGAACACCGCATGTTTTCACCTTGGAGTAGTCTCATAGATATAGGATTGAGTGGATGATAGCCATTCACCAGAATTTTTGCACTTTAGAGACTAAGAAAGTCTTTTACTCTTCTTTTCTTTTTTCTCTTCTGCGTACTCTCCTCTTTCTGCATACTAGGCTCTATCAGCGCCAAATCGCGTCTTACAGGACTTTTTATCAACTGATCCAACTGCCAATATAACTCGAACTGTCCACCAATCTGGTGTTGATCAATCCCCAGAACTCTTATGACACCCCTGTTGAATGAGCTTACAAAACAAATAGCAAATGCCTCAATGATCAAGCCGTGCCACTCCCTGCGAGGACTTACCGGCCTCCTTCTGGGATGAGTTCCTGCTGCTTTCTAGGCCTTCAAATCGCAGAAACGGATGAGCTTGAGATTCTAGTAACCGAGAATAGCCAGCTCCCGTGCCTTCATTGGCTGCTTTTTAGGAGCTATGCTCTACCACTGTTATATATGCAGAATAGGTCCAGGGATAATGAGCCGGAAATGAGGAATAAAAGCTTTGCCATTCAGAAGCTTCCCATTAGGGCACCTGAATGTTGATATCTCAAATATATCCTATATTTCCTCGCGTGCCTCTGATTCGCACCTTACGGCGAGAAAATTCTTGGGAAATTAAAGGAGACGGAGCTGTGTCTGTGAGGACCAATGTGTTTATGCTCCATTTTTCCATAGCATATGGACTTAAGGGTACCTTCAGCCAAACATACTTTCAGTGTCAGATGACGTTGGGGAAATGAAAGTTGAATGGCATTGGCTGCCGGCAGTGCGGCACCGTCTGTCTCTATTTAACAACACAGTCTTACTGGTGTTTATGAGCCTGCGTTATTATACGCAATCCCATAGATCTGAGAGAGATCGAATTCGGAGAATTTTGAACTCTCCGTGCAACGGTTCCGTTCGGAAACCATGCCCTTGCCGGGTTTTATTCTTATGAAAATGCCGTTTAAGCTCAGCCAGATTGTTTCTCTGTCGTCTTCGGTTGACGGTATGGGACTCATGTCTGACTTTAGCGATCTTAGCGATGATTACTTTCCTTATTTTGGCAAAAAGAGGGTCGACAAGTGGATAGCAACAGTAATAGCACGTTCCTGGGTTTTGCTACATACAGTTTGACTATCAGCTTTGAAATTGTATCAGAACAAAATGAACTATGACTAGTCTTGCTACAACACCTGCCTCCACTCTATCTTCGTCACTATAAATTAGTATTTACCATATTCCAGACTTCAGCCTATTTTCCCTTTCGCAAAGCATCACCCTCTGCAAGTCTCCCAAAAGCCCTTGAGATTTCCGCGACACTTTGCTTGATATAATCTAGTCCATATGTCAGTATTGCTTTAGACATCATAATGAAAAACAGTACTCACAGCAACCCACAACCATCCAAATAAAATTAAAGAAAAAGTAGTAAAACCAGAAGTAGTACCCCTCCGGCCTACAATAAGACACATCGAGCAAACTCGTCGCATAGTACAAAACGTCTCCGTATACCTGGCCCACGGAGATTATAAGCTGTAGGGCGTATCGAGCAGGGTGCTCCACTGCGATGCAATAGGCAATATAGAAGGCGAGGAAGCCCCAGGCGAACTGTCAAATGGTTAACAGAATCCTATTGATCAATATGAGGTAGAAAGATCATACAGCAGTAATGGCCTCCATACAAACCACAAAAGCATCGGACGTTAAATACCGCGAATCAGATAGCGAATACTCCTTCCACAGCTGACCGAATAGCCCTTGGGAGCTAGCGAGAGTTTCATGGTTGACGACGAAGTATGCTTCGAAGAATAAATGGATGAATCCCGCTAGTGTGACATGTCAGGAACATTCTTAGGGTGAGATGAAAGTGTACATACTCAAACACATCCAAGTAAAAGCAATCTGATCGGGTCGACTAGCTGTTGGTCGAATACGGCGTATAGCAATAAAGGCTATTCCAATCACAGCTGCCCATAGAAAGCCAAACTGCGCAATCAAGGAGAACACCGAGGTCTCATTCCGCACATAGTGAGGCAGGTGAATCGTCTGCGGATAATAAGGGTGCGGGACAGCGATGGATTCATTGCTTAACTGTACTGTTACTGCCATGGTACTAATGGTCTTCTGAAGGATGATTCAAGAGTGAAATTAGCGATTACTATTGCCTTAAGTATCTAGGGATGTGCGAGATCAAATGTTATGGTAACGCCGATGTAGGGTAAGCTCGGGGTCCGCGGAACCCGCGCCCTTTCGGACATGGTCATCCCGAATCGTACCAGCGCATCATCGAAAAGGGGTTTCTCAGCCATTCGGTACAAACCACTCGGAATAACCAGTTATATTCACCATATCGAATCACGCTATATTTAGAGTACATCGCAGCAAATGGTCAAAGTTTCGAGTGTGGCTGGTTCGCAGGCAGCTTCATAAACCAACCCATATACTTCTCAAGGCCAGGAACTATGCCGGTGCCTAGATACTCATCCTTCTCCGCGTTGGTAAAATGTTCCAATGCTTCCTCCGCATGGACTTTAACATCATATCCATAAACATCCACAACTGTCTGGGGATCGCCGTAAATGTTGCTGCTGCGGACATGATATTCTCTTTCAAGGTCCGGAGCCATAGCTGCATCACGGGCCTGCTGCTTAGGGCCATGCGCTAAGCGCCAGATGGCGCCATTAAGAAACGAAACCTGCTGTTTTAGGAAGGCCTTTGGCATCCGCTCGACTTCGTAGAGAGTTATAGCCTTCCGGAGACTCAGCTTTCCTTGAACGACGGCGCCGATGCACTTTGCGAGAAATGCTCCGTCTTCCATAGACGTAGCAGCCCCTTGAGCCATGTGGTTTACCATTGAGTGTGCTGCATCTCCCATCAACACCACATTTTTCTGGGGGGAAGACCATGACTTCAAGGGCCCGGTCACTAACAGGGCCCAGCGAGACTGCCATAAGTAGAGTGTAAGTAACAGATCAGGATCTTTAAAATGAGAGCAGGCTCACCGTTTCATGGATCATATCAACGATACACTTAATTCGAGGGTCGAAATCCTTGTACTCATTCCGCAATTCCTCGGTGGGGACATCTGGCTGCGTAGCATACACCTTCTCCGGACGATGATGTGAGAGAACTAGGTTGAACAGTTCGCCTGCACTGATGGGATATGTAATGATGTAGGCATTACACCCCATCCACACCTCCATTGTTTGCTTTTGAATAAGCTCTTTCGCAATCGAGTCCTGGCGAATACGTTCATACGGTATAACCGCCCGGTATGCGCAGTTTGTGGTTTTGGCATCCGGTCTCACGTCTGGAAATAGTGTGCTTCGCACAATGCTATTCAAGCCATCCGCACCTCTACACAAATCAAACTGATATGTATTCCCTTCTTTGTCTTTACCGTGACCTTACCCCCGGCCTGGTGGTCAAGCGAGACGACGCGGCTATTGGTGTGTATCGCTGCTCCCAGCCGCTTAGCTGTCACCGCAATACCTTCATGCAGATGAGCACGATGAACAAGCCACCATGGTCTCCCCAATGCCTTTTCAACCACAGGTATATCCGTATGTCCGTCAAGGGTGCCATCTTTGCGACGCATGTTGAGTTCTTCGATCTGGACCAAGCTGTCCTCGATCACGTCGGCGACGTCCCATCTCTGAAGGAGGACTGATACGTTTGGCGTCATTTGGATTTCGGCTCCGATCTGCGTTCCATCAGCACGGGATTTATATGTGGCATTTGACGCTGGTATAGCAGGGCTAAATTACTTCGAGCAATTCCCCAGCAGCTTCTAGAACAGTGACAGCCACCCTTGCGCGACGAAGCGCGATGGCAGCTGCCAGCGCGCCTATTCCTGCGCCAACAATTCCAACATAAACGCTTTGATGACCCTGAAGATAATATAAGATTTCAAGCATATGAGAACCTTCGCTCTGACCATATTTGTCATTTCGGGTCTATGCAAGCTTGGAGTAGAGGTAGGGAAAGAAATAATAAGGCTTGAAACGTTCCTAGCCTGAAGATATTGTCGAATTATTTGCTCACCCCATGACAAGTCGCGGGAATGCGTAGGCATTTATCCTTCCATCTACTGCTCAATCGAACTTGGAAGTTCGGGCCGCCGGGCCGTCGGGGAGTTAGGCATTTTGAGCACACATTCATGGATATGAGGACACCATATGACTGATACGACTCTGAAGTGGGTTTATATAGCTCTGATGATAGCTGTATTATGTAGCTTTTATGCTATTGATTGTCGTCTCATCATACAATGGAAATGCCGTTTTCAATATCGACCATCTCCCAACTACTACTCTGAACATGAGCAACCTTAAGTCTATTACATTCCCCTTTGACACTACTATCAGGGATTTGAACAATTACTTCTCATCATGTGGCTGGCCGGAAATCCTACCAAGAAGGTCCCAGTCCTGCCCGATCATAAATTCCCCAAGATCCACAAGCGGTACCAAGTCGGAGCCACCGAGAAAGAGACCCGATGAGTATTCGGTGGCGAAGTGAGGCGCCAATCTATTATCAGAATACGGCTTTTCTGAAACTGTGCAAGTGAAGACTGTTAGCGGCCACCACAATACAAGGGAAATTCAGAGTAAAAACTAACTCAGAGGGTCCAATATCACAGACAGCTGGGATAGATATGCCTGACGCCGCTCAACGACAGGATTACCAGAATCAATTTGGCGCAGTGTTTCAGTCGCCGTGTCTATATAAGGCCGCGAATGGCAGATCATAGTCCAGGCTGATGGGTTGCGGTCACGCTCCTTTGATGCCACGATTAGGGAGCCGAAAATGACTAGTGCTGCGTTGAATGCTTTTATTGAGTCAATATGGGATTTACCGATGTCCAAACCAGACAGGTTGCGACCTACTGTAATAAAGCGAATAGTTCCATGCATCCAGAAATTCACGTCGCCAGCCACTACCGGAAGACATATTGAATACAGTAGAAATAATCGACACGGCCGATTCAACACAACTAGCAACACTGTCAAGTCTCATATGCTGGAGCAGCCGTGTTTCAGATGTCACCATAGTTTCTTGAGTCTGGAATGAATCGAGGAGGCTCTCCAAGCAGCGGCGATGGACCAAAATCCGAAGGTTATTATACCGCACGTAGAGGATAACGTTAAACCTATGATGGATTACGGAGCCTGCATCCATCTTCTCAATATCCTCGCGGCTCACGGGGTTATCCCAGACTCGGAGTCCCGGAGAAGGAAGCTGTTGAAGACGCCATTCATCGAGTCGACGTTGGCCTTCGAGGATCCCCGATATGGCATCTATAGAACTCGTTGAGACTTCGATCCCTAAATTGGCCCCGTAGCATGATTCTAGTACGTTGTAGAGTATGGCATATAGCTTTCTATATATTATCAACGGAGGGCGCCTCTGCTTGTCAATTTAGTCGAAACTCACATTGCAGCTGTGAAAAAAGAGCCATCCAACGTAGGATGGGATTCGGTTTCCGGGGTCAAACTGAGCATCTACAAGTTTTGAGAGGGCATGTCCGACTTTACGTAGGATTCAGGGACACTGCACAGGCGGCAAAAGGTCATGCTTAAAGTGCTAGGATTATGAAGAATCAGCGCAAAATTTGATAATTCGTCAAGAGAGATTCTCATCGGTCAAGTAGCACACATCCAAACCAGGTGCGCTTTCGGATTTCACATTTCAATGAGCGAAATCCCCGGTTTGCATCCGGAGAGTGCAGGCCTAATTGATATGCCGCAGAAATTGCCAACCCATGAGCGGCCCAGGCCTGCACTGAGTTTTGAGTACCTTGAAGGTACTGGCCCAAGATCAGGAGATATTGGACTTCATCAATCGTCAGTTGTTTAGGGTCATGTCAAGAACATGGTCATTGATACATACCAATCTCAAGACTAGCATTTCTTCTAGAGTCTCGATCGCATAGACCATTTGCCCTTTGATAATACACGTTAGATTCCTGTATTCGCTTTTCTGTAGGAATTTCACCCTTGGTCAATAGGCTTGCTGCGATGGCGAGGACGATATTGAGCAGACCGAGCCAGATTCTGCAAACCTTACTAAACTTCTCCCTCTTCATCTGAAAGTAGGTCTCACAGAATGATGGCTCATGGATAAACGGCAGAAGTTGTCCGGTCTTATAAAAGTACTGCTGGATTAGATTCCATGTACGCTCCTCGCTGGGTAAGGCGTAGATGTTGACTGCCGGGCTCGGAATCGAATTTTCAGCACCCGATTCTGCGCCTCTCGATGGAGGTCGTGATTTGGCTACGCTGATCATTCTGCTGTATTCTCTCTGCAGGGGAGATGGACTCAGGGTTGGCTCCCTGTGCGGGCTTGCTTTTGCTATCACTTGCGATATATAACGCATGAAGGCGATATTGGAAGATGGCCCTAGCACAAATAGCGACCATTATTGGATACAGATAGCCAATTTTCGCACCAAAGAAACCACAATCCTCTTCGTCTGTGAACTTCATTGCTCCTATTCCGTTTATCGAGCTTTCGGACACATCAACCTCTCCTAGTTCCGATATGCTCTGATTCCTGGGACCTGGCGGTACTGAGTCGGTCGGTGGGTATTCCACTGAGTCTTCCGGTGTGTTCGGCTCCCTCCTCGGCTCTTGGCTATTTGCGGGTGCCGAGCTAGAGTCTTGAAGCTGCCATAACCCCATAAGTTTATAGTCTATGTACTTCACATTGAAAACTTCCATTGAAGCCGCTGTAGGTATATATCTTCGAGTTTGTTTACGCTGAAGATATCCAACTCGATGGCCGGAAGCTTCTGCGCACCCCTTCTAGTTACTTTCAATATAGACATGTCCCTAATCAGATATTCATTGCCTTCTATCACGAAATAAGCACCTTCCTCCAGGTCGCTGGTCTAAGAGCATACTTAGCATTCGGTTAAGTCTAACTCTGAAGCAGATTCATGCATGTATAACGGGGTAGAAGTAGTAGTGGACGTCTTTCTTGTTCACTCAGCAGTACTCTGTTCATCTGAAAATAGGTACGTACTTAGATTAGAGAACATTCTGCGATTTAAATATGGTGGGTTAATGGTGGTGGTTATTTGGATCTTTCAGCTCCGCCGCTACCAGATATATCCCACATCCCAACAAACCGATTAGAAAAGACTGGCTGTTAATCTAGAAGCTCTTGCAAGTTAGTTGTAAACTTATTGATTTGCCATAATAATCCGGAAAGTAGTTTTCATGTCAGGTCAGGCTGCGTGGGGCGGAGCTTGGGCCATAGTTCTATTCGCATATATCGTAGTATACGACTCCTCCAGTCTCGCGAAGACAAATAATTTCTTGGGCCACGCTCCATGCTTCTCTATTGACTAAGCCGCTTACGCGGCTAACTACTTATGCATTCGTCTCTATAGAGATATAATGGGGTGTTTTACATCATACAGGCTGTATGTAGCCACCCTATCAGGACGGCTACCAATTAACACGCAGTTGAACAGCACAACATGCGTTACGCATAATAAGTACAATATCTTTGAGCGGGGTATGATTTCTATATAAAACTCATATCACTGCTCAGCTATTTATTGCTCCTAAGCATATCTTACACTTCTCGTTCTCTTTGCTACCACTGTTATAACCAACATGCCACCCAAAAGACAAAAGTCAGCCAAGCGATGGTCCCTATATCCAACACTCCATGATGATGTAGCACGATTGCTAGAAGAAGAAGACCTCGCCCTCGAATTTTATAATATCGACACTGATGAAGGTGGCCGTCACATGCATGATAGTAACATCATGGGTCGATTCATATGCCGCAACGGTGCATGCAAATCCTCCGGATGGTCGAGCAAAAAGATCGCCATAACAATACGGATGTATCCCGGACAGAAATACAATGCCCGAGTGTATCATCAACGTTGCAAAAACTGTAACTGTATCAGTCGACCGATTCTGGACGAGTCATATGCGGAAAGGGTCACGTACAGGATTAAGAAATGGAATGGGGTTGAGGTTGAAAGTCCTCGTATATCCGGTGCAAGCAAAGGCCCACACAATAGCCTGCTGTGTGAGGGATGCAAAGCCGGCCATTGTAGTGAGTTAGGGGGCGGCAATTGGATTGTCCAAATGGAAAGGTGAGTTACTCGATTACGTTCCATTTTGTATTCAATTAACCATCATTCAGATTGACTATCTGACTTAAGGCCCTGATTCTCTCTATTTCCATAATTTATCTGCAGTTTTCTGGGTTTTACTGTTTATAATTTCAATTGCTGTGCTTATTTGGTTATTTGCATGGGTTCAAGTATCGAGGAAAGAGAATACTCAAGTCCACTTACGAGCTTTCACGATGTAACGATCTCATTTATGTTATCTACTATTACCCTGAGGCATCAGCATCTCAATTTGTAGCCCGTGGAAGTATCGATCGAACACTTATTTTTCTTTCTTCCACAGATTTATGATAGGAACGAGCATACAAAATCGAGGCTGGGCTAGCTGAGAGCTCTATTGCCAATTACCATAGCACTTAACCCGAAACAATTTGAAATCCTCATTGCTGGTGCTGACTTTGGTAGAATTTGTGGGGCTTGCACACTGGATTACCTTGTCTAGAAAGTGGCGGCGTATCTATCAATCCAAGACTATTCTGACCCAGAAAAGTAGGCGTTGATGGAATAGAATAATTGAAGATGTCACTTCCTGACGAGCCAATGTCCAGGTTCTCGATTTGTGGCGCATCAAGTCCATCTATTTCTGAGAAATCTGGAAATGTATGTAATGCTGGATCGTTATGTTCGAGAATTTGTTCAATAGCTGAGTAATCGATAGAAGCCAAGGGATCTTCGACGATTCCGGGTGCCGTGATCTCTGATGCTTGCAATGCAAATTCGCTTGAATTAGACGGCGCCTGTTGTTCTTCGTTTCTCTGTTTCTCTCGTAATGCCGTTGCTTGCGCCATGAGCCGGGGCAACGGCTGCCACAATGGTTTATCTTGTTCCGCCGCTTGTCTTTGCCATTGGTCAAAGATATCGGATACGCATGACCATGATCGCTCCAATGGCGGGCTATTCGGGGTAGTACAGAGTTGGGCCAGAAGATAGGCGACTGCATACCAGGGAACACAGGTCTGAAACTCCCATTTCCATCGTGCCATGGTATTGTTCGTCTGCAGCAGATGCGAGAGCTCGATTACCTCGACTGCTTTGGAAAGAAGCATGCTCTGTGTATCTAGGGATAGAGAGGCAATGCTTTCTTGTTTGTTCAAGGGCTGGTAAATGACCAGCCATAGTTTGGCGACGGCTATATGCATAATCTTGGTGCAAGCCCAGTGGAGAGGTATATCGGGGTCGCAATGACGGACATATCGCTCGTTGAGGCGACTCTCGAGGTCCCGGACGAGAGACTGGCGTTCTTCGACATTTTTCAGGCCAGGGCAGATATTCCCGGGCGGGTTGTAAGTCAAGCGGCGGGTGGCCAGAGCGACTTCACATTGAAGAAGGAAGTAGGTCATATCCGTGCAGCCAACACGCTCCTGTGGTAGATACTTCATACCTTCAGATATGTCCTCATCATTTATATTCAAGGGAAGCTTAGTGTCGAAAAAGATGTCATGCAGCATTGGATCTGTCCCCAGGTCCTCTGCTGTCTGGACATCCAAAACACAGATATACCACCACAGACGACGGCGCATCTCTATCTCAAATGGTTCCAATCCAAAATTCGATCCATCTCGATGAAGGCCCAGGCCGAAAGCCAAACGGATGGCAGTAGAGGTCATGGTCCATGCAAATTCCGTCTCTCCTACGCTGCGCAAGGCGGCCAAGTAGATAACGATGGCCTGGAGTAATGTCAAACTCTTGGAGCTCATTATGCGGGCTCTTGGACATGCCTGCTCCGTAGCAAACCTGAAATGATCAACAACCACTTCCTTTCTTTCCAGTAGGAGTAATTCGCATTCTTCGGGGCTCATGCTAACAGCCGCTGAGAAACAGAGGGCAAATAAGAGACACTCGGAGATCTCGTCTTGTACTCTGTGGGAGTTGTAAATGACTTTCTGAATAGTTTGAGAATGAATAATCATAAGAAGCGGTGCTACATTCTGCTTGTATGCATTTAGCAACACAGACAGCTGCATCGCACTTGGATGATAATTAACGAGGGATTGGGCTACAGAGTTGTAGCCAAATATGAACGCGTCGTGGTTTTTATTGCTTGGATGAGTCGTATCCGGATCAAGGTAATCATCAACACAGTGAGACGATGGTTCCAGAAGATCATGCAATTCGGCAATCTATGTCCATTAGTAGCAATCCTCTTTCTAAGGATTAACACCGCAGCTGAACATACTTGATCACTCAAACTCGCCCATAGTCGATTACTCACATACCGACAACATCCGTCTTCAACCACCAGCCGTCCAAACTCCTCTTTCCCATCATTCCCACGTAGAACCGTTTTAGGGTCAGTATGTGAATACGGACATTTCTCAGTACCAGACTCTTCTCTAGGACAAGTTTCTCCACTTGCTCCAGAAGTTACGGGATGTCTGAGATACTCGACTGTATCTTCTAACTGTCTTAAACGAGCCATAACATCTTCTCTGGATGCGCATCGTCGGTGATTCCGAACTGGTTCTGGAAATACACAAGAGATTCCAGCTTTGACGCAATTGGAGCATGGGTCTATTTTATTGCAGCGCACTTTTCTGCGGCGACAGGTGGCGCAGCTGAGGGGTTGTAATCGGCCCAGGGGCATTTTTGGTTGCTTCTCTTAATTTAATGCTAAGCAAATTTTCGACTTCTCAGTATGTCGAGTATGACTGAATGAGATTCAAGCAGATAGCGAATACGTTGAGGGGTAATCTTATCAGATCCGAGATCCGACTCCGACTCCGAGATTTAGTCCGAGTCTGGAACATCAACCGACAGCTATGCATTCAGGAACTCTTATAATTGACAATAAATACAATGTAGTTTAATTGTTGACTAAGAACAATATCGCAACAGCTGTACATCACTGCTCTTCTCTCTTTTTTATTCTGTCTCAGTTTCAACAATCAACGCTTCGGACTCGCCGCTCGGACTCCGAGAGCGAAGTCCGACGAATTGTATGAACCAGAATCTGCCAAATACTGAGTCTATAGCACAAATTCAGCAAGAAATGAACATATAAAATCAATACATCTACCTATCGAAGCCATGGATGTAAAGGCAAGCTTTCAAATACCCGTTACCAGTCAGATAATCACTAAATCAAGCCTACGCTCCGATATATCATGGCACCCAAACCACCACAACCCATGGACGTCCTAATCGTCGGCGCTGGCTTTGGCGGAATCGGCCAAGCCTACTCCCTGCGCAATCTAGGGCTCTCTATGAAACTAATCGACTCCCTTCCCGACGTCGGCGGAACATGGCTCACGAATATCTATCCCGGCGCCCTGAGTGATACGGAAAGCTTTGTTTATCGCTTCTCGTGGGATGCGGAAGATTTGCGAACCTATCCTTGGAGTAGGCGGTATCTTCGACAGCCTGAGATCCTGGCGTACTTGAAGCATTTCGTTGAGAGACATGACCTTCGCAAGTATATGCAGTTCGATACGGAGCTATTGTCAGCTCAGTGGGTGGAAGAGTCCGATGTCTGGGAGGTTAGAGTCAGTACAGGAGAGACCTACTGGGCGCGCTACTTTATCCCTGCTATGGGGGTCTTGTCCAAGGCGAATTTCCCTGCCATTCCTGGGTTCGAGTCCTTCAAAGGACGGATTACGCATACATCCCATTGGCCCGCAGACCTGGACGTAACCAACAAACGCATTGGTGTCCTGGGCTGCGGCGCCAGCGGTGTCCAAGTAATCACCAATATTGCATCGCACGTCTCGTCGTTAACTGCATTCATCCGACACCCGCAGTACACCCTACCCAGCAACGATAGACCCATTACCCCAGTATACAGGACCTGGGTGAACGAGCATTACGACCAAATCTGGGCACAGCTCAAAGCCTCCTTTGCCGGCTTTGGCTACGTCGAGTCTAATCGTCCATTTTTCTCCGTGGATCCTGGCCGTCGCGAACAACTCCTTGAAGACCTCTGGAATAACGGCAACGGACTTCGTTTCATGGTCGAGCATTTCTGCGACATAATTACCGACGCGGACGCCAATAATTCGGTATGTGACTTCATCCGCAGGAAGATCCACCAAATCGTGAAGGACTCAGAAAAGGCGCGCAAACTCATTCCCAACGAGCGCTTCGCGAGACGGCCCATCTCCAATGACGGATACTACGAGACCTTCAACCGGGAAAACGTGTCCATCGTGGATCTAAAAGAGACCCCGGTCGAGGAAATCACACCCGATAGTATACGAACCGCAGACGGAACCTGTCACATCCTCGATATAATTGTCCTCGCTACTGGCTTCGATGCCGTCGAAGGCAATCTCCTCCGCGTGAATATCGCTGGTCGCGACGGCAGGTCACTCAAGGATACATGGGCAGAAGGTCCAAAGTCCTACCTTGGTAGCTTCGCAGCTGGATTCCCGAATATGTTCATGGTGAATGGGCCGAAGGGTGTTTTTGGGAATGTGATTCCGGCAATCGAGGCTAGTATTGAGTTTATCACGAATGCTGTCCAGCGTGCTGAGAGTGCCAAGGAGAAGCATGGCTCGAGGGGGGTTGTGGAAGCTACATTTCAGGCGGAGAGTGGGTGGGGCGAGAGGTGTGAGCAGGCTGCGAAGGGGAGTCTTTTCAGTGAGGTGAAGGATTCTTGGTTGAGTGGGGGGAATGTTCCGGAGAAGCCAGTTGGGGTGAGGACGTATCTCGGTGGGTTGGGTAGTTATAGGGCCATGGGGAATAGTGCTACGAAGGATACGTGGGAGGGGTTTGTGCCGCTGTAGAGACAGCTCATTCTTGATTCAATCGATTTGTTTAAGGGACACCTCGCTTGTATAAGAATGTATATTCGCTCATAGATGAAGGCAATTTGTATAAATATATAAACATAGAAAACAATTCACACAATCAGTTATGCAATCCTATTCAACTCGTCTTTGCCATCTTAGCTCTGTCCATAGAGACAGACAAATGAAAACGACTGCCTGCTGGTTCTCTTGAAGAAATTCCACATTGATTCAGAAGACACCACATGGTGACTATTATTGTCAGTTCCTTCTCTGCTTGTCAGTCTTAATACAGTGGCTGTATTCATTCTAATGTACACTACATGCTCTATCGATGGAAATCCGCATTCAGACTTGTGGGTTATGGGCTTCGTATGTAATATATAAAAAGTGTACCGCAAAGACTCGTGGACAATTTGCTTGATATTTTGCAGCATATCATAAATTTTAATCAACATATCATCTCATAAATCTTGTCTGGCTTTGCAGGCTCATCGCTCAGTAGCTCGGTTCCACAATACACATCCAAAGTTCAAGACGTGATGGCACTCGCAAAAAGCTTTCACAAGTGCTTCACAACCCTTATAGCTTAACAGCAACAAGTTTCTCTGGGTCACTCCTATCCGGATTTTTTCTTTTCTTGCGGCTTGCGTCGGCAGGCCATAGTGATATCGGGTCCTGGAAAACGTCTGCATCTCTATAATCATCAGGAAATGTATCGCTGACTCCAGAAAACGGTATCCGAATCCAAATCGCTATCCGCTGGTTCCACCCTTGAAGCAATGGCTTCCAGATTTTCAATCCGCGAAGGTCGGGCTTTTTGAATACCATAATCGCACCTGAGACTGAACGGTAATCAAGCGCGTAGGCAAAGTGTTCATGGCGTAAAGGCCAGACCTGTATTCATTATCTTGTGACCATGTCGTCGGGATCAGAATGAAGAAAGCTAGGGTGCAAGTCAGCGCAGAGCGGGACAGCCCGCTGAACAATATGTCAGGGATGGGGAAAGAATGAGCTGATGAGCTGAATCTCTCTATGGATAATAGGATGAGGCGGTTCCGTATGGTCTGTGTGGTGTATAAATTAAAATAAAAGAGGAGATTAGCAAGCTTGAAAGTGCTGTAGCAGAACCTTTACTGTTCAATATTCACTGTGTATATCCGCCACATGGTCTTTGGAGGTGTGTTTGTACTACGATTCTTCTCTTCGTTGCCCCTAACTGTGCTCTGGTCCAAGCATACGGTCTAAAAACTGAGTACAGGCCATAATACAGTTTAAAGCGTCTTTTGCTACCGGCTTGTCGCGACAGCAGTGTAACGGCTCAGCCCAGCGCCTTCATCAGCAAACATCATCAACACGGCAAACAATACCATGGAAGCAATCAAGACAAACAAGCTGCTTAGCGAGACCACACACAACCATATGGGACTTCTTCACGTAAATAGACTTGCCTCTTATTGTCTTTTCTTCTCCAGTTTTGATATTCTAGTCAATGGCTACACTGGTTTAGGTAGGAATATCAATTTGTTAATATCTTCTAGCTACTGAGCCCGTGACAAGCAGGGCACTTGAAAATACTGCAATATATCCCAAAGTTCTATCTCAGCTTTGCTGCTATAGCTTAGGTTATTATAGACCCATCAAGCTTAATGCTACGAAATATACAGAGGGCTCAAACCATTCTACTGGCAGGTAGTTATAGCTTTTAGGGGCAGCTTTTTCTGATACGCTTTTCTATGGATATATATATATATTTACCTTCGATGGAGCCAAACATGTGTCCGCATCAATATAAATCCATGGGGTAGAAAAAAAAAAAAAAAAAAAAAAGAAAACGAACCAGAATACTCACATGGTTAATAATGCAACCGTATTCATCTCCAGTATTCCGAGCACAAACAATATACCAAAGACAATAGGGTCAAAATCCATATTACTATATTTGGTGATAGAAGGCTAAATGCAACATTTTTCAAGAATTGGACACTTTGGCCGAGTGGACTAAGGCGCGAGACTCGAATATGGATTCTACCATATCTGGATATCTCGTATCTTCGGATGCGCAAGTTCGAATCTTGCAGGTGTCGTTCTTTTTTTTGTTTTGTTTTTTTCTCAACCCCGAGAGGCTGCCGAGCTCAACAAACATTTTACCTCCTTGAAAGGATGGATCTAATCTACGATCTCTACATGAGGGGTCGTTCAACTAAAATTCCTTGCATGTCGACAGCCTATAAGTATGTTATATACCACCGAGGATTTTTTATGTTTCATTTTTATATTAATACTAGAATAAATTTTGCCTCGTCAAAAACCAGATCCTACGATAATTAGAGTGAACGGAGCAAGAAAAACTAAGAAAAAGCCGACATGACCCCGAACCATCTTTAACAAAATAGCTCATATGTTGGGAACCGAGGAAAACCTGCTACGGAATGGACACTTTGGCCGAGTGGTTAAGGCGTGTGACTTGAATATGAATACTTCTGTATTCGAGTCGATATCACATACGTTCGCGTTCGCAGGTTCGAATCCTGCAGGTGTCGTCCGCTTTCCTTTTTGTTTTTTAATTATTCCCCACCCTCTTTTTTGTCTTGGTTGAACAATTTCTTTTTTATTATTTGGATGCTTTCGTCCAATAGCAATGGCTTTTGAATACCTAAGTTCTAATAAAATGACTTTTGTGTTTTATGTATATACACGTAGCCCAAACGCCTGCATAACTCGTACTCGTACCAAGGCACTACCCCGTCCTAAAAGCCACTTCCGCCGGCAACCGGAAACTAGCACAGAACATCTGCTTCTTCGGACTGACCAGCCGCACATTATGAATCTCAAGCTCCGGATACTCGGGCGTAATCGTGTACCCCAGTTTCTCAGAAATGCGCTGACAGATATCAATGTGGTCATCGCATTCGTTCTCCGAGTGTCCTGAGAAACAATAGACGTGGACCATGGGTAGAGGTTGCTGGGTCGTAAAGAGGGACTCATGGCCGGCGTAAACACCCGCAAATGCGTCGAGGAAGTCGATTGCTGTAGCGGGGAGGTTCATTACGTAGTGATTGAAGATGGAGGGACGGGTGTATTCTTCAGGATGGCGTGGGGGTTCTTCGGGTTTTCGTGCGCGTTTCGGTTTTAGACTGACGGTCAAGGGTTCGGATTTGAGGAGTTCCTTGGCGGACCATGGAATAAATTGCCTCCCGTCTTTGTTGAAGGGGAGCACGAATTGGTCGACGTGGTTCATTTTCATTGCTTCTTGCATGGCTTCTGTTCCATGAGGGTTGAGGTCGTTTGCCCAGACAAAGATCTTGCGCTTGCCTGCTGGTATGGCGAAGGGGCCGACGCCTGCCATTACATCGCAGACCATTTCACCGGGGTGGAACTTGTTGACTAACCGGCGGTGCTCGGTTTCAAGGCGGCTGTTGTAGTATACGCGCGCGTAGTCGAAGCAGAATTTGCAGTCTTGCTCATGAACAGTGACGTTTGTGTCGTTGTCGCCGGCGAGGAGCTCGAATGGGAATGTGCGGAATTCGCTGTGGGAGCCAACATCCTCGATTTTGTTGATGACAGTTCGGATTGTTCTGTTTTTGTCCTTGAGGATCTCGGCGATCAGGTGTTTATAGGGGAGGTATTGTTCGCGGAGGTTGAGATGCACTGCATAGCCAGCATTAGCATCCTTTCTTTAGATGCAAAAGGAAACATTGACCCGTGAAAGCAACTTACAGACATGGCCGACCTGAGTGAAGCCCTGGGGAATCTCATCGAGTAGATCCTCCGGCATTATTGAAGCTATGATATCAGCTGCATCATGTTAGCACCCCGTCAAAATCACCACAATCTCAACCATAGAAGCTCACAATAATTCCAATAATCATAGTCCAGCTCCAAATCAAACGGCCTTAATCCCACCGTCCCCTTCTCCACAAGCTCACTAATCTTCGGCGACCACGTCGCAGCATCTACACCATCAGCCCTCACTCTGTCCCACCCAGAAAAGCGTGCGCATACCATCATATCTAACATCCTCCCTCAACAAAATCCCCCTCCTAATCTCCGCATTATCCTTAACCTCACGAATCGAATTCAACCGCGGCAACGCCAACATATCCCTACTTTTCAGCAACTCCTTGCGCACATTCGAAATATCAGAGGCCTTGTAGATCGCCGCCGCAGAGACTGGTATTTTCTTCTGGAAGAATGAGCGGTCCAGGACTCGCATTGCGCGGTTTATGGGTGGGCGAAACATCTCGGGGAGGTCGTTTGAGGGTGGTGGGGGGTGGGAATCGTCGATGTTAGTTTTAGGAGCCATGGGAGGCTAGTAGAATGTGTGCGGTTTGGCAAAAGATATTTGATGAGGATTCAATAGTGAGTCGTTGGATGTGCCTTTGTTGGAGTAATTTTTTGGCCCCGCGATCTTATCAATACACGTGATTTATCACTATCGCATACAGGCTGCGGAAAAAAATGACATGAGAGCAGAAAAAGAATGAGAATGAGAATTACTCTCAAAAAAGCGCTGAAAATATGACACAGACAAAGGGGGCGCATAGAAAATGAAGGAGAGCACAAAAAAAAAAGGAAAAAAGAAACGACACCTGCAAGATTCGAACTTGCGCATCCGAAGATACGAGATATCCAGATATGGTAGAATCCATATTCGAGTCTCGCGCCTTAGTCCACTCGGCCAAAGTGTCGATTGTTGATTGGATGGTTGCTAATGTGTTTTATGAATAGCTCTGCTGTGTGCCATGTGATACAGCAAGACTTTAACAACCACCTTTATCAACTAGACCAATTTTAAAAAGGCAATCATTACAGAACTAGCAGCTCTTTTCTTCATAGTAAATATTAAACTATATATACCTACGAGCGAGTATCGCAGAGACGGCGGTCAAAACCTCACCGCCCGGAATTGCCAACGCGAGTTTTCCAACATCACCAACCTCCCATTAGGAGCTCTCAGTTCATACAATACGACTTGCCGTACCAGAAAATAAATCACCACCTTCGAAATCACTCAATATTCACAATGAGCGTCCAACTCCCCCCAGCGACACACCGCAAGCGCGCCCTGCCCCAAGGCGAACTCGAAGCCGCATCGACCCTTAGACTCGGCGCGGACCAGAACACGCATACCCTCTCGCTATCGGAAGCGCGACTGGTCATCAACAAGGTATTGGAGAATAAGCGACGAGGGGGGAAGAAATATGAGGAGCCGGAGTGAGTCAGGCCAATGTTGGCAGAAGGTGGGTTGGGAGGTTGAAGTTGTCGCTAACGGTTAGCAGGAACCTGACAAAGACAATGCACTATCTGGAAGCGTTCGCGCGATTCAAGGATGAGGAGAATATTAAGGCTGTTGAGCGGTTGTTGAATTCACATACGGAGTTGGAGATGTTTGAGCGGTCCCAGTTGGGTATGTGCCCCTACCGTTGGATCTACGCAGGATGCTAATACATGACAGGGAGTCTGTGCTGCGATAATGCAGAGGAAGCCAAGTCGTTAATCCCAAGTCTGCAGAATAAGATCACCGATGGGGATTTGCAGGAGCTGTTGGATGAGTTGACCAAGCTGCGGAACTTTACGGAGTAGATGGACTTCGTGGGGTTTGTTTGTGTCATTATACAGGGATAGCATGGAGTTTTTGGCGTTTGTGTTGATATCTGAGATATAAGTATGATAAATAGTGCATGAGATAAGACGGCTTGATTGTTTGTAAGGTTGATGCTGGTATATCTGGTATCTATGGTATGCCAGCGTGTTCCGATTGATGACTTTGTTATGCATCGTTGAGATAGTGATTTTGCTTGCGCTATGATCCGCACTGGCGTCTAGAGTTATCGGGATATCCTAGGTCAATACTGGGCATGAACTGTAAACGGCCAAGGAGACATTTCTTAAGCTGTACCCCTCGCGCTCCGTGCTCATCCCATACATCATCATTCTTGGGTACTGGGCACTGGGCACTGGACACGGAATATATTAACCCGGCACAATTATCGCCAAGGGCAGCCGTACAACCCGGCCTGTTGTACTCCGTCATGATACGGGGTGCGGGGATATAAAGTCGTGGCTGTTTATTCACATACATAGTACATATAGTACCAGTAACTCATTATTTTACATCCACGCCCTCTGTACATAGCAAGGTTACCGCCTCCCATCTCAAATATGACTATTGCCACCATAAGCAGTAATAGACACGTGATAGTGAGGCGAAGTACTCCGCACAGTCAATCATGACGGCAGCTCGTCCGTAGATGTACCGATTGGGTAGGAGATCGCACCGTAAAGAGACAAATCGCCACCAACTCGTATGACTCAATTGTATGACTGTGGAAATTGATTTCGTAAGGAAAATGCGACTATAAATTACCTGCATGTGGGCATATAATACTCTGTTCCGTGCTTGTATATGAAGTCCCGAGTTTCGATATCATGTAGTACGGAGTAACTACAAAGCACATGAAGTGTTGATTAGTCAGTCCAGTTCAGGTATGATGTTATGTCGAACACAGCAGAAGGAACCAAGATCATCCCAGTAGTGTTTAAAGTCTAACCCACCAATCAGTGTGTCGGTAATTCTCGACCGACAAGGCTTCTGTGCAGAAGACACCTTACCAAGTCTGGCCTAGTGTCAGGGCAATATGGGGGATCCCCACTTATTGCAGAGCCGATCCCCGTTGTCGGGTTTGATGCTAACCTATTGGGAGAATTAAGAGAATATCATTGGTGGGCTGGATAGGTTTTATCGGAGGATGCTGATTGGCTGGTGTTTGTGAATGGCGAATGACAGGATTGTATGTATTCCTTTGTTCTGCTGTACAAGTACTACTCTGTACTACGAAGCACGTACATCTACCCTGTCCCACTTGTCCTTGTAGTAATGTACACAGTAGTATTCTATCTCACAAGTAAAGAAAGGTCATGCCATTACTACACGCTACGAAAACCATCGGAAGCCAACGTGCCCAACGCCAATCCAGTACGTAATGGAGCCTCCGCCAGCCACACGATCCAATCAGAAGCCACGTACTTATCTGCGCGCCAGAGAAAATGTTACGTTTGGAATATGGAGAGATCCGGAAGCATTTTGAGCCTGTGAGGTGTTTCTGTTATCCAATCGACAACATATTCTTTCTACTAGTTCCAACGTCACAAATTCAACTTCATTCTTTCCATATCTCTCTGTACTTGTACTCTACTACTGTTATACTCCTCTAGAATGACCGAGCGTTCTCTCCGCTATCTGGTTTTCCTGCAGTCCCTGGCCCCGGCTGCTTCTTGACTGATTCCCCGTTTTCCGCTCCGCCAGCGGACTTTTTCCTCCGTCCTCTCCTCTCTTTGATAGCCTCCTACCCCCCTCTTACTACGGAGTACTCGTACTACCAGAGCTTATCTGATCGGCTGTCTGCAGCCACATTGCAAACGCACACACATAGACCGACAGATCCTCCGCTCTCCCAATTGGCCTGTGGCCACCAACCGCGGAGCCCTTCGGAGGATCTTTCATCGCATTCTCTATCTGCTGTCTTGCGATTACCTATCTATCTTATATCAATTCTATCTGTCTATTCATCCCTCTATCTCTCCCTTGTCAGCCAAAATGGCCGCCGTTATCACGCTCCAGTCGTCCTCCGCGGCTGGTCCGGCGGCCCCGTCTTTCCAGCAACCGCAGCAGCCCCAGTCTCAGCCTCATTCTCCGGATTCGCAACCATCGCATCGCCGTCGTCTATCTCGTGCCCAACATCAACACGACGGTCCTCCGTCTACGCCGTTATCCCCGGTCTCCTCGACCCTGACTGCCTCCGCTGCCCGTGCTCCCGGCCGGGATGGACCCAGTTGTGACGCTTGTCTCCGCCGAAAGAGCCGCTGTGCTATGAACGAAATGGTCAACAAGTGCTATTCCTGCGATTTTCACCGGCAGGAGTGCACCTTTAACCTTTCCTCTGGCGCCACTCGTCCCAACACTGCGGAACCCCTGTCAAAGAAACGAAAGCTTGAGGACTCGGTCCCGGAGGATGCAGAGTCTGTCAAGAGGTATGTTCACCGATCTCGGATATATCGATCATATGTTCTTTTATACTAAACGTTGAATCCTTCCGCAGACCATCGACAGTTGCTTCCACAAAACAAGGCCAGGGCCATTATCTAGTCCCCGGTTTCTTTGATCAATCCATCCAGTATATTGGATTGACTACCGAGTTTGAACCCGCCTTGTTGGACCACGTTCCCCTGGACCAGAACAACGAAGGCACGGTATCCAACTTTCGTCTGCGGAAGCTGGGTGACGATACTTACATCCGTGTCCGGAACACGATGCCTGACTCGGTCTCGGTCGACGCCATCGAGAGCCTGGTAGCTCCTTATGGTGCTACCTTGATTGAGAAGTTTTTCGAATATGTCCACCCTACGTTTCCTATTCTCATGGAGGATACGTTCCGCCAAACCTACCGCACCCGAAAGAACCTGTCGCCACTCTTGCTGGCTGCTGTTTATGTCTTGACACTCAAGTTCGTGGACATGCCAGCGTCTCAATCCGTTCGAAGACCCGACGTTGCACGACTGGAAAACACAGCTCTTAAATTACTGACGGAGTCGCTCCCCCGAGCCACGGTGGCCACCATTCAGGCCGGCCTGCTTCTCATGGAGAAATCGACCGTGGCGACCAGAGCGTTGAACGCACAGTTGGTGACGGCTGGGTTTGAATTGGGTCTGCATCAGGACTGCACCCATTGGAGGATGGACACCTGGGAAAAGGGTCTTCGGAAACGTCTGGCCTGGGCGTTGTACATGCAGGACAAGTGGTCTTCCCTTGTTCACGGACGCCCATCGCACATTTTTGCTTGGAACTGGACGGTCAAGGACCTGGTGGAACAGGACTTCATCGACGCGTTCCACGCAGATTCGAACCAGGACGATACTTCTGTTGGGCACGGACCGCTGTATTTTTGTCACATGGTGGCTTTGACCACCATCCTCTCGGACATCCTGGATCGATTCTACACGTTGCAGGCTATTGAGGACTTCAAGGCCTCCGGCGGAAACCGAACTCGCATGATCCTTGAACGAGCCAAGCCTGCACAGATTCGCCTGAAAGAATGGTTTGGACGTCTGCCTCCGCAGCTCAAGATGGATACGAGCGGTGACTTGTTCGACACCATTACGGAGGAAAACGCCCGCAACGGAGCTTTGCACCTGTCGTACTTTGCTACTGAAATTACCCTGCACCGATGCATTATTCGATCCCTGTCTCCCGAAACCGCCGACGCCTACCTGTCTCACATTTGCCGCTCCGCTGCCAAAACGCGTCTCATCTCCGCCATGGACTTTGTCAACCGACTGCGTCCTGCCCATCTCCGATCCTTCTGGCCGTCCGCATCGCGCCACAACTTCACACTCATCGGCTCGTTCGGCATTCTCCTGCGCGTGACTGCCCCTACGAAGGAGGAATCCGAGTTCTACCGCCTCCGACTCTGTGAATATCGCTGGACGTTGAGCGTCAGCAGGAAGAACGCAGAGTTCCTCGACTTCTCCCTTGACAGTCTAGACAACGCCACGAACCTCGACCGATACGTCCCTGACAAACCCGCCATCGACGAATTGATGCACAGCGCCGTCAAGCCAACCATCACCTCTCGTCCGGTCCCTATCATTGCACTCGACGATCCCGATCCGATGCTTGAAGCTGGAGGTACCTCGTCGGTGATATCCGGACTAGCTTCGCCAGCGACATCGGCCAGTGACGAGAGTTTACGAGATACCCCAATTCCGCCATTATAAAGGGAGGCTCCGCTTTACCTCCCTGTCTGCTGCTCGCGGTTTACGAATTTCCTTATATCCACGCCTTCTTATGACTCGCATATAATATGGTCCGTCCGATGTTTATTTTATAGGACCTGATCTTTTGACAACTCTCGATGATACGCAATACGCGAAATGATGATTACCGCATGATTATGTACATACTACTGCTGTTTCGGTGTTGGCTTGGACATAGATTACATTGATTGATTGATTGGTTGGACTGGAGCATAGGATAGAAATTTATTCTTCTTCATATAATTCGAGGAATTTACTAGTCTTGAGTAGCACCTCATGTTTGTACGTACTCCGCGTGTCCTGAGGCATTGGATTCCCAAGTGGGGAAATGATGGATTGGCCTTGCAAAACAACCGCAACGCTGACTGACTGGGCCAACAACTAAACAGCTACACAATGTTACCTCGCAACCGCCTCGGCCCCAAATCACTTGGTGGATGCGTATTCGCCGTTGTTTCTACACCTTCGGAACATCTCCCCGTCTACGCACCAGCCTCACGTGTCTCAACCACCGACATAAACGACCCTTTCTCGTTCTACTTTGCCTTTTATCCCATTACCAACATGGCGCTTTTCCGTCCCAGAGCCAGTACCTCTCAAAACTATGCTGAATAACATTCCACTTCTCAAGTCCCGCATGGCCTCTGCAGACCTCACCAACATGCGCAACGTCCCCATTTGGCACGCAAGAGATACCTCTCTCCGATCCCTGTACCGGATCTATGAGGCCATGGTTGCACGTGAGTACTAACTACGCCATCGGCCCAGAGATAAGAGTAATTTGGTACCAGAACCGGCAATCGTGGGCTATCAAGCGCCTTCCAGACCCGTGCGACGAGGATCCTGTTCGGTACGTCCTTCTTGCTTACATCGCCGAAGAACTCGCCAGGGCGTTTAATTAGCGATTGGGTCTGGGGATGCAGCGGGATAGGAATAAGCATGTTTCCCGGAAAATGTTTCATGAGAACTTCCGCCGCAATTTCATCCATCGTGAAGTTATTGGGTGGCATCTCAGTGGAACATATATCCAACGACTGAAAGCACCTCATCTTCAGTGAGCCCCTTGTTCTGCTCCCTCACATACCTCAGCAATGCAAGAGTGTCATCCATATCCGGCCCCCGCTCGCTATGTTGCATCTCGTTATGAATGCGCCTCAGCTTCCGTTTTAGCGCCCACTCCAACGGGACAGCAAGAAAGCGTAGATGCGCGCCCTCCCACAGGACAATGTTCTGTTCCTCTGCCCTTTCAAACAACTGCACTCTGGACCTGTCAGGAACGAAAATGCCGTTTCCTCATTCACCCAGTTATCGCTAAACTGCAGGTGCTCTGTCGCGTTTATGATAGCAGTGCGCAATGACTCCTTGACGTCGTTGTCGTGTGCCATTCGGGCTCCAGGAGATAGTCAAGGTCTCCTTTTTCTTTCTCTATTTCGTAGGAAATTGATGGCCAGGAAGCCCTTCCTGCGGAAAGTAGATGATGGGTGCGAAGGCGAGAAGCAACTCGCTTTTGCCGATTTCGTCTCCAAGAACTTCGAGGCTTGTAGGACGGGTAGTACTGTCTTAACTGCAATATTCTCTCCCTTCGGTCTAGACTGCTTTCTTGCTTTTCTTGAAATCATCAGCGTTGAAACACTGTTTTACCTCGTCCATTCTATCTTGCTAGACGGGAACTATTTGATGCGCTGTGAAGCCAGAGGCAATTTTCAGAAATCCATGTAACTACCCCGCGGTTTATTACCCGCCAAGTCAAAACGTATGACAATGATATTCCCTCCTATGTAAACAACACCCATACATCTCACCATATATATATATACTCTGTACCTTAAGCCCTGGTTCTGAATTGGTCAAGTTCGGTGGTAACAGTGACGGTCCGTCGGCAAAGAGGTGTGGGGAGTAACTGGGGACCGCTTCCGACGCGCTTCACTTCACGTCAACCACCAATTAATTACCACCCCTATTGTAAAAAAAACATAAATAATATCACTGTGCAACTAATTGATATTTCCACATGAAGCCATAATATTTCTTAGCGAAAATGGACAGTGAGCTCCCACGAACCCGCGCCATCCATCGACGTCCGCCCCGGGCCTCTCGGGCCTGCGAGACTTGTCGGGTTCGGAAGACAAAGGTATGTACCTATTTGGACACCCCCCCCCCCCGCAAGAAAAGCATAATCTGGAGAATATGGAGACTGATTGTTCCAGTGTGACCAAGCTCAACCGTGCTCCTACTGCGCTTGTATGTCTTCCCGAAAATCATTTAAATAATGGTGCGCGCATAGAACCTGAAATGTATTGTTTATGCTTATTTCGAAGACCATTGTCTCGACTGTGTTTACAGAACTGGCGCAAATCAGAGCACAGCGACACCGGAAAAGAGACATAGTCGTATCAACCAGGTCCAAAAGTATGTCACACGTCTCAATTGCAAGTCTGATGTATACTAAACGTTGATCCAGAGGCAGTGGAAGTCGACCATCACCATGGCCGGGAGCAAATCAGAATACTCAACTCATCCAAGAAAGGGAAAGACATTCACGCTCGCCAAATATCTCATTCGAAGACTCGCGCTCACCGCGGATATCTTGTGGAGAGGAGAGTGGTAGTGGGTTGCAACAGAATCATGCAGCTACGCCGATCACGCATGGAACTGACAACCGCGGTGATGATTCTATAGTTGGTTAGTTTCGCTCCATACATAACAGACTGCAAGCTCTAATAATGCATTGTGACAGATGCTCCGCTATGCGACTCTGCATCAAGGGACGGTTTGAGCGGTATTAATCTCCATACGAACGGGACCGAGTTTTATGGGAATTCGTCGAATTTGGCGTTTCTTGGAAATTTGTATGCGCGGGCGCGAAAGCATGCTGGGAATAGAGCTTCGCATGGCCCCGGTGACTTCCAGTCAACGGCTGGTCCATCGCAGCCTCACGTAGAGGATAGGCACAAGGAGGACAGTGCGAAGACTACGGACAGGACACAGCTATCGATTGTTAACCTGTTGTACAATCCGAGCTACCAAAGCCATTCGCCTTTGCAGTCACCAGAGAAAGACAAGGATAAGACCGTACAAACAGACAACTCAGAAGCACCTCCAAACAACATAATCCTAGGTTCGTCAACGTCCCATGACCAGTAACAACCCAACTAACACCATAGAAGGCAGCGGAATAGCCCCTGTAAACCACCTCCCAAATGGGTCCCAGCTTGAAATTGAAAAGATCTTCATCAGCAGCTACTTCTCCAACAAACACTACATTCACCCCATGCTTTGCAAATCGTCATTCCTGCGCCGCTGCGAACGCGAGGCATTCATCCTCTCCAAACGGCATTTGTTTGTTCGTGGATCCTCGAACTTCGCAGGCTTATACTTTGCTGTTGTTGCGTTAGGTGCTATCAACGCTAGTCCTGACGAGACGTCCTTGCTGGACCACTACTATACGTACACGCCGGATCCCAGGAGTTCGGGGATAGGGAGCGCAAGAGGTTGTTCGGCGCTGGATTTTGCGAATTACTATTTTGGGGCTGCGAAAAAGGCTTTAGGGGATGTGTTTGAGAGCTGTTCGTTGGAGAGTGCGCAGGCGCTAATGCTTTTGGTACGCTCTTGTCCCTATTGCGGAGTGTTTTGTGTGCTGACGATGATAGAATGTGTTTTGTCAGAATGCGTTACGGCCACATAGCTGCTTTATGTATAGTGGAATGGCTGTGAGGACGGCGGTGGCTATAGGGTTGGCTTCGGGGATGTCGTCTTTGCCTGCTAATATGCGGAAAGAAGGGAAACGGACGTGGTGGTAAGTGTGGCCCTAAGCACAGTGCAGTTGGATAAGCTAACCATACGCAGGTGCATATATTCGCATGAAATGTACGTCATTTCTACTGATTCAACAGAGCAGACTAACCAAAACAGAGAAATGTGCTGCTCCTCCGGCCGCCTAGATAGCATGAAACATCTTGACTACTACCAAGTTCCTCTTCCAACACTAAAGGTATCCTCCCATCAAAACCAACACGCAACACAACAAACACTGATAAGCAAAGACAACACCAGGCCACACCCAAGACCCCGATGCAGAAGACAACGACGTCGCCATGATCCCCGTAATGGTAGCACTGGCCCAAATTATGACCGAAGCATCACACCACCTGTACCATTCGAACAAACGTAGTATGCACGAGAGATCGTTTATAGCGATGGATCTTGACACCAGATTGTTGAGATGGAAGGATGATTTGCCGGCGTTCTTGAATGTTGATGCTGCATCGCTGAATGACCCGGAGTGGGCTTTCAAGCAGAAGCTGGTTTTGAGGTTGAGTGAGTGCCTTTGAGGTTAATTGATTGATTGTGCAGAGAGTTGCTGATGGAATGGAACAGGGTTTTATAACACGCGGATTCTTATACATCGACCGTTTTTGGTGGCGTCAACGTCGACATCGATCTCTACATCAGAGCAAATCCCCTACCTCAACCACATCCACCTCTGCCTCACAGCCGCCCGATCAAGCATCCAAATGCAGTACGAATCCTTTCTTCATCGAATCTACATCCGAACCTGGTACCCTCCCCATCTTCCCCCACTAGTCCTAATGCTGAGAAACGAATGCAGGTGGTACAATACAACCTACGCTCTCTACAGCTCCATGATCCTTCTACACCTCATTCTAGCAGGCGTACCGGAAATCCCCGAGGAAGAATTGTTAAAAGATGTCGAAAAATCTTTGGATATATTCGAGTCAATGGGGAATGTTGTTGTGGCGAGACGCTGCGCGGAGATGATAAGGGAGGTGTTGGATGTTACGAGGGAGTATTTGAGGAGGAGGCCGGCGGGTCATGCGCAGGTATTGAGACCGCAGTCTCAATATCAACAGCAGATGCAGCCAACGTTACAATCTTCAATTTTGGGAGCTGGGCCACCTACGGCGATGGCGAACGAGTCCCCAGCACTACAGCATCTACATTATACCAACGCTGGCACCAACAGTCTCAACAACTATAACTTCCACTCGCATCCGCAGACTTCAATTGCAGACCTGTCACCCACGTCCCCCGACGAGAACTTCTTTTTCTCGTTATTCGGGCAGGAATTCCAGCCTAATACTAGGGCAGAGATTCTGGCGAATCTCGTCGATCCGATGATTCTGGGGGATTTTGCATTTGGGGGTGGGGTGGAGTAGATGTGTTTGCGGTGTTTTTTTTCTGGATGTAATTAGGTTGTTTGATAGATATTACAAATTGAGGCTAGGATGTCGATTTTTATTTCTATTAAACCAAATTGATACTGGAGTAGCATTATGCAATAATCTATATCGCGCAACGCAAGCTCATCAGGAAAGGTCTTTAGGAATCACATCCTGAGACCGGGCCGTTTCTTTGTCAGTCTCAATTGTAATTTATCCATCTCTTTGCACGCTTCGTGGATTCGGTCACAGAAATTTCCTTCCTGGTCAATTCAACGTCCTCCAGGCTAAAGTCATTGAAATCGAGATCGAGAACAGAGAAGAGTGCTCAACGCAGGATTCGTGCTTGTCTTAGGTCCAGGTCCACGCTAGATCAGACTTACGTATAATTCGACATGGGCTTCGTTACGGAATACTTCCACAATTGTTTTCAATTCTTTTCCGTCTTTGACCATTTATTTTGAATAGGTTCACCACATTGACATCTGGGTGCCGACCATCCATCTTGTCCTCTAATAATTTTTGAACGGGACTCACGGTGAACTCAGGTATTTCTGTCCACAATTGTTATATTTCATTTATAGTCGGTGTTGGAGGCCATGTTTTTTCTACATCTTGTATGGGTCTGTTTCTGTCCTCGCTGGTAGACTGCTACGTTGTATGAAGGCGAAAAAGAGGCGGAAGAGTTGAGAGTTCTATTTAGAAACCCAAATACAGGACCAAGGTAGTCATGATAAGCTAGGGAATGATGATTGGCTATCATAATAGCCAACAATTCCCTTTGCCAAACGAATATATATCAATCTAACCCTCAAGATCAGCCATAGGGCTTACACGTGATGCCAAGATCTCGCCTAGATCCGATCTATTTCTATTATTAGCCATGCCGCCCGACCGACGACCAACGTCCCTCTACTAAATACATACATTCAATTAACAACAACATGGCCCCCCACGAAGGATTAGTTCACCCAAAGGAATACGACATCAAAGACAGCAATGTGGAATTGATCGGTACCGACATTGACCACCGCGTCAAGTACAACTCGGCCGCCAGCGAACCCGCCTGGAATAACGGCAAGATAGGACAGGAACCCGGGCTGTTCATCTGGCGGATCGAGAACTTTGAAGTCGTGCCATGGCCAAAGGAGCGCACGGGTGAATTCTACGAGGGAGACAGTTACATCGTGCTGCACACGTACAAGGTCGGCGATGGCGACAAGCTGGGCCACGATATTTTCTTCTGGCTGGGGAACAAAACCACCCAGGATGAAGCTGGCACCGCCGCTTACAAGACGGTCGAACTAGATGAGTTCCTGCATGGTGCTGCGACGCAGCATCGGGAGGTGCAGCGGCACCCGTCGGAGGAATTCGTGTCGCTGTTCCGTCGCATCTCGATCAAGTCCGGAGGCGTGGCTTCTGGATTCCGCCATGTCGAGGAAGAGGAGCCCAAGGAGGTGCTTACATTGCTTCGCATCTTCAAGCACCCTGGTGCTGGTCGCATTGACTCTATTATCGTTCATGAGGTGGAGCCGACCTGGCAGAGCCTCGACGATGGTGATGTCTTCGTCTTGGACAAGGGCAATAAGATCTGGGTCTGGCAAGGCAAAAGCTGCAGTCCGATGGAAAAGGCTAAGGCGGCTCAGGTCGTCAATGATTTCATCCAAGCCAAACATGTGGACGTTGAAGTCATTTCGCAGCTCGAACCGAGATCGAAAATCATTGTGGACCTGTTAGGAGGAAAGGAAGTAAATCAATTATCGTTCCAGGCGCCACGACCTGTGTCCTTCCCCAAGAGAAAAGGCGATGACAACATCGATGCTCGCCCGCAAAAACTATTCAGGCTTAGCGATTCTTCTGGAACATTATCCTTTGATCTTGTTAAGGATGGAGGACAAATTCACCAATCCGATTTAGATGGAAACGACGTCTTCCTTTATGATTCCGGTAATAGACTCTGGGTCTGGCAAGGCTTGGGGGCCAGTGCGAGAGAGAAGGCCTTGTGGCTCAAGGTTGCCCAGGCTTACCTCCGTCAGCTTCAAGAAAACCAGGAAAACTCGGAGGCCCACCTTATTCCCATTGCAAAGGTTGTGCAAGGTCATGAAAGTCAGGCGTTTGCGAAAGCGCTGGTAGCTTAGGTTTGACGAGAGAGATGATCATGGAATGATATACGGAACGTATGCAAAGCTATTATATAACGGTATTTATTTCTTGCATCTAGCTTCGTTACTTGTGCGCAATGGCATTTGTTTAAACTTATAAGCTCAGTTCTCAATCTTAGCCCTTATCCAACTATGCATACCTGGTTGGCGTATGTAGTATAACACGCATATACATTAAGGGACATGTAAATCAAATGTGGCTCCCAAAACTAAAGATCATGCATTTACTGACTTTTAAATCCAGATTGGAACTATCTTGAATGGCTGGTTTTCTCTTTTGTTGCACTAAAGAATATTTCATGCCCACTCACCCATGACTCGGTCTAACATACCAACAGGTATGGTTAGCAAAATGATTTTAACATCAAGCCATGTTCAGCCTAGCGAGGCCGAGATTATAAATGATTTTTAGTAGTGACCAAGTTCGTAAATTACTATGCGAGCGAATAGATGTTCTATTACTTGAACAAGTTCTCGACATAGATTACTAAAAAGGTAACATCTTGGGGGCATGTAGTAAAGATGATAAGAATCACTAGCGGATCTTCCTATACATCTCCCATAGACACTGATGATGATAGACCATTCGAACTCAGTTCTGAGACAAAGTTGGCTGAACCTGAGGTGTTCTGGAAAAAGTTTGAATTGCCACTAGAGCATATTCTTCTTGTGGAGGCGTTCTTTACTTATCCCACTACAGAATCACTGGGAAATGGTGGGACTGCATCATTTAGCATGTGCCGGCGCTGATTCTCATGTTCACAAAACTGTCTTTGCATGCTAAATGGCAGTCTCTACCAAGAACTCTGAAGCACTAAAGGCATGCTTCTAACATGCTAATATATCGTGCATGTATATTATGTCCCTTAGACCGCTCTTGCATTTCGAGTATACTCCAGGGTGTGGCGACATCCCACTCCGTGACATCAATGTTAGCCATTCCACTACATCTAGAAAATGCATAGGACGTAGGTCTACATGATGGAAAACCCTGGATGTTCGAATAAATGAAAAGAGACTTTTCTCTGGTAAGTGGACTGCGAGCTATGCATCTATTCCCACTGAAACCATCGACTACAAAGGTCTCAAAGAGAGCAATAATAACTATCTACACAGTTCCAAGAACAGGATTTTCGCAACGCGCGTGCACTCTGATTTATTCTACCTAAAGTAGTTACAAACAAACATAAACGCATTCATCAAAAAATCAGAAGTAAATGACTGGACAAATTCAGAACAATCCGGATAGCTCTTCACTCAGTGTACTCACTCATTTTCATCCCCATATTTCTGTCTTCTAGACAGCAGTATAGAGCCCATCTAGACATAGCTGACAGTGACGGAGTTACCAGACGCAGAGGCCTCAGTCAGAACCTGACCGTTCTGGCGAATGTCTATGATGGTAGCACCAGAGGGGCCAACAGTCCTGCCATTGCTGGTGGCTTCGGCGTTTGTGAAGGTGACCGTTCCAAAATCAGCGAAAGAAACAAGAGAGCCATTGGATTCGAAATCCTCAACAATCCATTCAGCGTTGGTCTCACAGAGGTCGCCCTGGGTGCTTCCACTGAATCGGTGGGTGACAGACTGGCCATTGGTGAGGTTCTCAACGGTGGCAGATCCAGTGCTCTCACTGGAAGCCTCAACGGTGACCTTGATAGAGTCCCCCTCGGAGATGGAGATACCGCTGAAGTCATAGGCGTAGTCGGGATACCATTCATACCAGGCGCTGTAGGAGGCCTGGCCGCCTTCGTAGCAGAAGTCAACACCGGTCTGGAGAATGGCAGTCTCGCAAGTGTCGCCGTCAATGCCGACCCAGGCAGAGGCGCAAGACTCTCCCCCGGAGCCGAAGCCACCGGCGCCACTTGGCGCAGAGACACTGGGGACGGTGAACTCGCCAGAAACGGTGGTGTAGCCGGAGCCGATCAGAACGGCACCAGCCCAGTTGGAGCTGTACTGGGCCTGGGTGGTGTTGGAGAGCTTGAGGACCTCCTTGGTGGTGGTGTCGGCGACGAGGGGAGGGTTACTATGACGCTGCTTGTTGGCGCGACGAGCTTCATGGCGAGTTTGACGCTTCTCAGTGAGAGGAGCAGCCAGAGCAGCGCTGGCAAGGAGAGAGCTGGTGAGGATGGAAGTGAACTTCATTTTTGCTAACTGGGAATTTTCAAGAAGGTAAAGAGATACTGTTGACAAAGTCTGTTGAAGAGTGGAAGAATCAGAAGATGCTTGAGAATGTCTGATGCTGGATGATAGAAGAATAAGGTATACAGAGGAATCGTGGCCCTATTTATACATAGAGCTCTGTGACTGATTCTGTACTCAACTCAATTCAGAGACCATGGCCTACACAATGTCCCATCTTCCTTGCTATTCGGAGAACGTGCAAAACTCGGGCAATGATACCATTTCCCTCTTAGTCCGATGGTGTTTAATCTCCAAAGCCGCCATTCCGACTGTCTCGATAACGTAAAGTCGTTCGTCGTCCAAACACTAGCCCCAAAATGGAGGATCTTGCGATTATCAGTGAGGTGCCAGCCTCCATCTCAAGAGATATCATGAAGAGGACCGAGTCTAACGCTCAGAGTAGAAGACGAAGGTCCGACGACTGCGTCTGTGCCAAGACCAACGACAAGACGTGCTTATCTCCCATAAATCTAGGGTATTCTCTTTTGGTCACCATGCCCCTACTCGGACATGTACCAGGCTTACTTAGGGCATAGGGAGAGGTGGCGGCGACTAAGGAGGAACGGCCCGGATGGCCCAGGCACGAAAAGCTTCGGACAAGCCTTGTAAGCAAATGATAAGCACTCGGAGAGTGCCTAGCGCAAGACCAGTAGATTGGGGAGTACGGCGGTGGTCTTCAATTGGCCTTGAGGGGAAGGCAGATCTGAAAGGCTGCCGAGTGGAATGTAACCCTCGGTCGACTGATTGGGACTAATAGTTAGTTAGTCTACTACTACTTTTACTTAGTGTTTTTCTCCTCCTTGGCGGACCCTGACAAGCAAAAGAAATTAAATTATATTAATTCTGCAGGAAGATAATGCAGGAAATGGTAAATGCACCAATCGGTGCCGGTGGACCCCGCTAACCACTATGATTAACACTCACGCCAACGATCCTGCCAATCTCCTACCTTATTAATTACCAGACCAACTATATACTTCCAGAACAGATATTAAGCGAGTAAGGAACTATCTGAGACAAATAAGTAGGAGGCAGTTGAAAGCCGCCGAATTCATTAAATGACCTTCCTATACAGGAGCTGCTCCGGACGGGGACCTCCGCTGTAGGGATCTCAAGTCGAAGTCTCCTGCATTCTTGATAGGTTGACTTTCACCATGCTTTGCTAAAATAACGTGATATGAGAGGAGGGATATTGTGACTGATATGAATGTTGCATGTGTCAGGGAGCAACCGAATCCCGATCATGATAATCCGTACTAGGGTTGATGCATCGGAGATCCAAGGTACGTCGACATGGACTAGCTATACACAGTACATGACCGATAGACAACCATTCCCTTCAGTCAGTCAAGTGACTTAATTTTCAACATCTCAATAGTGACAAGTTATAATAGCCCAACCATTAAAGAGCACAGTGTGATATGACTGGGATAGGTTATACTGTTTGCTAAAGGCATAGATTAATTTATGATACAACACAACATGCAAGCATGGTTTATGCCTCAGTTTTTGCCGATGTCAATGATGTGCTAGCTATCACAACATTCTGGTTTGCATGTGTCTCCGACGACAACCCCACACACTTTCAATAAATGGCGTCCACAGTATCAGCGTCTGCAACTTCCCCGGCCACAGTCTCCCGGTTGTACCCTTTTCCCGTTGATGGCACCTACTTGTTGCGGATCTCCCCGCCGCTTGCCATTAATTCCTTAGAAGGCCGAAAACGAAACAGTGATGATATCGCGATACTCGCGTAAATTGATATCAGCAAAGGCGAAAGTACCATTCTATGAACTAAGTAGGTCGGCACGGAGCTCGCCGGGCTTGACAGAACATCTTTTAACCCGAAGAAAGAAGTGTTTTGAGATAAGGCGTCGGTGCTATCCAGAGTTACCCAGCAATGCTGTGGGAGATTGTGATCGAGGTTTTGGTGTATATGTTTTGTTGGCACTGTACATTAATCACCAGGGTAGGTCTCCCATGCAGACATAAAACATTTATTGACGAGAATGATTGCTTTTCAACCACAAAAGTGCGGAAGACCGGACAGTTGCAACGTGGGTGTTGATTGGTGAAATGTTGGTGTGTTCATTAACAATACTGGATGTGACGCCGTCACGTCGCGTTGTGGCGCTGGGAACACACAGATGGTTGCAATGACTCTACCAGTACACCAAGAGCTTCAAGGGCTTTTTTTTTTTCAGCCGAGGCCGAAAGAACGACTGATGGCGATGGTAGAGGTGAAGTTGTTGTAATCTGATGTATGTTAGACGATCACCATGATCGGCGTTATCTAGATCACGGATTCAACCGCTAGGATTTATTTGATCAACAGCTTCGCTCGTCTTTCATTTACCTGCTCATTCCTACGTATACTGTGATGCTCTCTTTAGTTAATAGTTTGTCACCTTACTCTGGAACAAGCGTTTCTCTTACGACTCTGGCTGCTACTGAAGTAAGTGGATATTTTAAATATATCAATACGCGGCGAGCAGAGGCCCGGAAAAGTTACTATCGAGCCATCCGATAAGCAAAGCGTACCTGTTGGGAAACCTTCCTGGAAGGGCCAACGGATCACCCTGGCCCTGTGGACACTGTGAAGTGCTGGCAGGCTCTAAAATACACAAATCCCAGGACAGCCATGACTACACAACACTGCATGGACCTCAGGGACAGCTAGCCAGCTCCATTGAGGAAAAGAAAGCCCTGATTCGGGAAACAGCCTTCCTCTAAGCGCCAGGGATCAATCAAGAGGCCGAAGCCGAGATATCACCAGGGTCCTGGCATGGTCAGATAAATGAGGAAATAGTTAAACACGCTCTGTTTCACCAGGCGGTCCAGAAGGCCCCAGGAATTGACTGACTAATCTTCCGGGCTCTCTGGCTCTTATGGGAGTGGGACAGCCCCAGAATTGTTGCTCTAACCCGACAATGCTTCCGGCTAGGTCTACATCCACCAGTATGGAAGGTGGCGAAGGGCATTCTGCTTAGGAAACCCAATAAGCCAGACTTTACAGCTGTGAAGGCCTCCGGGGTGATTAGCTTACTGAACTGCCTAAGGAAGGTTGTTGAGAAGATAGCAGCGGATGCAATTGCCCACCACTGTGAGACTATGGGAGTACTACACCCAGGAAGTACGATTTGATACTGTCCCAAACGCACGTTCAAAATCCGCAAACACCAATACAATATTTTCCTTCCAACCCGAGACCGCAGAAGAGCATTCCTTCATATTTAATGACGATTATTAATTCCAAAAGAGGCAAGAACATCACAATACGCGTCAATGCCCACCGGAGGCTAGTTTAATGATGCTGGTGGCTGCTAGTTCGAAGTCTGTTTCAGTATGAAGGTCCAGCCCTGACGTTTCAAGCTATGATAAACCGGATAAGCACGCTGCTCAGACTGGCCTCTAAGTCAAACATAGTGACATACCATCTTCAGTGCAGACTCGCTATTTGTCCCCTGCAACCTCACCACAACCGGAATTCGAAATCTGCCCATGGCGGACGTGGCCTGCAGAATCGACTTGGCGATCATATCACACCGGACAATACCTGTGTCGCTTCAGCCTGCTATCTCAAGCTCCATGATCTGATATATATACCTCCGAAAATGTTAACCCAGATCCCTTGAACATGTGAATCTCTCCCTAGGATCTCAAATGCTTTTAGCAGCGTGCTAGTCGTTGCCTTCCCCCCGATATCCAGAAAATTCGCACTTTTCCCACCATGAATATTGATCAAATCATTAGTTGCCATTGCTAGCCCAGCCCCATTCACAATATTTCCGATATTCCCATCCTGACGGATGTATACAAGGCCATTCTTAGCAGCGTCATGCTCGCACTCTGAGTCTGGCGTTCGCTCCTCAAGCTCCCACATATCTTCCTGTTTGAACTGCGCTGAATTATCGAAATCAAACTTTGCATCCAGACAGATAAACTTCCCTTCAGATGTCAAGGCAAGGGGGTTTAACTCGAGCAGGATGGCATCCTTGGCGTTGAATAGCTCCACCATTTGCCGGATAATATGCTCGATGACTGGCATTTCGGTCCTGGAGAAGAGCAATCTTGAGCGGATATCTGCGATAATCTCGGGTGTTATGCCCTCAGACAAGGAGAACCAGAATCGGTGCAGCTTGTCTGAGTTAGCCTCGACATTCACGCCACCCTCATCTGAGATGAGGATTACGGGGCTGGATTTCTGGCGGTCAAAGGTGACCGAGAAATAGTATTCATGGGCAACGTCGACGGCTTTGTAGATGTAGAGTTTTTTGACGAGCAGACCGGCGGGCGGAGTCTGCTTGGTTTTGAGATAATGACCAAGCATGTTGGTCGCGTTGGTCAAGGCTTCATGTGGTCTGTTGTCCTGTTAGATGATGGGTGTATGTATAATTCAGTCAAGACCTACGTCGAAACTATGCGCACGCCGCCCTTGCCGTCAGTGTCGAATTTCCCTTTTCCACGACCACCGGCAAGAATCTGCGATTTTAGCATTGAAGGTGCCCCTTGATCCATGTTAGAGGATTTTGTATCTGTTATGATTGATTCTGCCGAGAAATTCACCTATCTTTGTTACCACTGCTTTGGCGTCTAGCGGGTTGTCGACGACATATCCATTGGGTACTGGGATGTCATACTGACTCAGGTCAGTGCTGGGTCCAGTGAAACAAGCGAAAAAAAAGTACCTGCTGGAGCAGTTTATGGGAATGATGCTCAAGCAGCGTCAGATTTCGAAATTGCTGTTTCAAGGCCTTAGGGCTCTATGACCAGGTGAGAGAAGACCTTGAACCCCGGCAGAGGTGCCATACATGCCTGGCCAGATGATTGAAAGGGCGTAGAGACAACATTATGAGCATTTGCCTCTCTCTCCTTATGTCGACTATTTCCAGCCTGCCGGTTTACTTGGTAGAAAAAGAATCCTGTTCACTCAGCATTCATACACAAAAAGATGCCCTGAGTTACTAGTTAAAAGGTGTCTCTCTCGGGGTTTGTTGGAAATAATACGGTGGGCCCTTTAAGAGGGGAAACCAGCAATATAAGATATATCGAGAGCCTATGATTGCAGAATGACGCATTTAGGTGCCTTTGCGCCTCAATATTTATACATTTTATGACGGACACGTTCACGCTCTTCGTGGGCGCCAAGGACCTAATTCCCTTGGAACCTCTTTCTTGTCGATCTGCCATCAAAGTCGTAGAAGAATCGGGCCAGTGGCAGTATGAAACTGCTTAGAGGGACAGTGTGACGCTGCTCTATACAGTTCTCATCGGTATCTGTAACGGCTCAGCCCAGCGCCTTCATCAGCAAACATCATCAACACGGCAAACAATGCCATGGAAGCAACCAAGGCAAACAAGCTGCTTAGCGAGGCCACACACAATCATATAGGACTTCTTCACATAAATAGACTTGCCTCTTTTTTTCTTTTCTTCTCCAGATTCGATATTCTAGTCGATGGCTACACCGGTTTAGATAGGAATATCATTTCATTAGTATTTACTGGTCCGAGCTCGTGACAGTATCAATAGACCGTAATCAGCTGTAAAAACCACTGGAAGCGACACCGGGAAATGCTCAAGATGGGCTGGGCAGAACAATAGAACTAATTGAATCAAGGATGGCTCTAAACAGACCTTTTTTGTGGACATCAAGGGCACAATATGTGGTAGTATGTCCAGTTAGTGTCACTGGCTCGGACCAATAGATACTAATGAAATGATATTCCTATCTAAACCAGTGTAGCCATCGACTAGAATATCAAAACTGGAGAAGAGAAGAAAAAAAGAGGCAAGTCTATTTATGTGAAGAAGTCCCATGTGGTTGTGCGTGGTCTCGCTAGGCAGCTTGTTTGGCTTGATTGCTTCCATGGCATTGTTTGCCGTGTTGATGATGTTTGCTGATGAAGGCGCTGGGCTGAGCCGTTACAGTTAGCCAGCATTTATCCAGTGTTTCCAAGTTGGGAATACCTGATTGTCAGCTTATCAGCGTCATCTGCGGGATTTCCCCGCATTCGCATTATCAAGGTTTTGTTTTTTTTATCTGGAGCTGGCTCCTGGAGCTACCTTGATGGGATGTGGCGCCGTTACTGCAATTTACAGCCAATTGACATAGACTATATGGTAACAAGGGAAATGGAGAGGACCAATACCTTCCTGTTCTCTATTGAAAACTTAAAAACTGTACCGTCCTTATTCCAGATAAGAAACCCCTCCAAGCCAAAGTCTGTGACACCATTGAACCATGGACATAACCGCACGAGACATGAGACATGGTCTTGGTTTAGGAAGTCGCCACTCCGATGATATCAAGACGTTCCCAATTTTTTTTGGTGGTGAAGGTGTAGCCCAATTCACCAGCATCCTTTGGATGACTATTGCCCTGTCCTCACAGACAGTTGGCATGGGTTTCAGTGGGAGGCATGCATCTATGCCAGAGGACAACTTCCATGAAACCAATAATGGCAACCTCGAATTCAACATATATCTTCCCAACGTCTCATTTGCAAGGTTAACCATTGTTGCCTGCTTTATCGCGATCTCCTTGTACAATTCCATCGAACTCATTGTCCTATGTTTCATCACGTTTAAGAAGTACAACAGTTGTTATTTCTGGTCCCTTCTCATCGCATCAATAAGCATCATTCTGTTTGCTTTGGGCTATCTCGTCACCATATTTCGCCTTGGGGTGACCTATGCGGGCATTGCGGTAGAGACAGTAGGATGGTATGGTCTCGTGGTCGGCCATTCGATGGTTCTTTGGTCCCGACTTCATCTAATTGTCCATAACCAATGGATAATACAAGGAACCCTTGCCATGGTCATTGTTTGTGCAATTATATTTCTTATCCCTGCCACTGTCTTCGAATTTGGCGTCCATTCCAACGACAGCAAGAAATTCAATACCGGATTCAATGTGTTCGAACGAATACAGTTGGTGGGACTTTCGGTGCAAGAGATCATTTTGTCGGTTATATATTCCTGGGAGGCTATCCGGTTGTTGAAACTACGACCGAGGGGCCATTATCACGGCATTTTGGTCCAGCTTCTGGTTATCAACTTGACCATGGTTTGCATGGACGCGGCTATTATTGGGTCTCAGTACGCTGGATACTTTATCATCCACGTCACTCTCAAAGCAATGGCCTACAGCATCAAGCTGAAAATGGAATACACTATCCTGGGAAGACTAGTTTATTTGTCTTCGACATGACAGCTAGCTACGCGCAGATAGTGCTATGTAATCCAATGAAACTGGTACTCTACGGATGATTTTCGTATGGACACAACTGGGGAAGTACAACGAATCTGATGTTAGACTGACTATATATCCCGAAGATTTCAACCTGCCACCAAACTGTGCATCCGGCAGTGAATAGTGATTTAATCTACTTCATCCTTTACATGTATCTTAAACTTCAAGATTATCGATAGTTGACAGGGGTCTATCTGCCCAATCAAGGCTATCTCGTGCTGGTGATCTGCATAATGAGGTGTCTTTACCCTGTGAATATCACTATTTACACTCATGTACAGCAGGTTCTTGGGTATGAAGTTGGGAACGTGTGAGTTGCTGTTTAGACACGATCCAGCATCACCACCCGACTCTGGTAATCGCCCTCAAATACAAACTGCAAACCCATGCTCATCAGCGTCTGCCCCGTGTACACACTCCCACCGTCCACGCGGTACTCCGCCTTCGCATCCAGTCCCTCCAGCCGCACCCACGGCGACGAGTTATCAATGTTAGCCCGCATCTGGAACGCGAAGAGCACGGCCTTGGTCCCATCGGCCGAGATGAACAGCACGGCCGGCCAGTTGGTTTCCTCCGGCAGCGCGAGGCGCCACATGTCGCCCTCTAACACGATTGGATTGACTTTCTCGGCCAGTTGGATCAAAGCCGGCAGCGCGGCCTTCTCATCCTCGTGCAACTCCTCCGGGTTGAGTTCGAGTCCGAATGACCCGCCCATCATGGCGACATGGCCGCGGAACTCGACGGGTACACTGCGCGAGGACTGCTGGTTGGGCACGGCCGAGATGTGCGCACCCATCGCACTGGGCGGGTAGGCCAGCGATGTCCCCATTTGGATGGCCACTCGCTCCCCTCCATCTGTATCGTCTGAGGTCCAGATCTGCGGGAAATACTGCAAAACACCTGGGTCGAAGCGGCCGCCGCCACTCGCGCATCCCTCCCACAGCACATCTGGGAACCGGCTTGTCAGTGTCTCAAAGACATGGTACAGGCCCAGCATGTAGGCGTGGTCGGTACTGGGAGACGGCATCTCATGTATGCCCCGATTGTGGTCCCACTTGACATACGAGATATCCGCGCTCTTCAGCAGACGAGTCATGCTGTCGATGATAAACTCCTGCACCTCGGACAGGGCCACGTTCAGGACCAGCTGGTTGCGGCTGAGACTGCGCGGGTAGTCTCCTGCATGCAACGCCCAGTCGGGGTGCTCGTGGTACAGCGTCGAATTGGGGTTAACCATCTCAGGTTCCACCCAAATCCCAAAGCGCAGCGGCGTCGAAGTGTTCGCTGCCTTGAGTGCCGTGACGTTGTTGACCAGCGTCCCGAGTCCGTCAGGGAACTTGGCCTGATTCACCTGCCAGTCACCCAGACCAGCCGTGTCGTCGTCGCGTGGGTACTCGTTTCCGAACCAGCCGTCGTCCATGACGAGAAGCTTGATGCCCAGCTTGGCGGATTCCTCGGCCAGCTGATAGACGTTGCTGGCATTGATGCTGGCGTCGAGTCCCTCCCAGCTGTTCAGGAGGGCCGGGCGGTCACTCGTCGCGAACTTGCTCTTGATCAGGTGCTTCCGGTACAGTCTGTGCAGGGACCGTGACATGCCGCCGATACCGGTGGCAGAATACACGGACACACATTCGGGGGAGGTCAGGGTCTCGCCTGGCCGGAGGGTCCATGACAGCTGAGACGGATTGAAGCCCAGCAACGCGCGTGTGAAGCCCTGCGATCCTTTCTCAACGTTGACGGCAAACGAACCGGTGTAAACGAGAGAGAAGCCCCATGCTTCGCCTTGCGACTCGGTGGTGCTCGGGTGCACCAGGGACAAGAAGGGGTTGTGCAGGTGGGAGGAGAAGCCTGTGCTGCTCCCGAAGCTGATTCTCTATTAGGAAATGATATTTCATCTGTGAAGCTGAGAATGGAAAACGTACCCCTGCACCCCATACTCAACCTTGCGTCTCTCACGATGTGCCTCGCGCGCCCAGTCACCACGCAAGTAGATCATCTCCAATTCTTCATAGGGAAGATCCACACTCAGACTGGACAAGGCGTCAATGGTGACGTTCCCCTCGCCCAGGTTGGTGATGTTAACGCTGCGCACGATAGCGTCGGATTTAGGGAAGATGGAGTAGGACAGGTCCGCCGCGACAGAACTATAGTTGTCATGCAAGTGCACCACCAACGTTGTCACATCTTCCTCGCTCCCAAATGTCGCGGGCAGTCCCGGTAGTCCAGGCTTCCCCTGTACAATCGTGTGCGACTGATACTGCAGGTCCGAGATGGTGTAGCCCGCCGACTGGCGGATTCGCACAGCAGGGATGCGGAAGTCGCCCCGTCCCTGGTCGGGGAACTCACGACGGATACGCCCGGTTGCTCCGACCCAACCGTTTACAATCGGCTCTGCGGCTGCGGGAATGGCACCCGTTACACTGCCACCAAAATGGTCCGAGATCAGATCCCCTGTGGCGGGGTCGATGTGGAAGATGTAGGAGACATTGTCCCCGTTGAGGGCGAAGGATGTGCCATTGGCCACGACCGCTTGGTAAATTAGTTACTAGTTATGGAAGTCTCTCTACTTCGCAACGAACGCAGACATACCATTCCCATTGACAGACTCCGCCACGGCTACTTGCGACTGTGTCGCGATGCTAAGCACACTGGCAGCAGCGACAGCCGCCCTGTGTGAGAACCAACGCATGGTGGATGAGGGGGGATGATGGCTAGGAGAGGACTACGAAACACCCTAGGAATTGACGCACCTTTATATGTACGGTAAATGGAAGCCAGCGGAATAGAGCGCAAAGGATTGCGGGAAATTCCCCATTGATCGAATAGCCCGTGAAGATGGAACCGGTCGCGGGGACTCCACACAATCCCCGCGTCCGCAAATTGGACACGGGCCTGTAACAAGGGAACAGAATGCGGGGCGGGCCGAATTCTTTGCCCGGTGTACTCTGCAGTAGTTGGAATTGAGTGTTGGCCAAGGCCCTAGTCTGGCTAGCTTCTGGCATTCAGGGTCGGTTCAATAACATTCGCTGCTGCAAGGTAAAATGTCGGAGAAATATAGGACAAATCTACTCTCTCGTGAAAGTTACCCCATAGTATATAGCATCGCCTGCGCGCCAAGGACCGGCACGATCGAGGATGGTTTATATTGTAAGTGGCAGGAAGGTGTTGATATGGTCACCCCTCCGCCGCCTACCTAAACTGGATGTGAACATGTTTACACTCGGGGCCATGCTGTTATAACATGCTGACTGTCACATAGCATGGATGTTTGCTAGTTGTATGGCATGTTTGGGTAGGGCATGGTCCACTTTAAGACTAGTCCCGGAGCTGTTGCCGGACCCGCTTCCCACTTGCGGTCGAATAGCCGTGATTGGTGATGGTCTATCTTGACTGGTATCATGGTATGATCCTGTTGGACATGGCTATCATGGTGTTAGGTTCGAGCCTATGGACGTATGTACTGACCTTCTAACAGGAGAGGTATGTATGGAATTCTCCATACTTTGATCAAGTGTTAATGTAACATATAACATTATAGCTAGAGAATGAAAGATAGTGTAACGGCTCAGCTCAGCGCCTTTATCAGCAAATACCATCAACACGGCAAACAATACCATGAAGACAAACAAGCTGTGTAACGAGGACACACACAACTATATAAGACTTCTTCGTGTAAATAGACTTTCATCTTCTTTTCTTTTCTTCTCCAGGCTCAATATTCTCATCGATGGCTACAATAGTTAGATAGGAATTCAGTTCGTTAGTATCTACTATTCCAAGCCCGTGACAGATAGTATCATTTTCCATGACAATGTCTCCTTAGTGGTGATTGAATCCCACCTGCATCATGGAATATAGCTTGACTCTGCGCCCTTCAGCAATCCCTATCTGTCATTAGAGGCATAAGAATAACTTATATGCATTGAGGTAGGTTTAGCTAGCAACACACGTCTTTCTTCAAAGCCTGATTTTCCAATTCTGGGAGAGAATTCCTTACAATGATGAAGGGACAAACCAATCTCTTTGCCAACCTAAAACCTTTTGGAATTATCCTTGGCTACTTTGGACAGCCATAACGTAGCCACCGCTGTCGAAGACAATGAAGAAACTGCCAGTTTTATGGTCGAGTTTTCAATGCTTCAACTCCTCTTTGGCAACAGGATAGTCCCTGGATTTGTTATCATTCTCGAATTGTGCCCTCTTCGTGGAAATTGGCAGTTCTTTCCCTCTGGACTTATATTGGGGACTACAGTCGCATTAGGGAACTTAAAGTGGTGCCACGAAGGAAATGTCAGATGAAACGAATTCTCGTCCTTCAATCTTTCAATTTCCTCAATCTTCACTATATCTATTCTATTGCAGTCTCACTGATATGCAGTGTGATGTTTGGCGCACTACACTCATCGCATCCTATCGATTAAAATGATGTGTTATTCACCTGTGCTAGTGCCATGGGACACGGGACTGAGAACTATGCCTTGATTTATACTTTATATTGGACTAATGGATTTATGGTTTTCAGGTTGAGCTGTCAACTCTCGATCTATTCCAGCAGTTCATCTTTGTCTTTATACTAGGACACCCATTTACGGTCCACTATTTGATTAATATACTCGGTAATTTGACTGATATCAACCAGCCAAATAGAGCGTTCCACATGCGCATAGTCTTTTGGCCATATGCGATTTGCCTTAAAGGTATGCGGGGAATATTCGTTTAGTATGCCCAACGCATAGTGCAGCCATAATTTACGCATTTCATTTGTTTGTTCGATGTATTAGCAATGCCTACCTCTTTGTTTAGTTATTGGGCGCCAGAATGCTTGTAAATAATCCGTTTTATCAGATTTGAACAGTCTTTCCTATACGCACTTCTGAATAAGTGCTTATAGTAATACTGATGCCCTGGACACGCGCAATCAACGCGAGTTTGAGTGACAGGATCGGTTTTGTATCTATCTGACAGGTACATCTGAAAAGACCTGACAAAAGCAATGGTCTGGCAGATCTAAACACAGACTTCTAGACATATCCAACGGTAATCCTGTATCCCCCTCCATTGACCTGTGTCGTCTTAAAGTTGCCCTCCTCCTCACAACCACTGTACGCATGGGGCTCGCTCAACTCCCCAACACCAAAGCGGGAGGTATTAGTTCTAGGTGGCCAGAATGTCACATCCGCGCGTGGCACCTTCCCACATTCACCCTTCTCCTCTGCGTCTTCCACGTTGAACAGAAAATACTCGACAAAGCCCGCCTGGGAGGAACCGACCCCCCCGGATCCAGCAGGGAGTGTATATGAGCCGATACGCGTTGCGTTGCCCAGGACTGCATCGACGAGGGTTCCAGTCCAGGTGGTTCCGTGCGTGTTCTTGATCACCAGGTTGTATGGGTGTGAATATGGCGCTGGGATTTCAATGGCACAGCTCACACCAGGACCACCATCTGCACCATCGCTGCAGTTCTCTGTGTCCGTGCTTTTGGTCCCTGCGACAAAGCTCGAAAATACGGCATGGACCATACTTCCGTTGGAAGTGTCGGCCATAGGCTGTAGACCTGTGTATCCGACACCATCAGCTCCAACGAAATCGAATTGCTGAGCGAAGTAGAGTCCACCCTCGTGCTTGGCATTGGGCATGGCCATTGGGAAGGTGATGTCTTTTAGGCCCGAGGAGGAGACGTTAGCGATGCTCCAGCTGAGTCCGACATTGGCAGAGACTAGGGCCGGGAGGATTGCGATGAGAAATGGAGTGATTTTCATGATGAAGTTTGCTTTGCGGTTTCGCGTAAGTCACTTGGTAGGCGCCGATGGGACAAGTGAAGAATGAATTGGTGGATAGATGTTTGTACGATACTTCCAGCCATTTTATATTCTCTGGTGGCGCCTCAATCGCATCTCGATCACTGACCTTCTCGTTGCCGATGTTTCAAATCTTCAAACACAACCGGTTTGATGTATACAAGATCTCGCGTGTCGAAGGGAAGGAAAAAGAGCATTCTGGGGAGGACTCAGATCTAGGATAGCGTCCAAGAACATGGGGGGAACCAATCAGAATACAGCATAAACGAGCGATTCCCAGGAGTTCTGGAGACGTTTGCCGATCTTAATCACATACAATCGCATGACAGATCGGTTTCTTCTCCCGTCGGTTCCGGCGACTAAGCGATGTTTCAGCTTTGCTTAAAGTAGAAATATGTGGATGTAGCAACGGAGTATTGCGATCGAGTCTACATTGAATCTTCTAAACGCATAATGCTTGCCGATTTTTTTCTCGGCATTCGTTCGGAATTCCCAACACCAGCTTCAAAGACTCTTTCCATTGCAGAGAGATTGAGAACGGTATCGTATTAGGAACTGGTGCAGTGGCCCATCATTTCAGACGTAGGTTCTTTCTAGTTGTCATGCCATATCTATGCTGTTTATGATGTTGTCATCCAGGTAACAATAGGTAATAATCAATGGACAAATTGTCTAACAATACATCGAACGTTGCATGTCTTCTCTTTTTCTCACCGGAACCCGTCCCCAAATACGCCTCCACTCACCGTCCAAACTTGACCCTATTGACGGCAGATGCTGTCGGCAAACACAAGTGTATCCACATTGACTGCCACACTGGCGTTTGCCAACATATCAGACATAGCTAAAATCGATCAATTCTATGGCCCGCTGCTTAAGGCATTGAACGCAACCACCGGCGTCACTCCACAGTATCGTTGTATCCCCTTCCCGAGCATTGTCTCCTTCATCCCAAGCATTCCGATCACTGGCAATGCCGACGAAACTGGTACTATCAGCATAATTGGCTCGCGACTTTTCTCCAGAGACCTTCTCGTCTCTGACGATGGCCCAGCACGACTCATTTCCGCCTTCAGCTCACTCCAGTATCGGCCAGGGCAGCCACTAATTGGCCACATTGTCGCCGGCGGTGTGGTTGCAAAAAATGCCCACACGATTGACAGTGCTCTCAATCCAGCCTGGAGAAAGACACTGCTACATGCTGTCATCAGAAGGAATTGGTCTCCTAACGCCACGGTACAAGAACAGAAAGCTGTTCGGGAGAACTTGACCAATGTGGAGCTACTGATTCTGCAGAGCGTTGAAGGTTTAGGTATTATGGGTGCGTATCTGAATGAGGCAGATGCCGATGAGCGGAACTTTCAGGAATCATTCTGGGGAGCTAATTACCCACGCCTGTATGATATCAAACAGAAGTGGGACCCATTGGGACTTTTTAATGCGAGGAAGACCGCGGGAAGTGAATATTGGGATGAAGGGGGCTTGTGCCCGGTTCAGATATGATTTATACTCTTTTTTTCTCATCAATGTCTTCCTAGCTTTCTTTATTTGTTCATTCTATTGTTGGATTAAATATGTATTATTGGTAATAAATAACCGAGAAAGAAGGGAAGACGAGGAGTATGGTGAGGTGAGAGAGGTTTTTCGCGCCCTAGTTTGATATTGGCAGGGATTGAGAGCAAAAATTGAAATATTGCGTACCATAATTGACTGCGATTACCTATACTCAGCTAGCTTGCGACCTGGATCTCTAGCAAAGCAACTCACGGGCT